AGGACACAATGTAGTCCGTACCTTACTATGTACAGCACCATGTCATTGTCAGATCAGGTCTCGCGCAGTAGAACGGAACGCCTCTCTCCAAGCCCTTGAGCCTCCAAGTCTTGGCCCCCTTTGCTGCCCCCTTCCAGCACGTCGGCCTCTGTATCCCCATCCGGACCTGCATCTCCTTCAGCTCCCCTGCAAACGGTCAGAAAAGCCGTCCACGCCTCCACAGCCCAAAGAAGGTAGGTAGACAGGCAAAAGGGCAAAAAAAGAAAAAGAAAAGAAATAAGGGGATGGATGCAAAGTCACGCATACATCGATGAAAAAAGGGGTATGCATTCGGTTGCAACCGTAACGAGCCAACAGCCGCCTTTCTCCCACCCGTTCCCCAGACCTACCTGCTTCAGCTTCCCTGAGAAGGGAAACTTAATGCGTGCCCGTTAAGATCGTCTTCAGGTTCTCTCGCCCCCCCGCGCGGTGTATGTAGAGTCGCACCGGCCAACGGGATAGGCCAGTTTGCACCTCACCTTTTCCCCCCTCGTGCTCCTCCACCCCTCCGGCTCGTCCACTTGCACCTATCAGCGTCCGCGCCGTCCTCCGCACCCCCCGTACCGGCCAACCGCCGAACCAAGCAGGATGAGTGGATCCTCCCCCGGTCTCCCGTCCCCGATCTCTCGTCCTCTCCTTTCGGTGCCCCTTTTCCTACCTCACACTTAGGACGCTTGCGGCATTATGTGCCAACGGTCACGCATCAGCGCACCCGCGCCACAGAGACCGGCTACCTCTTAGCTCCATTGCGACCGCCAGCCAACAGGCTCCTCATGAAGCCATGGGAGATGGGGTACATGCCCTTAAGTACGTGTACTGTGCCTTAGCATGCTCATCTGTACACCACGACGGGAGGCTAAGAGCCCGCTAGCCTCACGCCCGTCACCATTTGCGACGCTGGCGCACTCTGGAAAGCGTGGTCACGAAGAGCGAGCGAGAGAGAGAGAGAGAGAGAGAGAGAGAGAGAGAGAGATGGAGAAAAGGCCACCAGCCGCCGCCAAAAAGATTGTGCGACGCAAGCGTCCAGAGCTTCCCAGCTTCGGCGCCATCACGCCCCCAGGTTTGGTTCAGCCAAACAACTTGGAGCTTTCTCTACCGTCCGTACACTTTTTTTCTGCTTTTCTGCTGCTCGCCCGTTGCTCCCATCCGGCAGCTCGGAAAGCTCTAAATTGCTGGTTGCGGGGCACACAGAAGCAACACCCAAGCTAAAGCCTTTGGTCTCCCAGCCAGCCTCTCTACCCAGTGGGCAAAAAAGGGTGGTGGTGGCTCTTCTAGCTAAAAGCCTTCTTTTCCTTCTACGCGTTCGAATCCGTCGTCGCGACTCAGTTGGGTCGTCGGGCCAGAACCCTGCATTAGTCGCGATTCTTCTCTGTCCCGTTCAACTCTCAATGTGCACCACATGTCGTGGCTGGCAGGGCTGGGAGTCTTGCGTGATGCCGGGACAGTTGTTGTGTGACCTGATGGCTGGGAGCAGGACAACACGGGGACCTTGTGCCCGTGATCCTTTGATGTGCTCGTGCGAGACATGGCAGTCTGGCTTCCACTTTTTCCCAACTTCTCGTTCCCAGAACACCGGAATCTGGAAAAGTGGGCGTGAATGGCAACGCCTGACTCGAAACGGGACTCTACAGTCCTCTACCGGTCACTCATTTCTGCACAGGCGTTGGACGGAGTACGGGGGCGGAGATTTGAACCAGAGAGCACACACGCCGTGGAGATGAGGAACGATTGTGTAGTAGCGAACCGGTCCTCACTGTCCAGAGGCCGTCCCCGTCACCAGCCCACGCCTCCGGGTCCGAGCCCAGTGTAAGTCCGGGCCTCTCTCATTCTCCTTTCGCATCTTTGCCAAGTCTACACCCCTCGTGCTCCCCTTTTGCGGCCGAGCACTGCCGCTAGCCACCGTGTTTAATCAAAAGTTGGGATGGCACCTCTCAAGGCTGCCAGATTGCCATGCCCACAAGGCGGCTCGTTAGCGCGCGCAAAGACGCCGCGCCACGAGAGGACAGAGACGGCCTTTCTGCCCATCGTGGCGCGGCGTGGATGGGAAGGGGGAGCTGTCCAAGTAACGAGACGCTCCAGTTGGCTGTCGTCCGAGCAAATGAAGAGATGGAAGATAGCTTACGGCTTGCTAGTATTTCCTGGGAAGGGTGAGAATCGGATCCGGGAGATCAGTTCAGGTAAGCGGGCGCCGAATCGATGGACGGATGCGAGTGATCTCTTTCGGGCGCCCGCGGAGATGGGAGAGATCGGGAAGCGAGTTTCACGAACATCTTTGTGGCCCTTTTGCTAGATGTGGCTTTCCGTCCGAGAGCGAAAGGGTGGGTTCGAAAGCATTAGGCCTCGTAATGAAGAAACATCGCATCGCGATGGCCTCATCTCATCGTGGGAAAGGCGTTCGCCCTCCGACAAGGGCCTACTCGTGGCTTTCGCATCCTTCCGATCAGCGGAGAAGATCTCAAACAAGCCACCACTCCGATGGGTCGGGTCCTTGGACTTGCATTCCGAAACAGCCGTGGCCTGCCTCCGGTCCTCTCGAGGCGCGAGATGGGCATGATCTGATGATGAACAGTGGGATCCAGCCACGGGGTTCAGCCTTGCGATAACGTGAACGTTCAAAGATTGAAGATGGTCCAGTATCTGATGCTGTGGCTTTCTGATGGCGATGATCGCTCCGGACCATACACTTGGGCCGTTGTAAAGAGGCTCTTTTCTCAAACCCCGATGCCCTCCATCATTCAGCCTCATGACGATTACCAACTTCGGATATTGCCCGCCGTGAGGCTCACTGACGTCCTCCGTACTTGTACGTTATCACAACCCGTCTCTTCCTTCTTCGTATGACACGACCGCTGTGGCGCCAGACTCGCAGCACAGAGATCTCCTTAAAGTCCAGACCTTGAGCATGTCTGACAAGTCGCTACCTCAGGCTGGCATCTTCCCGCCGGGATCCATTGCCCGCTCTCACTACGCCCGCGATGCCGCCCAGACCGTGAGAACCTCGGACGCACACACGCACACAGTCAGAGGGGGCAATATTCTGTCATTGTAATGGTCCGGCCCGGGAGATGAACAGCGCAATGACCGCAACCGCTCACGGCCGCTCTTGTCACGCAAAGACTTCACAGGCACTGACGCCTTTCAACTCATGCGCTGGCGTGGTTGGCATTTCGACGGGTGTCCGAGAGGTCCGAGGCCCCCCCCCCCCCCTTCCCCAATCCTTCGTTATCCGCGAGACTCGGGAAGAAAGCAATGACCTCCAGCTATGTCTTGTTGTCATTTGCGGGCTCTCGGACTGGTGAGGTTTTGCACTGACGCTTTCCGAGTTGCGCGGTTTTTATCTGCCTCCCCATGCCCTCTAGGCTCTCTCCCTCTCTCTTGTATGGCCGGTAAGTTGTGAGGGCATATTGTGACTTGCGGTCAGTAATTTGAAGTGCTAGCTAAAGGGAGCACGGCGGGAAGTTTAAACTGGTGGAAAGGGGACGTGCAATTTGACTCTTGTCTATGTGAACTTGTCCGGCGCGGTAAGCCCATATGGTTTTCGTCACGCCTTGTGTTGTATGAGCTTCTCAATCACCGGCCTCCCGGAGGTGTCTACTTGCCATGGGGGGTGTGACATACTTCCAAGCGGGCTGTTGCATTGTTTTGGTGATGAAGGCCGACTTGGGACCTGGAACTTCTGGACAACGGAACCGGGATTGCGATATTCGTTGCCGTTTCCGTCTTCTTCCGCGCCTGAAGTGTCTCTTAAAAGCCCTGAGACATTATGGATCGAAGCGCGGTCGATATTCTGAGCAAAATATATTTTCGAGTAAGCGGCCTATTAATTGTAATGTCTGCAAGGCCACACTCCATCCACAACCGTGGTTTGATCTGCTGCTTTAACAACTCTGCTCTTTTCTGACAACCAATGGCCATGCGTTTCGACCCTAAGACTTTACTGTCAGCCTAGACTCATCAACGCTCTTCACATGTACAGTGGTGAATACACCAGTATGACGAAGAAACGCGTGGAGAAGGTCTGCCGTGCCGTCAGCTGTGATAAATCTATTCCTAGTACATTAGAAGATGTGCAGACAGCCACCAGAGACGTCGCATCCCAGAGGCCGTCTGAACGGCCAGGAAAGAGGTGCAGTCTCGTCCCTTTCTGGTCGTTGAATAGACCCCTGCCGAAAGATAGAAGCCTTTTAAGACTGATGTACTGCTTGTCACCGATTGGCTGCCTGGACACACGTCTTGCTCTTGCACAGAGACTGGCTTGAGGGGTTCACCATCGATCAAGCTGACTATACTCGGCCTTGGACCAACCTACACCGCACAACTTGCGGACAACGTCATGGAGCACTCGAACACACTGACAGGCAGAGCCATAGAGATTTTAATCAATCATGGAACCTGGCCTTGGACGCAACTGAACGGCAATTTCTGTGTGACAGTGTGCTTTCTCTCTAATTCGGGTCAAAACAGATTTGGTATCTTTCTTCCTACGGAATTCCCGCAGCAGACTGTACCTTAGAACATGGACCCTTTCTGAAAGCCAGGGGAGGAATAAACCACGACTGAAGGACATAAAAGCTCAGGTCCTTTGAAGTGACGGCTCGAATATGCCTCCCTATTCAAGTATATGCTGACGTTCAAGTCCCATCTTGACACTCGGCGTACTGGCTCTCGGCTCTGCAACTGGATAGACCTTCTTCCCGATTTCATGTGGTTCGCGACGAGGAAACCGATGTCGTACATCTCAGCGTGTAAGCGGAAGAGGTAGAGGCCAGCCAGAACAGGCGAACAGAGCAGGTAAGTTTCAACACACCGTGGCCTTACTTGGATCAATGGGGTGGCAGCGTGGTCTTTCCGCTGGATAGACCCTGATTGCATTGAAGCGTAACAAAGATGGGTTGACCGTAGATACGAGATGAAGGAGTAGCCTATCTTTGAGGAGTGAGCGGAGGGTAGAACCAACCTTATCAAGCTCGCTGTCCCCAGTTCCACACGAAATCAAAGCCAACTCGACACCCCTTTTCCTCCACATCCCGCTTCAACTCTGCCTCGATGCGAGTGACATCCTCCATCGTATTGACCGTCTCCTCCCCGCCGTCTTCAACTATGGAGGCCAACGAAGGTCGTATTAGACGCATGATCCCCGAAGTAGCTTCGTCTCGTACGGAATCATCTGCGGCCCACGAGTTGAAGATCTTTTGCTCGCAGTTCTGGAACCCCAGTTTCTTGAGCTTTTTGAGCAGGCCCATCGGCATTCTATCGGGCACGTAAGCAGTGAGCTTCTCATGACTGGAGGCGAAAAAGAGGTAAAGCAAGGCAACGGCAGTGGAACTACTCACAGTCTATCCCTCCCGACCTTCGCGTCGTGCTGCATGGTAACCCACCAGAACTCTTCATACGCCCTGCTCAGCGGATAGAATCTGATGAATAGGTCACTCATGTCCTCCCAGAGAAGCCACCCGCCCGGCAACAACAACTCGCGCATGTTTGTAACAGCGACGTCCCAGTCGTCCTTCTTCAATCCTAGTGCGAGCAGTCTTACATGGACGAGATCGAACGTGCCCCTGAGCTCCGCCGGAAATGGCTTGAGAATTACATGGACGAGATCGAACGTGCCCCTGAGCTCCGCCGGAAATGGCTTGAGAACGTCGTGCTCCATGAAGTTGAACGATACTTCTGATCTTTGCGACTGGGGCATTTTGAGCCCGTCGAGATCAAAGCCGTAGAGTTCCGAGCCCTGCGGGATGATCTGGGCAAGGGATATCAGCCATATACCGCTTCCCGTTGCTACGTCTGCGATTCGGGGGGCTCGGCCTAGGTTTGCTGTTTCGAGAGATGAGAGGATGTGCGGCGGGAGGAGGTCGACGGTGAGGGGCAGCCAGACTTTGAAGTGGTTGTCTGCCAGGCGCTCGCGCTCGCCGTCAACATCCCCGCGATTGAGGTTGTAGATCGTATCGGTCCGTGATGCCTCCTTTGATGCCTGTCGTTCTGCCATGTTGAGTGTTCATTCGTAGGTGATGTCTGCAACGAATCCGTGCTTTTTTCAAGGTTGGATTCTGCAATATGTTCCTACAGGTAGCTGGGCGTAAGAAATTAGTCATTCCGCACTCTCCGAACACTTCTCCGTATTCTGGTTTCCCCAGTGCATGCTTCATGCATGCCATGCAATTGGATTTGGAAATCTATTGGACTTCGAGTGTTGATAGGTGGATGGAACCCAATGTGGTGTGATGCTCTGAGCTTCATCCTGGAGCTCCGGCTACCCCTCATTCACAGCTGGCAACTTAAACCTCCAACAACTGAACACTTGCTGCGTAGTTAATCCCTGCTTCAACTGTGTTAATTCGGACGGAGACGGGGAACGATGCCGGGAAGAGGCTACGGAGCATCTGACCCAGCATGAACACTCATCAAGGATTCAAGATACGGTAGCTAAGGAATTAAAAGCGCGTCCATTTGCAAATGAACAAGATCTATAGATAAAAAACTCTCCTACGGAACATGTCTATTCCGCAGCATCACCCTCGGCCTCATTAAATGATTCGGCCAGCTCTACAAGCTTGATAAGCCACTGCCCGGCGTCGTCCGAACTGCAGACCATAACGACAACACCTCTGTCCTCAAGCTCCTCCCCAGATGCCACCTTTTCTCCGTCTCCCTCACAATACCCCAGGAAAGGAAAACTTCCATTCTCGTCACATATGGGATTAAGAAGCTCAGTGGCCGTAAAGTTGTAGTCTGGCATGAAGACGACGTTGGTCTGAAAGTCCGTCATGATACTACGAGGTTTCCCACGGCTACCAGAGTTGCTGGCACGAAGATTAGTGAAAGAACGAAGTATTGATTTACCAACATCGGACATAGATTGGCGGATGTCCTCACACACTGTCGTTTCGCGTGTCTGAATGATGTCCATGTCGTCAAAATTCAATGAAGGAGGTTTGCGGGCTGGCGGGGTACGAGAAGGGGGAAGAGAAGGCGACCAAGATGAAGAAGAGGGTACAGAAGAAGGGACGGATCGATCACGTACCTCGTCTTGAGCGGGCTGAACGGGGGCTGTGAAATCGTTCGGTGGCGTTGGAGGCACCTCGCGAATAGTTGGTACCCTGTTGTTGGCAACGGTCTGGCCTTGCGCTCCTCGACTCCGGGGGTCAGATTCAAGCTGGTCGGATCGTCGACTTGAGAGAGAGGTGTGGCCACTGATGGCTCTTGGTTCTTCAAGCGGCCTCCCAAGGTTGGATGGTGACTCTTTCGCGATGTTCAAGGGGGCTGGCTGGTCTGAGTCAGTCCACAAGGAACTCTCACAACTTTCAGGGGCCGCATTCACCTTCAAAGATGCCCGGGTAGCAGAGTCCAAGCTCGCTGATCTGATGGAAGCAGACCTAGGTTCTGGTTCGATGTCTTGGTTTTGGTCTGGACGACTGCGATCTACCCTTGGACGACCTCGCTCGCCGATTGTCTCGGAAGCGTCTCCAGAACGACCATTCCACACAGGCCTTGGAAGATTCGATGCTCCCCTCGATAGCTTACTAGGCTGGTTGAACCGCGAGCGACTCAAGCTCGAGCTGCGATGTGTTCGGGAAGACGTTCCAGGTAACGACTTCTGGAGGCTGGATACGCGCTCAAGGGGTCCAGGTGGTTTCCCTGTCATAGTCCTGGGTCCCTTTGGCTGTTGTCTTTGCTGAATGGGACCGGGGACTGTTACAGGAGCAGGCTGGTTCCCGAAAGCGCTTGGTCGTTTCTGCCATACGTTCTCGAGAGGCCCGGATATCACCCGTCCCTGCTGCTGCTGCTGCTCTACCTGTTGTTGCCTACATTGATCTCTTCGTTGTTGCGCCAACTTTTTGTGTTCTTCCTGTGACACCTCTTGATATGCTCCAGGGAGGGACTCGGGATAGGGCGGCTCTTTGACGTATGGTTCATGATCTGTTAGTCTCCGATGGGACTCGTGCTTTCTCTGTTCCTCCCGGCCTGATTGCACCGGCGCTTCGGCTTCTGCTTGTTGACCTCGCCCCTGGCCCCTGTATTGTTGCTGCTCCCGCTGCTGCCTCTCACAATTTTGTTGCTCGCGCTGCTCTGCTTGCGCACGTGCGCCGTCTTCTCGCTGTTTCTGATGCTGCTGTTCTTGCTGTGGTGGTAGTACCTGCCGGTGAGAGTGATCCTGCGGTTGTGAGTGAGGTTGAAGTTGGGGAGGGTAACCATTCGGCTGCCGATACTCTCGGTGTTGATTATTCTGCGACTGAAAAACCCGTTGCTGCTGATGAACAGCAGAGGGCATAACCACTTCAACCGCCGTCGCAGGAACCTGCGGAACTTGTGGAACAGAGGGAACGGCCATTGTCGTGGCCCCGACCCCAGTCGCGATACCCGTCAGAGGCAGAGGCAAAGCCAGAGGCGGAGGCGAGACGGCCTGCGCGCCGCGACAGTACATAACGAGGTGTCCCAACAGCCACAACCCCGAGAAACCAAAGACGATGCCAGCGAAAGCGACGGCGGCGTCCCGGGGCACAGCGGCCTTTTCGCCGATACTGTAAACCAGGACGACGACGGTGAAGATGACGAGGGTGAGGATCATTGTGGCGGGGAGGATCTTTGCGGTGTAGTCGTGGATGACCCTGTCCGTCGTTGGCCGAGGCATTTTGAAAGGGGGGAAAAGGTTGCCCTTCTTTACTACTTTTGAAGCCGGTGTTGGATCTACTATTTTGAGATGGTCGATGTGACTGGAGTTGTACGCTTTAGGTTTTAGCAGGCCGGTTGTGTTACTACAGCTTCTCCTGAGACTGATATAATATCAGGCGCATCTGGGATCACTCGCATGAAGGACCTCGCTATATCAACAACTACATCAAAGGCGCGAGAAGGCTTTGGTTCATACTCGTAGGCAGATGAACTCATGATCCCATTCTAGATTTCCTCCTTATGTCTCCTAGTAGTGCACAGAAATCGTGTCTCATATCTGTCGTAACAGGTTATTTGCTCGACAAGCGCAAGCATTTCAACACAAAGGAAAAGGGTAGAACAATTTTCAGTCTATCAAAAAGGCAGAAGCCGAACCACCCAAGACAGGAACAAAGCCTTCCTGAAGAAAGACATTTCCAATCATGAAGGACGCCGGTAAGGTTCATAGTGAGACCGCGGCCTCGTCGCCTCCCCTTCCTCCCGAACACGCCACTGGCTAAAGGAAACCGGCGTAGCGGGCAACTCGACAGCGAGAGCAAGCGCAACAGAAACGGGGACGGGAACGCTGCCGTCGTCGTGGTCGTCATAGCGACGGCTGTCGTGGCGGTCGCGGCCAAAGGAGTCCGGGCTGTAGTGTTTCCACGTGTACGGCTTCGCCAGCGGCGGCTTCATCTCCACGGCGTACGCCGGCGGCGGGGAGTTGTACCGCGGCAGCGACGAGACGTCCTGGTCCGAGCCGTTTTGGCGCAGTTGTTGCCAGGGGCGAGGGAACTTTGCGGAGCCGACGCTTTCTGAGATGGAGCGTCGCTTGAACCAAAGGAGGCAGGTTAGGCCTGCTACCGAGGCGATGGCTGCGACGGTGGTGCCTGCGATGATGCCGCCCGAGGTTGAGGTTCTCGGGGAGGCGGCTGCTGCTGCGGCGGCGGGGGTGGTTTCTGAGGGGGATGTTACTGCTGATGGGGTAGGGAGGTCATCGCCTGGGTTTGCGGATGGTGTCGGCGAGGCAGCTGGAACTGTCTCGACGGCTGTCGTCGTCGCTGCCTGGGTAGCCGTTGTCGGCGTCGCGCTTGTTGTAGTCCTTGTTCTTGTCTTTGTAGATGAGACTGATGTGCTGGAAGTCTGAGACCCTTCTTCCTCCTGGCCGTCGTCCAAGACGCAGGCAGAACCGCCTCGACATGTGTACCCAAACGGACAACACTTGCTTCCACACTGCGGCAGAGACTCTTTCAGTTTCGTGGTGTGTATCGGGCTCGTCGGGTTCTCGACTACGTCTTGTAAGGTGACGTCGCAGGTGATGGGCGAGATGGTCTCGCACGAAGACCCCTTTGGACAGCATAGGGCGGTGGTTTTCTCCGCGAGCACCATGCATGTCGTTTCGCTGGGGCAGCAAAAGTAGTCTGCCATGCCGTTGCCGCAGGCCGTGTAGCCTTTGACGGGGCAGCTGGCATCGGCTCGTAATGTTGATTTTGGTGTAAGTTGGTTGTTAATATTTTGGGGGGTTGATGTTGGTAGCGATAGGGGTGTGATTTGTAGTCCGGAGACGCAGGTTTCGGTGTAGAGAAGCCAGATTATTATGCATAGCCTCCGCCAGCTTCCTACTGAGGCCATGTTGTTTATGCAAAGATTACAGAAGGACTTCCAGAAGAGAACGGTTGTAGAGAATGAAAGAGATGTAGATAGACTGTAATACCAAAGGAAATCCAACCAAAACAGATACCCTCAACTAAAGGAAAGCCACTCGGCCGGAACATACACGCAGAGGACATCGCGGTATATGAGTGCCTCGTCTACAACAGCCAAGACAAGCAAACAAAAAAGACGCTGTTGGTTAGTACCAACGATCGAACCAACCGCAGAACATGCTCTGCCGCGATGACGGGGGGTTTCGACGTTCGGTCCTCGTCGTCGCCAAGCGCGACCAATCACACGAGCCGTCTACGCGCGAACACTTTACAAATCCCCAACGCCGCTCCAACAGCAGCAAACGCCAACCTGCAGGAGACAACACAGCAAAGAAAGGAGGAAGAACTTCCAATTTACCGTTCTGTCGGCGCCGTCTAGGTCATGTGAGTGGGCGGCCATGAGGGTCTGCTGCAGGTTGTACCTTGTAACGTCTCAAGGCATGGCCAGAACGGGTAAGGAGGTTGCTGTGAAGGCCGATTGTGGCAGTCTGGCGCTTGTTGTTCCATGTCCTTTCCCTGAGAGGGTCTGGGTACGGGACCCGGATGCCACGATGACGATGACAGGGCCCGAAAATCGGGTGGATGTCGATGAGGCAGGTGAGAATAGGTGTCCCGGGAGAACGGTCACGGCGGCTATGGTGGTTGGACCCTCTGGGCGAAATCCCACCTGTCCGGGATTTGGGAGGCGTGTAACCTGTGAGAGAGAGGGCCTCGAAAGACGGTCTGGACGAAGGGCGATCAAACGCGCTTGGGCGTAGCGAGGCATACTTTTGACGACGTGGCGGGATTGTCTGGCAGTGGTAATGCTCGAGGTGGTATGGCGGGAAGACGAAGCAAGATACGCCGTTGATCAGGGGAGCCGAAATGTTGGGCTGTGCCCATGAGCGTCTGCGAGGTTGTGTCATGGCGGCGGACTGAAGGCCGGCGATCTGTCCAACACTGCCCGAATGACGGGCTTTTCCCCCGGGGACGGCGTCTCTCCTCGGAGGTTACGCTGCCGGATGGGGGCTGCTCCGGCCCTCCGAGTCTCACCTCTCGGGAGCGGAAGCCGGAGCCGGAGTTGAGGCCGGAGCCTGTGCAAGTTGCCCTAGGAGTCTAGGACCATCGGATGAATTGATCGTGGAGCATTCCTGCCGCCTAGGATGTACTTAGCTAGACGGGATGGTGTCTGGAACATTATTAACTCAAGCGTCAATCCAGGCTGTAGCTGCGACTGCATATCCTACCACCTTGTCGAGGGATTCCCCATGAGGCAGTCTCTCTACCAGTGGAGGCACAAGTGACGGCATGATGTAGCTCATCATGACACGCGCGAGAGCGCCAGCCCACCGAGAGAAGCACAAGACGCCATGATATGTTTCTCATAAGGAACTCCGGCCAGAACTCCTGTACCTGTTCCCCAACTCAGCCCATCCACAGTTGAAGTGTCCACCTGGGGCCGTCCAGGCTTTGTTTAACGGGTACCGAATCGACTGGCTAGACCGAGGCATAATCCATCTTCAGGGCATGGCAACAAAGCAGTGGACAGGGGTACGGTAAGTACGGAGGGGCAATCAGCTGATGTCAGTGCCAAAACCACAGCATCTCTAGCGGTACTGTACCAATCCCGCCTGTTCTCGGCTTTTTCTCAGCTTTCCCCAGAGGCCAGAGCCCCCCTCCCTCCCCCCCGCGAGCTCCCTCCCCCCCGCGAGCTCCCTCCCCCCCGCGAGATCCCTCCCCCCCGTCGCATTTCTCAAACAAACCACCCAAAATCATCCCGGTTTCCAAACTCCCATCCATTTCTCAGAGTTCAATTCTCTCCAACTTTACCTTACCTTATCCTACATCTTCCCTCCCACCCTCCTCTCGGCCCGTTATCAGAGTTCCATCCCACAGGACCTGAACCTCACCACCCAATTGGGGCTCTAGAGTGCTTCTTCTCCCCCCTTCAGTTCGTCTGTAGGTCTCCAAAATGCTCCCCTGGAGAACCATCGCACCCCGAGCCGCGAGGTATGTAGTACAATCATCGTCCACATGTGTGACACGTCAAGGTCTCACTCCCCCGTTCTAGGCGTGCCTCTGCATTCGGAGCAGCACAAGCACCCCGCATCACCTTCGGATCCGCGTGTAGACACCTTTCCGCAACCGCCGCCGCCCGCCAGCTCAACGCAAAAGTCGTCACCGACGGCGTGCAATTCGACGGGCTGACGGGCGTATCTACCCGTAGATCAACGCTGTAAGTCCCGGTCATACTCCAACCCAACCCACCGCACCTACCCCCGCCTTCTTTCCCCGTCTCCCGTCCCCCGTCTTCCCGCTCGGCCCCCCCGGTCCCCTGGCCGCAACTCCGGCTCCGGCTCCGGCTCCGGCGCAACCAGCCGGTCCTCACCATGACGTGACCATCTTCCACACACCTCAACTAACACAAACTCTCTCCCAACGCGCAGCCCCCATTTCTGGCTCAGGTACGTTTCCGCCAACCGCATCAGCGAGCCTCAGCATCAGAAATCCATCACCTCGGCTGAACTAACACAACCCCCCGGCATGCAGAGACAACTGTCGATGCAGCACATGCGTGAACCAAGACACCACGCAACGAAACTTTGACACATACGCTGTAAGCGCCCCCTCGTATCATGACCCATACCCGTCTGCCCAAAAGACCCTCCCGATAAAGCAGTACCGTCCCCAAACTTACAATATTGTAGATCAGCCAAGACATCCGACCTTCCGAGATCAAGTCGGAAGAAAAGGGTATCAAGGTGACATGTAAGTGCAACACCCAAGCCCCCCTCCCCTTCATACACCCTCGCAAAAGAAACACGGATTTAACAGTCACGCGCAACTAGGGGAGCAAGACGGTCACGAGAGCTTCTACCCCTGGCACTTCATCAAGCACTACCTGCAAAATGACCACCGCAATCCGGAGCAAGTCAAGTAAGGGACAATCTCCTACCATCACATCACATCAGTTCACTAACCTTCCACGCAAAGCTACCACTTCTGGGGCTCTGACGTGGGCGAAAGGCGTCCCGTCGTCGAGTACGATCACCTCATGACCGACAAGGACGACTCGGGCGTCGCAAAGCTGACAAATCTCATTGTAAGCATGCCCCGTCCTCTGCTACCAGAGGATGACAGGTCAACTGACACCCGCAGCGCGAGTACGGCTTCGCCTTCGTGGACGGAACCCCCTACGACACCCCGGAACCAACACAGCGCGTCCTCGAGAGAATCGCCTTCATCCGCGAGACGCACTACGGCGGCTTCTACGACTTCGTCCCGGACCTCGCCATGGCCGACACGGCCTACACCAACATCGCCCTCCCGGCGCACACGGACACGACCTACTTCACCGACCCGGCCGGCCTACAGGCCTTCCACATGCTCTCCCACGAGGCTCCGCCGGGACAGCAGTTACCCAAAGACGGAAAGCTCGGAGGCGAATCGCTCCTCGTGGACGCCTTTTACGCGGCGCAGATCCTGCAAAAGGAAGACCCGGCCGCGTACGAGATCCTCTCCAAGGTGCGCCTGCCCTGGCACGCGAGCGGCAACGAGGGCATCACCATCTCGCCCGACAAGCGGTACCCCGTGCTCGAGGTCGACCCGCAGACGCGGACGCTGCAGCGGGTGCGGTGGAACAACGACGACCGCGGCGTGGTTCCGTTCACCGACGACGTTTCGCCGACCGAGTGGTACGCGGCGGCGCGCAAGTGGGATGCCATTCTCCGGAGATCCGACGTTGAGTTTTGGTGGCAACTGAAGCCCGGCCAGGTTTTGAGTGAGTGGTGCCATGTCTTGCCTTGAAACGAGACGGGACAAATGCTAATCAGTGTTCAGTCTTTGACAATTGGCGTGTGATGCACGGTAGGAGTGCGTTTGAGGGCAGACGACGCATCGCCGGCGCCTACAGTGAGTATCTCGACTTTCTCCGGTCATCACACGAGCGACGCAACTAACACCGGTAGTTAATCGCGACGACTTTGTCTCCCGCTGGAGAAACACAAACTTCCCCCATGAACAGGTCCTGAACCAGGTTGTTGGCTAGACGGGGCACGAAGGGCCAGGGAACGCATGGCAGGGTGAGTTGCATTGGCATGTGAAGGAGCAAATGGTTCGCGAGTAAAGGCGCAAAGAGGAAACCGTTGATATCATCTCGTCCGTTCCATCGCTGCGTTTTGGCCGATGACCCGCGCGTTTCGTTTCTGGCAGCCCAGGTCTCGTGTCATTGTGTGCCCCCGCGATGTCCCCTGTAGTGTAAAAAAGCGGCTGTAGTGTAGAAGCGCGCCAGTCGAGTCAAGGCGGGGGATGTGCGTTTTAGCCCCGATGGCCCCGCGATTCAGGACCTTGGCCCATTGAGCAAACCCGCCGTGGACATTGGGAATTGACATTTCGCATCTCTGGAGACTTGGACACGGCCCAGTTCAGGAACAATGCGACCCGAATAGCCCCGAAGGCCGGGACCCCATGGCACCAGGTTCCCCCCACAAGAACCTGGAAGTTCTGGAACCCCCCCGGCAACGACCGAGGATGAAGAAGACTTGAGACATGCAGCAGAAGCCTGGAAGGGAATGTTGCGACGACGGCAGCCATGCATAGGCATATCCCTAGTGGCCGTCTTCAGGGTCAATGACGGCTTTGAGACACCTCATTGACCCCTCCATCCGTCCTAGCGTGGAGCGACACAGCATGGAGCAGACAGCTTCCCCCTCCGGGAACCTCCCCTTGAGCCCCACAGCGTCACCTCGCTGTCGATTGTTCCGGCGCATGAGCCAGGGATTCATTGCCGCGGCGCGCCGGCCATACTAGTATTAGTATTAGCTCCTCCCTCGAGGGGGCCGCTTCGTGAATGTACATCGTCGAGTGGAATCCTCAATATCTTTAGAGTGCGGTGAAGCTTTCTCCCTAGAACCTTGTTTGAGTGAATTAGCAGAAGAAGAAAAGAGACCCTCTTGCGGCAATATTCCTCCCTGTCCTGTCGAGTCGACGCTTGTTAAATATGTTCCGCCACGCCCTTCGCGCTGCGGTCTCGCGGCCCCGAGTCCTCTGTGTTCCTCGTGCCGCAGTCGCCAGCAACAGCAACCCCGCGAGATTCCAACCCTTTTCCACGACAGTCGCAAGAATGGCCGACATGAAGGACGGTGCTTTCAAGCACGATGCCACCACGGCCCCGCAAAGCACCCGTGTGCTGCCTCTCTTCTCTCTCAAGGGCAAGACGGCTATTGTTTCTGGAGCTGGTGCTGGCATTGGCTTGCAAATCGCCCATGCCTACGCCGAGGCGGGTGCCAACGTGGCCATCTGGTACAACAGCAACAAAAAGGCCCTGGACCGTGCTGCCGAGATTGAGAAGGAGTACGGCGTCAAGTGTGCGTGGAGGCGCCATGGAAATACGTCCAAGTCGTGTTGCTAACCATTCCGCAGGCAAGGCGTACCCGGTGAACGTCACCTCCCACCAAGCCATTCAGGAGTCGATCCAGCAGATCGTGTCCGAGTTCAACGGCCGCCTCGACATCTTTGTCGCCAACTCGGGCATCGCATGGGAAGAGGGTCCTTTGATCGACGGGCCCATGGACGTTGCCGACAGGGTCATGGCTGTCAACGTCAATGGCACCGTGTACTGCGCCCAAGTTGCTGGGGAGCACTTCCGCAGGCAAAAGAAGGAGGGCACAACGCTCGACGGCAAGAAGCTCGAAGGCTTCACCACTGGTAGCTTTATTGCTACCGCCAGCATGAGCGCTCACGTCGTCAACATCCCGCAGGCGCAAGCCGTGTACAACGCGTCCAAGGCGGCCGTCGTCCACCTCTGTAAGTGCTGTAGTTGCGGAGGAACCGAACGGGGCTGACCAGTGCACAGGCAAGAGCTTGGCTGTTGAATGGGTCGATTTTGCCCGCGTCAACACGGTGTCGCCCGGATACATCAAGACTGAGATTACCGCGTTTGTCGACGAAGAGTCCAAGAAGCAGTGGAGAAACAAGACGCCAATGGGGTGAGTTGCAGAGATGCATTATGTGTGAGTCTGTAGGCTGACTTGACAAACAGACGCGAGGGAGAACCCAGCGAGCTCAAGGGCGCATACTTGTACCTGGCATCGGATGCCGCCTCGTACACCACCGGATCCGATCTTGTCGTCGACGGAGGCTACTGCTTGCCGTAAGAAGCGGAGGAGAATGATACCCATGAGGATGCCGTAGAGATGGAAGATTGCGATGGCGGAGCTGGAGGAAAGAATGGCCGGCGAGCAAGGGTTCCGGAGGCTGCTTGATGAGCCGATAAGCCGAGCCGGAGCTTGCTTGCGTATTGGGTCATTGGCTCGAATGGTGCAGCTATACCAGCGACAACAGGCTGTGAGCACCTTCAAGGTCGAGTCTCAGGGATGCCATGCCGCCATGCTAGTAGACAGACGTGCAGCCGATAGACTGGATAGAAGTACCGGTAGAACGCAAGCCAGAGCAGGGCTGCAAATGATGACAGACTCTAAGACAGTTGGGCCCGTGTCCGAGTGGTGAGAAAACGCGGAGGAGGGGCAGGCGAGCGGGCTGCGTCCAATGCGCGTCGTGATATTCCCATCTTTGGCTGGCCAAGTCCGAGGTGAACCGTGCTGCAGGTTGCGTGTGCACTGCAATTGGAGGCGAAGCGAAGTGGAAAAAGTGCTGGTGCTTTTTGCTGTGGTGGTGCTGTGGTGCTATGGGGAGGGGGAGGGGAAGGGAAGAAAAAGGGTCTAGGTACGGAGTACTGCGTAAGAAGCTGCGAAGCATCATCTAAACTAGGTACGTACCGTTCTTCCTCGAGGTACAAGTTTGGTGGAAGGAAGTGGGGGGAAGGGGCAGAAAAGGCAACTGAGGTGGGCGCCTGTGGCTGCCTCTCGCCACGAAAGAGAGGGGTCAGTTGAGGTACTTGATTCCTCACCCAAACTGGCGCCAGGTGGGATGTACACGCAGCTTCATTGTCCCGCCGTCCGCGGGCATTTGGCGTCTGCCACCTGCCAATTCGTCTGAGGTGACCTACCTTACCTTATCCAATGGAGGTGTGCGTGTTCCCCAGCTCCCAGCTTACCTGAGCGATAGCACCAGCACCCCGAATGCCCTGGATTGGCATGCCGCATCACTGATGAATGGAGGGCGCCTCCCGTACCTTAGTACTTAGCGTTAGTAAAGTGCCCGCCTGCGTAGCGAGCCAGAAACTGGAGACTGACGACTGGTCCTTTAGGTTCCAAGTCTCTGCCAGACACTGGACTGAACAGACCAAGTGCATCCTATCCGTCCCAATTCCCTTCACCCAACTCCCCCTTCTCAGCCCTATCTTTCTCACCTCAATTTTTACCCCTCGCATCGCATCGCAAAGCCTGGCCTCGTCTCTTGCCGTCTCGTGCCCAACGACCTCGCTCCAAACCCAGCTCGCCTCTTTGCAGGCCACCCTTTCCCATCGCGACTTGATCCAGAGCTGGTTCTCGCCTAACCGTTCCCCTTCACCGCTCTGTTTCTCTGCTACCCGAGGACCCTCGTATCCATCATAGATACCCCCCCGGCCGATTAGCACCCCCTTTCGATTTCGCCGCTTCAATCTTCACACACATCACCAGCAATCATGGACCCCGAGGGAGCCAGCACGCCTGGCGAGGGCAGCCGCACCCAGCAGCAGGTCGACAATGCCATCCGCGCCATTCGCGAGAAGAAGCCCCTGCCCGAGATTGATTTCACCATTCATACCATGGAAGATGGCACCCAGGTCAACACCATGGAGCGAGTCTGCAAAGGTACGCTTGATGCTCCCGCTATTGCTTTGCTCCCGCCAGCCTCGCCGTCATCGCTGCGAATGTCCTCGTCTTGAGCTCAGCTCTACGGAGCCCAGTGACCTTAGCGCTAACATTTCTTTGCCACAGACGTCCAGGCCCCCGCCATGTTCACGCCCTCTGACGAGCAGTTCTTCGAGGACGAAACCCACACAAAGCCCAACATCAACTTCCTCAAGCAGCACTTCTACCGCGAGGGTCGCCTGACCGAGGAGCAGGCTCTATGGATCCTCAAGACCTGTACCGAGGTCCTGCGCGCCGAGCCCAACCTGCTTGAGATGGATGCGCCCATCACCGTCTGCGGTGACGTCCACGGCCAGTACTACGATCTCATGAAGCTGTTCGAAGTCGGAGGCGACCCCTCCGAGACGCGCTATCTCTTCCTCGGCGACTACGTCGACAGAGGCTACTTCTCCATCGAGTGCGTCCTGTATCTCTGGTGCTTGAAGATCCACTACCCCAAGACTCTGTGGCTGCTTCGCGGCAACCACGAGTGTCGCCACTTGACCGACTACTTCACCTTCAAGCTCGAGTGCAAGCACAAGTACTCCGAGGCCATCTACGAGGCCTGCATGGAGTCCTTCTGCTGTCTGCCCCTGGCTGCCGTCATGAACAAGCAGTTCCTGTGCATTCACGGTGGTCTGAGCCCGGAGCTTCACACTCTCGACGACTTGCGCAGCGTGAGTATGCACTAGCCTCTGTACGAGGCCTCTAGCTGACCATGTTCTCACAGATTGACCGTTTCCGCGAGCCCCCCACCCAGGGCCTCATGTGCGACATCCTCTGGGCCGACCCTCTCGAGGACTTTGGCCAAGAAAAGACGAGCGACTACTTTTTGCACAACCACGTCCGCGGATGCTCCTACTTCTTCTCATACCCCGCCGCATGCGCCTTCCTCGAGAAGAACAACCTCCTCTCCGTCATTCGTGCCCACGAGGCGCAAGACGCCGGCTACCGCATGTACCGTAAGACTCGCACCACGGGTTTCCCCAGTGTCATGACCATCTTCTCCGCGCCGAATTACCTCGACGTCTACAACAACAAGGCTGCCGTGCTAAAGTACGAGAACAACGTCATGAACATTCGCCAGTTCAACTGCACGCCCCACCCCTACTGGCTGCCCAACTTCATGGACGTCTTCACCTGGTCGCTCCCCTTTGTCGGTGAAAAGATTACCGATATGCTCATCGCCATCCTCAGCACGTGCTCAGAGGAGGAGCTCAAGGAGGACGCCACCCCGTCGTCCACATCCCCCGGCCCCATGTCGCCGCCCCTCTCTGGCGCCTCGCAGGACCCCGAGTCGATCGAGTACAAGAGACGGGCTATCAAGAACAAGATTCTGGCCATTGGCCGTCTCTCGCGTGTATTCCAGGTGTTGCGCGAAGAGTCGGAGCGTGTCACTGAGTTGAAGACCGTCTCTGGTGGCCGATTGCCTGCCGGTACCCTGATGCTGGGTGCCGAGGGTATCAAGAACGCCATCAACACATTCGAGGATGCTCGCAAGGTCGATTTGCAGAACGAGAGACTTCCTCCCAGCCACGACGAGGTTGTGAAGCAGCAAGATGAGGACCGGAAGCAGGCGTTGGAGAAGGCGGCCGAGGATGCGGCCAATGACAAGAAGCTGCAGCAATTGTCTAGGAGATTGAGCACGTGAGTTGCGGTGCACTCCCCCTTAAAGTTTCTTTGACTGACATTCGTACAGCGACCGTAAGAGTCACAAGGGATGAGACGGCGATGTCTTGGGGTAGAGATCTTGGCGATAGAAGGCCCGCGGCGGATGATAGCACACTAGGGCGTCAAGGCTTGGTTTGTTTCAACAAATTAGCTCAGCTAGGAAAGCTGGCATACGAATACAATTAAAGCATTTCAACTTCACGAGGGTCTGGGACGTGTCGGGGGCGTGTTCTTGATTATGTGCTAAACTATGGCTATCGTGTACAGTGTAGGTTGCATGATGGATGATGGACAGCGTGAGTCTGGGTTTTTGGGTGACCATGATGATTGTTAACCACAGACACCCTCGACAATCTCCTCCAAGCTGGTGACGGATCCTGAACCTCATGTTCCTCAAAGTGTTTTACATTTGCTTACATTAGGCAGTTTGTTTACGGTATCCAAGAGACCGGGGAACTGGGGAACTCGACCAGGCTTTCAGAAGATGGCGAGAATATTGGGTGGGCTACACAACCCGTTAGCCAAGATGCAAACCAGACTTCAACAGATCCAAGTCAAACGGGGGTACTCTTCATCTTACCTCGCAACCCCGCCGGGCACATTACACGGCTCGCTCACGACGAAGAAGCTCCACCGCTTTTCGCGCTTACACTGCGCCGCCAGCGCCTCCAGGTCGAAGAGCTCGCCGATGGGCATGCCCCAGCCGGCGAGGAGGACCTCGTGCATCCAGTGCCTCGGGTCGCGGTGGGGCCAGCACTCGAAGGACGGCTGGTCGCCCGCCACGGCGGAGAAGTTGGACCAGACCCAGCGGAGGGTCTCTTCGGATTGGGCTACGCCAGAGAAGGTTTGCGGGACGGCGGCGAGGTGGTTGGATAGGGTTGAGGGGGGGAGGGAGGCGTGTGTTGCTGTGAAGCCTGCGTTTTGTTGTTCAGACCATATTCTCATGAGAGAGGTGTGGTATGGGAATAGGGGGCGAGAGGAGAGAGGACAGAAGAGGGGGGAGATTACCTGTGCGGGTGATGAGGATATCGCCAAACTTGACCTCGGTGCCCTGCGCCTTTAGACAGGCCTGGAGGTCCGCGACGGGGATGGAGTCGCGCGCAAAGGGGTCGTAGGGCATGTTTTGCTCGAGGCGCCAGGTGTGGTAGTCTACGAGGACGCCTCTGCCGACGATGCCGTGTTTCTGCCAGGCTTTTCTGGGCTGTCAGCAGACTGTTGGAACTCAAGCACACGAGGTTGACTCGACGCTCGACAGAAGCTCAGCGGAGGGAGAAGGAGTTGGGAGAGCAGGGGAAATTCGAGAGAGACGGTTCACCTTGAATCCCATTCACGGTCGACCGCCTCCCCTCCTCGTCCACGGCGTGGACCTCGTCCATGGAGACGCCGTTGTAGAACTTTTCCTCCTTTTGGTACCCAAAGTGCCGGAGGCCGTCCCACTGCGACGACGACTGCGAGTTGAAGGTCCACTCGTCGTCGTTTACGAAGCGCGGGTGCTTGCGGTAGAGGTCGTGGTGGAAGGCGCGGCGGTTGAAGAAGGGGGCGGATTGCGCTGTCAGGGGCCAGTTGAGGGAGACTCTGTGTAGCCCCGTCAGTTTTGAGGATTCCACCACTTCAAAATTCCCTCAATCTTGCTCCTTCACCATGGGTCAGGGTTTGGGTCCTGTAAAGTTCACATCGGGATGGCGACGACCTCGCCGGGGTGAAGACGAGAATGAGAAACGTCAGTTTTTACCTCGCGCCCGTCTTAATCTCCTCTTTCGCAGCGGCAGCGACGCGCTCGTCCGTCAACCGGTTCAGCGTCCCCAGCTCGTCCTTGTCGCCGTAGAGGCCCCAGGCCGAGAAGCGCGGGTCGTCTTTGCCGAGGGGCAGGGACTCGAAGGGCGGGATGCCGTTTTCGTCGAGGGCGAATTTGGAGTCTGCGGGGGCCATTGTCTCTGCGTCTTTGGAAGGGGAAGAAGAGGCCTGTGTGAGTTGGTTGCCGAGTTGTTGGAGGCGTTTCATTGCCATTGCTGTAGTTTTTCTTTCCCTATCTTTCAATTCTGAAGTTGCAAGATCTGAGGTTGCTCAGAGCCTGGCTCTTTGTACAAGGTGAGAGGCTCACTTGTTCGATGGGGTAGGTGATGTTATCTCGGCTTGGAGCTCATGCAGGGTGCTTCTCCGCACTTGTGTGAGGCAATCCGATTGTCATTGAGGAGCTGGCGTAGCAGACCGTCATCCGGTCTTTTATTCCCGGGCCTGGACAACATCGTCCGGGAGAGGGGGTGCCGTAGCGCAGCGCAGGATGCATGCCGGTGTTGGCCAAACGTTGCCCCTGCGATTGGCCAGCGGTGATGATGCGAGGAATTCGAAGTTCCTGGGAATGAAGTCTACGACAGCACCGGTGGGGCTGACACGATGGTGAACAAGAGATAGGCGCGACCCGATAGTTCTCTGATGCGTCCTGGCCGGTGCGAATGCAAAAAAGCGCCAGAAACGTAACAAAGAGTCAACTGCCATGTGTTGCTTCAAATAATGTGATGCAAATTCTGATGCTGACCATACCACCCCTATCTACCCATCTATCCTAGTTTCCCTTCAACTTATCCCAAAACGAGCTGGGGGCTTTCTCGACCGGGGGTGACAGGACGATTGTGTTCCAAACGATCTCGCCGTCAATGTATAGGTTGTACTTGAGAGAGCTCTGCTCGCCCTCCGCCAGGTTCTCAATGGTCAAAGAGCCAAACTTGGAGTTGCCAGAGTGGATGTACCTATGCCTGTTAGTATCGTACCTTGGATTCTCTGCGACCGACTTACTTGAGGGACACATCCTCATTGTCGGTCTGTCTGTAGCTTGGCAAGGGCGATGCGAATTGGTTCAGCGGACTGCACGAGAACTCGTACGCGGCGGCGCTCTCGGGCCATCTTCCATCGGCGGGAGGGGGGAACTTGGTGGCCGCAAACTCGTGACGATCGCCAGAGACGACGACAACACCAACGCCCCTGGCGCCAGCATCCCACATGGCCTCGAGAATCTTGCGCCGCTCCACCAGGAAACCTCCCCACGTATCCTTGCGGTTGATGGGCCAGTTCTTGGTCAGGGGAATCGACGAGGCAACAATCTTCCACTTGACCCCCTTGGGCTCAGGCCGATTCAGCCAGGCGAGGAAGTCCTCCAACTGCTCAGCACCCAGCATCGTCTTCTCCGGGCTGTCGGAGGGAACGTCATTGTCGGATCGGTACGAGCGCGTGTCGAGCATGAAGAAGCTCGCAGGGCCCTGGACAAACTCAAAGTAGGTCGCGCCCTGTCTGCGGAGGTTTGTGGTCCCGGCAACACGAGCAGGAGGGGGGTTGGCCAGCTCCTGGTAGTGATGCCACGGCTCGATGGCGGCCCGGTATACGCCAGTGGTGTTTGAAGACCAGTCGTTGCCAATCTCATGGTCATCGAGAACGTGGATCCAGCTAAGGTTCTGTCCCACGGGTGCCCAGTCCGGCGAGGCGTAGACGTGACGGTACTTTTGGCGGTAGTCCTCCTCATTCTTGCCCTGGCGCTTGGGCACGTCAATGTAGATGAAGTCGCCCAAGAAGAGCATGAACTGCGCCTGCAGACTAGGCAAGACCCTCGCCAAGTGGCGCATGCCGGGAATCGCCAGGGCGTGCTCCAAGGGGTTGTACGGGAAGCGTGGGAGGATGCACGAGGTCGACAAAAAGGTGAACTTGTTGTCGTTAAAGGTCGACATCTGCCCAGCTCTAGGCGGGGCCACGAACTCGCCGCTGTGGTTGTTGGACGTGCGCCACTCATAAACTCTCTGCTGGGAGTGCTTCAGGGGCACGGTCAAGGTTGTCGCAAAGTCGGTCGTGTTGTCGGTGAATCTCAGTCCGCCACCAAGCTGCCACATGGGGTTGTCAAACGGCGGCTGCGGGTCCTTGATGTGAATCTCGAGCGTAACGGGCATCTTGGCCTGGTCGGGTTCGCGAATGACGAATTTGGCCTCCGTGGGAGAGACGTACCCAAGGCGCACAAAGGAGAGGTCGTCGACAGGGTGGTACTGTCGAACGCGGAACAAGAAGTCGGCCGTCATTGCGACCAAGGCCAAGTTGATCAGGAAGGTCAAGATGGAAAGAATAGGGCTGGTCGAGCTCGGTGTTCCCGCAAGGAGCGTCTTTAAGGGACTGGACTTTTCTTTCACCACGATAGTCTCCTCGATCTGAATCTGTTCAGCAACGACATGGCCGTTGGTGGCGCCGTCGACATCCTCGGTGACAGTTTCTTTGACCGTCACGTCCACGTCGTCCTCCACGACATCGTACTTTGGCTCATTGATGTAGCCAGACACGAAGGAAGGCACGAATACTGCGAAGAGTGCGAATATGCTCATGGGCACAGCAGCCTAAACCAAGCATGATCAGCACGATGCGCCAAGCCTGGACAGTCAAACGCTCGGGAATAAGTGGAACTTACTGGGCCGGGAAACTAGAGTTGCATCCAATGATTAGCGACCAATTGTTAAGAGACAAAGTTGAAGAACCTACCCATCGCAGAAAGAGGTACGAGACCACTCTCAACGCGATTGAGGATGTGGTTGCGATGCGCGTCTGAACCGCCATAACGCCGAGAGCTCCGTAGTGGGTAGATGTTGGAAATTGCAGGTTGTAGATGCGAAAGATTGAACTGGTGGAGGAATGGTGGAATTAAGTAGTTTGCAGGGATCGTCTGTAGATGCGAAAGATTGAACTGGTGGAGGAATGGTGGAATTAAGTAGTTTGCAGGGATCGTCTGTCAAAGAAAAAAAAGGCAAGAGCTGCTCCCCTTGCAGCTGGGTATTGAAGAGAAAGGACGACGGGAGACAATGGAAGAAGGTTTGATAGAAGGTGCTGGTGGTAGTCCGTGAACCTGCCCTGCCAGAGGTACGGAAGCTCTGCCAGACGTGACGTGACAGCTGAGCTGACCTCCCGTCTGAAGAGATGAGGTCACTGATTGATGAAATGCCCCGTACGCGCTGAAACACCGATAACAAGCCACCTCCCGTCGCATGTGAGCGTGGCTGGTGAGGGAGCTGTTGCTGCTGTGGGGACAGTGGACTGCAGGTGCAAAGGTGCCACCTTGCTCTCCCGCAGATGGAGGTACAGTCTGCCGCTGGCCCGTGCGTGCTCTCAAGGGGCGTAGCGGCGCCAATTTTCCGCGCCGAACTTTCAATCGTGGCCCGTTCTAAGTGACCCTTTTGGCGACAGCTTGTCCAGAATCCCCTGCCTCACGAGTCGACGAGAGATACCCTCACGCGCCCACCCAGGACTCTCTCCACGCAACAACACATCATGAGGGTCTCCGCCATTGCCTGCGGGCTTTTCGCCTGCTTCGTTTCCCAGGTCGCTGCCACGGCATTGACCTACAAGCTCCACGCCAACGAGAAGGCCTGCTTCTACGCCAAGACCCAGAAGGATAACGAGAAGATTGCCTTTTACTTTGCCGTGCGTCCATCACCACCTCAAAGTGCTGCAGCAAGCTAACATCGATGCGTACAGGTCCAATCCGGTGGTTCTTTCGATGTCGACTACACCGTCACCGGCCCGGGCAACAAGATGATCCTCGATGGAGCCAAGGAGCGCCAGGGCGACTTTGTCTTCACGGCCCAGCAGATGGGCGACTACGAGTTCTGCTTCAACAACGAGATGAGTACCTTTGCCGAGAAGTTTGTCGACTTTGAGATTGCCGTACGTTCCCTGAACAACTCCCATCCCAAGCTCTACTGACCCATGACAATCCAGGTCGAGAACGAGGTTCGCGCTCAGCTTCCCGCCAAGCAGGGTGCCTCTCCCGAACAGCACTCCACCCTCGAGGAGACCATCTTCAAGCTCTCCGGCCAGCTCTCGACCATCTCGAGAGGCCAAAAGTACTTCCGCACCAGAGAGAACCGCAACTTCAGCACCGTCCGCAGCACCGAAGGCCGCATCATCAACTTCAGCATGATCCAGTGCGCCCTCATTGTGCTCATGGGAGCTCTGCAGGTGTTTATCGTTCGCTTCTTCTTCCAGGGCGCGCGCAAGGGCTACGTATAAACGGCGCAACGAACCAAAAAGGTTATTCTGGATTTCATCGCGGCGCGGGGTAAAAGGAGTCACCAGGGACTCGTGTATATCACAAGTAAAAAGAAACTTGATGTGGTTCACGGAATGAGATATCTACGACGATCAAAATTCAGCGCTGTTGTCATGAAGGAGGGAGTCTGCAGGTCTACTGGTTCGTGATTGGGAGCCTTGGAGCACATGTAGTACCGGTACCGCTAGTGGACTTGATGAATGGTTTAATGAGTGTTCTCCCTAGAGTCGGCGTTCTTTGTGACGAGGCTGTTGCCATGATGTGTTTGCCCGCAAGTGTCGGGGCCGAGAGCTTGAACGCTTTCAAGACCCGACGGACCAACAGGTACTATTTGCGACGTTCCGCCAGGCCGCACTTTCCCAGATGCCACCCGCTGCCTTTCCTCGCTCTTCCATCAAACTTTCGGACCTACAGCTGCCGCAATTGTGCTACAGACATTGATAGACGGCGTCAACCACTGCCATCCTGAGTGAGCTGTCGGCGACGTTTGATTGGCTGGACCTGTGGCTCGTGCACAAGCCACGGCAGGCTGCAGGTGGACCCGCAGTGGTCTTCCCATCTCGGGCTTGAGCTTCACGAGCTGCGATAGCAACGGTAGCCTCGCGTGCGACCCGTGTAGGTCCCCTCTAGCGACTTTGCTCAGACACTTCACAACCTCACACGCGCATTCTCCCAAGATCAGCGATACCTATGGACCCGAAATCGCATACGCCAGCCCAATCCGCCGCGCCAACGAGCACCTCCAAAACAACACACCACCTCTGCTGAGGTGGATCGCGACTCGTCAATGCCGAGGGACTCGCGCCGCAGCTCCAAACACCCAAAGAAGCACCAGGAACAGCCAAAGGAGGAATGGTACATCATTAAAGACATCCTACAAGAAAGGCGAAACGGCTCGAATATCGAATATCTCGTCGATTGGGAAGACAACCCGGAAACCGGCGAGCGATACCGTCCCACGTGGGTAAGTCTAAGTGGCCCCCCTTGTTTATCGGAGCGATTGTTAACTCCAACCAGGCCCCAAGCAAGGACGTCACTTCGAAAGCGATCTTCGATTGGAGAAGGAAACTCGACTTGGTCTATCAGGAGGACCGTCCCCCGCCAGCAGGAGAATCTGTATTGCGAGACGTCCGAGGTGTAGCACAGCAGGGCTCACCGGCGCGTACTCCGTCCACCAGTTCGATAGACAGTAGCCAGCCCGTGCAGACGGCAAACAGACGCAGGAGACCGCAGTCTAGGCAGTCAGAAGACCTGCAGGATCCAGACTCGGACAACGACTCGAGCCCACCTCAGCAGAAGCGGTACCCTAGTGAGGTTCCTTCCCTGCTGTCGTCGGCATCAGAGGTTGATACCGACGCTGCCTCGGATGTTGCATACAACAACACCACGACCAGCTTCTTCGTGGCGATTCCCTCCAAAGTAGATCGCGACTTTTCAGAATACATTAGTGTATCCGACTCGCAGGGGTCAACCTCCCTCAGCTCTCAACCCATCTCGGCCCTTGAAGACGAGGACAGCCAAGTGGTGATCACTGAGGGCCTCAGTCAGAGGACGATCCCCGATTCTCAAGAGTACTCAGCATTCGATACCCAGGACTCGCTGTTCTCCAGCAGACAAGGAGCCTCGACGAGCAACAAAGGGGACGCCTGTGTTGAGCGTGAGATTCCGGATTCGCAAAAGCAGTCTAGCCTCAGGACCTCCCTGAGTAAGTCTACGGATTCCCAGGCCCGACTCCTCAGTGCACCGGATCACCGTTCACACTTCTTTGTGCGTCGGACACCCTTGGAGTCGCCTCGCCCGGCATCTCAGAATCACCCACCGGAGCCGGTGTCGTCGGGTTACATCCCTTTGACGCAGAACAGCCCTGGACCAAGCCAGGGCCCAAGCTTTGACCTCGACCAAGCCTCACCTTTCCATCGGCATTCCGCCGTAGAGCCTGCAGCATCGCAGCCACCTCGACGCGCCTCGCGTGAACACGACTCCCTTCCTTCAGTCTCTGATAGGTCAATTCCATCGCATCAGGTCGACGAGCTGCGCGCAGTCGAGCAGGCTGAAAACTCCGCCATTGGAGACTATCCCCAGGACTCGCAGCCCACCAGGACGCCTGTTTTCCTCACCCAGCCTGCCTTTGATTTCGACACCTCGACTTCTCAAGCAACTTCATCGGCGAAGAGCGCCTCCAGCAAGTCGCAACAACAGACCGAAAATCAGGAGTGGGCGATTGAGCAAATCATTGCTTGCTCTGATACACGCCCCAGCCAGAACACGCAAGCTGCTCAAGTCGTCCAACCTCTCCTAGATATTTCCGCAAGCCAGAGTTCCACGGAAGAGCCTGTGGTCCCTGATACCGTCCGTCGGAGACCTTCGCGCATACGCTTCAGTGCCACAGTCGCCAGTTCAGGGTCGCCTCCATCGCAACGCGACGAGGACGAGGTTTCCGAGGCCGACAGTTTTCAGACTTGCTTCGAAAGACGGTCACTCCCCCCTCATCCTTCATCATCCAACAGATCCCAAGACGCTGATCGGCCGCTGAGTCTACCCCCAGCCATGGATACTTCGGGCGACGAACCACTCTCTGCGATAGAGGAGCTGATGAGGATCCAAGAAGCTGCGCTGCAAGGCACATTAGGCGAGGCAGGGTTGACGAGTCCGACGACTGACTCGGCTCAGATTCGTCACGATGGCCCCTCAATGGACGCAGATCTTGCATTCTCAGCGCCCATGGATCATCCATCCATCCAAATCAACTCGCAGCCGCCTCTCACAGGAAACTGGACCATGGGAGAGCCAGTCACGTCGTCTACAGATATGCCTAGACTTACCGGCGCTCCGGTCGAGCCAGCGATGAAGCCCCTGATCCACGAAGAGCACCAAACTGCTAGCATGGGAGACATCTTTCCCAGCAATCTCATGCCACCTGAAGCCGCTGAGCAGCTTCCCATCACCATATCCCCCTCAGACATAAGCAGATCAGTCGAGCCCGAAGAGGCATCGAACACACTTCCTCAGCCCGAGGACCATCCTATGGACATGCTGCCGGAAGACCAGACCACCGCAGGCGACCAGAGCACCGTCACTTCGCCGGACATTGAAGAGCCATACCTTTCAGGTCCCCCTACGGCCGTGGACCAGAGCGAATACTTGGTTACGCTCTCGTTCCCGGCCAACATTCGCCCCCTGTATCGGAGCACCATCAAATCCTATCGCAATGTGATTGAGCAGTTCACCAAGGATATGCAGTCCGAGGAAGACGTCCCCGATAAAAACGCTATAGAGTCTATCGGCAAAATGCTCAACCAGCTTCGCGACATTTGCGACATGCCCGCGCCTCTCGACGGTGACTCGATTGATGCCTTGTCCGCAGAAGACCTCAAGAAGCATGCCATGGGCACCAATAGCAAGTTCTTCTTTGTGGGTAGGTTTCTCGAGCGACTCCAGACAAGCCACAAGAAGATACTCATTGTTGCGCGTGACATCAACGTCATTGGTTACCTCGAGGCCATTGTCGGCACCGGGGAGATGGCGTACTCCCTAAAGGGGTTGCATGAGCTGGAAAGCCAGGATGAGCATTCGCTGCTCGTCGTTCTCGTGCACTCCGAGCAGGCTCTCGTCGATGATCTGAGCGACTTTGACGTTGTCATTGGATTCGACAATGGCATTTTGCAGACAGACCTCCTCGACCAATGGAGCAAGATGAATGGGAAGAAGCCAATGCTGCTGAGGCTCACGACGACGTGCTCTATCGAGCACCTGGAGCTACTGTTGCCGGCGGATTTCACGGGCTTGGTACGACAGAATGCGCTATGCATCGCCGTGTGTCAGTCAAGAAAGATGAGCTATCTTGACGAAAGAGATAACCAGGGGGTGATGATTGATCACTATGCAGTTTCATTTGCCAACCAGGCGATCCTTCCCGACCCCGGCTTCGATTGGGACCCCGAGCTTATCCCCTCCTCTGTTCTCGACTTGTACTCGAGCAGCCAGCCCGAGAGCCAAGCAGAGGAGCCGACCCGCAAGCGCAAGACTGTGAGTCGCCCTTTTTTGTTACGGAATCAGTGCTAATCGGGTGTCTAGGATGGCGAGCAGCAGCAAGCTGTCAAACGCCTTCGGGTCAGCCCACTCCCTGGACAAGAGCCGGGAGACATCGACGCGGCGGTCCGCAGTCAGCTCAATCCTCGACCGTCGCAGCTGCACGTCCAGACGACCCAGGAGCATCTGGACACTCTGACGGATAAGGTAGGGAGCGTTGGCACGGCTCGACATTGCAAATTGCTAACGGAGTATCAGGTGTCCGAACTCGAGCATCAGCTAGAGGAGAAGAACAGCATGGAGTCCAACCTCCGAAAACAGGTCATCAATCTTTCCAAGAGGGTCAAGAGCTACGACGAGACCACCAATTCTATTCAGGCGGCACACATGGCGTCGCTTCGGGAACGGGCCAAGTTCGAGGCTGAGCGCGATGAAGCAAAGAGAAAGGAGGAACAGGCTCTGGAGAAGAGCCGTGAGTGGCAAGACAAGGCCCAGGATTTGGAAGAGAAGTTGAGGGCCAAGAGCGCCACTCTCGAAGAAGCTCTCGTCAACGCCGGCACCGTCGCGACGGAGACGTTCAAAGAGAAGACGGCAGAACTCGAAAAGGCCTTGGCCAAGGTGGCGGAGCTCGAGAAGAAACTCGAGAGCCGGGACGGCGAGCTAAGCTACGCGAGAGACGCGTACCAGACGGCCAACCATTCCAATAGCGAGCTCTCGCGAGAGAATCGTGAGCTCAAGGAACAGGTGGCCGCGTTGCAGTCGTCGGCGCCGGGCAACCTCGCGCAGGTCCTCAACGTCACGGCCAACGCCGGACAGCAGGTCAAGGAGATGCAGAGGCAGATTGCCGAGACCAAGGCCATCACCAAGGACCGCGAAAAGGAGCTCGCGCGCGTGGAGAAGGAGCTGCGGGCGCTCAAGAACGGACGCAGGGAGACGAGGCAGCAGAGCGTACCCCGAAGCCCGCGGCTGAGCGTCATGAGCCCGCGAACGGGACGCGTTGCGGGTGGTGGTAATGGTGGTGGTTCGGCTAGTCGAGGGACGTCGCCTACGCCGCACGAGTCTGGCGGCGGTACGCCCGTTGCGGGTCTGCAGTTTTTTAACAACTCGGCCAACAACAGGTGGCCCCATTTGCGGGATTGAGGGTGTGGGACATTGGAGATTGCGAGGAGAGTCTGGAGATGCCAGGGGAAGACATTGTACTGATTTGACGTGTACCGTTGTTACCGAGAGCTCGGTAATGGTTCCCTTGCCCTTAGAGAGAAAGATACCATTGAGAGGGTTTCGCTGTGTTTTGATGCATTGGCTCTGAGAGGTTGCGGTTGAGCTGGATAGTCAATAGATGGCTATATGCTGCGAAAGACCCGTCTTGCTATTTCGTTGGTGATGATCAGAAAGTTGTCGCTTGGCAGCCTGTGACTTGATGCGTCGAGGCGTTGCATTCCCGACGTTTGGAATGCAGGTCCCCCAGTTGTTCCCCACTGAATTGGCTCACTTGCTTGCTCAACGTCACGACTGCCCAGAGGCACGATCGGTAGGGTCTGACGGTCAAGGTCGAACATATGAGATTGAGAAGAGGCTCTAAGATGGTACATGGGACTTTGATTTGGGAAAATCACACTACCAAGAAAAAACTCCCCCTCCCGTTCTATCGGACTTCTCCTACAGACACAAACACGCGCGCAAGCAGACTTTGTCGGGTTTTGCTCCTTTCTTTCCTCTCTTCTTGGCTCCTGTAGAAATATACAAGTTGGTTTTGTCGTTTTGGCCCTAGCCGGGGTGACGTCGAAGCAATTGGATTTCAATGTCCCCTTTCGTTTTAACCCTCTTTTTCGATTGCTGGATTCGGAGGTCGAAAACTTAGTTCTTCTCCTCGGGGTAGATGTCCTCCTTAAGGGGGACGCCGAGCTCTTCCCTCAGGGGCTTGAGCTCCTCGAGGTACTGCTCGTACTGGCCCTTGTTCTCGACCTTGGCCTTGACGCCTATTGGGTTGTGTCAGTTACGGATTCGGTCAATTGGGCAGGGCATCCACAGTCGTTGCTCGGGCCTGCGGAAGGCAATCGGGTGCACGTTGCACAGCTGCAACAGCAACTGGGGAAGGGGGGGGGGGGGGGGTACATACCCTCAAAGATGCGGACGGCGGTAGCAAAGTCGTTGACGCGACGGGCGGCCTTGAGAGCGGCGGCGACGACGGAGGGGGAAGGGACCAAGTCGTAGGCGAAGGCGTTGTTGAGGTTACGCTGTTGTTGCGGTAAGAAAAAGAGTCAGCCTCGCCCCATCAGACCACTTCTTTGCCGGGGGGTACGGGTAGTAGGGGGGACTAGGTTCAGATCCCGAGGGGCATAGTGTCAGAGGCCGTACCTGAAGCTCGAAAACGTCCTGGACGCCATCGAATTCCTTCTCGAATCTGTGGTGCAAAAGTTAGCGGTGCCAATTGAGAAGCGAGTCCGAGGGTCGAGGAGGGTCAATGGCTTCGTCGCGGCGGGATGGAGAGGGATGGAGATGGTGGCATGATGGTGGTTGGCGGGCACAAAAAAAGGGCACCCAATCCTTCCAACATCCCTATCGTCCCTCTCACCCGAGAGTTTCCCTCCAACCCGCACGACCCCCCCTTCGAAACCACCCCCAATCCAATGTGTGGCTCACCTCGCGCTGAACTCCTCAAAGGTCTCCTCGGCGTGGTCGCCGGAGCGGAGGCGGGCGCTGGTGCTGAAGTTGCTGGCGGCCGGGACACCCGCGACGATGGGCAGGAGCATGCCGGAGCGGGCGACGAGAGGCTGGCGGATGGGGTTCGCGCGGAAGAAGCTGGTCGAGCCGCGGGCGGCGACGCGGAGGATAGAGGCAGACATTTTGTTCGATTAGAGAGGAGAGTGGTAGCGGGTCGACCGAAGGGAAGGGCGGATTGCGTCGGTGACGTTGGGAGGATTTTTTCGCGAAAGCTACGGGCGTTTCGTTCGGGATTGAGTCGGATGATGTGGTTGGAGTTTGGTAGGCACGAAAAAGGATTGGATTCTGCGAGATTTTGATTGGATGACTAAGCCGTAGCTTTGGGGAGTGCTTTGCTTTGGGCAGAGCCAATAGCTGCGAAGCTCCAGGCCGTGTGAATTGAGTCTCGGCTGCCGCTGTCTGACGTGTGAATCACCAGCGGATGAACACAGTGTTGGCGCTGTTCGCACGCGTGTCCATCATCAGGCCACTGTGGACGATTCTCCCCCGAATCTGGAAATGGTCATACTCATCCTCCAGGCTCTCACTGGTTCCCCAGGAACCCTGACAGAGTTGCGTGGTGTTTTGGGTGCTTCTTCAACCTACCCCCGGGGATGTGACAGCCCATTGGGACACGCGAACCACGGGGGTTTTGTTCGGATCTCGTAAGGCTCCCCCCCGGGGTTCCCGCAATGGACACAGAGCACCAATTCCCCGGGCCGGAGTTGGGAGCAACTCGAGGCTCCGTTGCACCGACCATCCCATCCTCCCAAGTACGGATACACATGCTGCACGGCTTCTCTTCAAGGGGGAAGGGCTGGTTGGGACGGAAGGGGGAGAAGACACGGGGCCGGAGGTGGCCGGACCAAGAAGCCGGAGATTGTGACGGCATCCAGCACGTCCCCCATCGAGATTCGATGATCGTGGGAGACAGCTGATTAGTACAAGGTCGATTGGGTGCCGGAGCCGAGGCACAATTCTTTTATTGACCCTCTTTCTGCTTGCATAGGCAATCTTGTATGGATACGGGATGCAGTCTACAGATAGTACAGACGAAAGACCTGACTCTCTGTCTGCTCTGTACGGGCTGCGCTGTGCAATTGGCAACGTAGCCTAAACTTCCGAGATTGCAATGTGCATCACGAGCAGTCGAGGTACTCGGTACATGCGGCCGTGACGGTTGTTTTGGGGCTAGGTCGAGTTGGCAGTGGGTTAGCCCGACGGCTAACTGGACCTTGTTCAGCGCAACCCAAGACTCCCGTCTCCGAAGAGTAAGACCTCTCCAGCATGGAACGCATGGAACCAACCTGCAAGGTCTCCAAGACTGGGTTGCAACGGCCCGCGTCGTCTGGCAGCTGACGGTATGCTCGTTGTCTGCAGGATGTTTTGTGATGTTGCCAAGGGTCGAACAGACCGCAGTATCCGAACGACGTAAGCCTGCCGGAGCATCTGGCCAGTCAATCAGGACGGTGAATAATAAACAACGTCCGGCCTTTGACGGCATCTTGTTCCCCGTACTTTGCCTACCTCAAGGTTCCCTGCGTCCACTGTACTTACTCAGGCGGTGACATAGATGGGTCACGTGTTTGCGCGCTACAGGCAGTATCAGTGCCTTGGAAACCCAGGTACCTACGTCGAGTGGGTACGCTGGAGTCGCTGGACGACCAGGTACCCAAATGAGCATAGGCCCAGGCACGGCCCATGATTGGCTGCGCTAGGGTCTGACAGCGAATCACATGCTGCACGATCAAATGAAGGCCGCGAAAAAGGCTGCGCGACAAGTACAGGGTACCTTGACCTTCTGGATCGGAATTTTCCCCTTTTGACCATCTCAACAACTTTTCGCATCGCCGCCTGTTGCTGCTGCTGCTGCTTCCCCGTCCGTCCTCCTTTTTTTTCCTCCTCCTCATAAACCAACTCGTGCCCGTGGCGTTTTTCCCGTTGTCTGATCACCTCCCTTCCGACCCCTCCCCGCGTCTCAATTCTCCAGACTCTCATCGGGTGTCTTGCGGCGGGTAGAGAGCGAGAGAGCGAGAGCGCGTTTTCTGCAATTCTTTTCTTCCCTCCATTATTTGTCGTCACTCCTTAGGCTTCTGCCTCTTTTCTGGGTCGTGTCCATCGAACCGCTTTGCCGCCGCCGCTGCTGCATTGCTGAGTAGAACACACTCTACCTCCTCCATCCCATCAATCCGCGTCTTCCGTGTCGAGTCTCCATCGAAAGACCCACGGCAACCGAACACCTTGTCGCAAATCTTCGCAAGTAGATAATCGCGCCACAACACCGTCTTTCTCGTCTACTCCTTCTCCCACCGAGCTCGACGAAAAAACATATCAACCACCAAGATGGCGGCCACTCAAGCACCTTCCTCGTTCTACGAGCAACTGCCTCTCCCTACGCTCGACCGTCCCTTTGGCATCCACCTATGGCCTCTTCTCGACAAGGTCTGGACTCCCATCGTGGGCTACCCCGTGAGCGAGTTCAGATTCCAGCCTGGCGTCACGCCCATGTCGACCATCAAGTCGGCCGGCATCTTCGTCATCATCTACTACACCATCATCTTTGGAGGACGCGAGTGGATGCGCAACCGCGAGCCCTACAAGCTCAAGGGTCTCTTCCTCGCCCACAACTTGATCCTCACCCTCATCAGCGCCGGTCTCCTCGCTCTCTACATTGAGGAGCTCCTGCCCACTGTTGTCCGCAAGGGCATCTTCCACTCCATCTGCCACGCCGACGGCGGCTGGACCCAGCCTCTCGTTGTCCTCTACTACGTACGTTGCATCGACTGGCGTGCGATTGACACCAGCTGACAAGCCTAGATGACCTATCTCACCAAGTACATGGAGCTGCTCGACACCGTCTTCCTCTTCCTCAAGAAGAAGCCTCTGAGTATGTGCACCTCCCTGATTTGTGTAACCCTCGAGACTGACACTCTACAGCCTTCCTCCACTGCTACCACCACGGCGCGACTGCTCTCCTCTGCTACACCCAGCTAATTGGTTCCACTGCCGTCTCATGGGTTCCCATCACCCTCAACCTCGGCGTCCACGTCGTCATGTACTGGTACTACTTCCAGAGTGCCCGCGGCGTTCGCATCTGGTGGAAGGAGTGGGTCACTCGTTTCCAGATCATCCAGTTCATCATCGATCTCGGTAAGTTGCACCCAGTCCGTCCGTGAACAAAGTACTGACTCTCCCAGGCTTCGTCTACTTCGCCTCCTACACCTACTTCACCTCGACCTACTTCCCCTGGATGCCCAATGCGGGCGAGTGTGCCGGTGAGGAGTTTGCCGCCTTTGCTGGTATCGGTATCCTCAGCTCCTACCTCGTTCTCTTCATCTCCTTCTACCTCGCAACCTACAAGAAGGGCGGCAAGTCCCAGACCCGCAAGTCTCTCCGCCGCATGAGCCAGGCTCCCCTCCCCGACCCTCACGCCGTTGCCTCGGCTGTCGCCGGCCACTCCAACGGCAGCGCCAAGGCCAGCGGAGCCAAGGCCAACGGCTCCTCCACTCCTCGATCCCGCAAGGCGTAAACCCCTTGCCAATCTTGGTGCCGTCCACTCTGTGGAGTGTATATACGCAGGTGACCGCACAGGCATCTGAGGGTCTCTGTTTGCCGATATGTCAACGGCTTAACGCGTTTGGATGTGACGAGACACCTTCTTCTTTGGCTTGACGGCATGCCAGGCCGCGCGACTACGACTTTTTTCCAAGGCGTGGCCTTTTCTTCACAACTGTGTATTACTGCATCGTTCCCTCGCTACTGGCGAGGCAACACTTTGAAAAACGAAAAAAGGAGCCCTGCTGTGATAAGCAGTGGGGGTCTACAGTCGGACGTGTATGACGACCTGGGAGGCTGACGACGTTTGTATGTTTGTGCCTTTGGCGAACTGGGGTGGGGCTGGGCATCATTGCAGAAAAAGACGAAATGATCTTCTGGGCGACGGAAGAACAAGAGGGCCTCAGGCTCTCTCGCCCGGAGGAGGAACAAACTTAGAACATTTGTAATTTTCCTTGTGTTTCTTTGTGTGTCATAGATGGGAGCGGGCCCGTCGCCTCAGCTTTTGGGGGGGCGTGCTGGCTCAATGATACTAATAACTCTTTCACCACAATGCAGACCTGTCTCTGGCTGGTGTGAAGTCTGGGCTGTTGGTCAGCGTCTGGCATGGATTTTCCCCTTGGAAGGACTTGGGACGGCGTGGTTACTCACGCCTGGCCGTATGGTCTCCCTGAATGGTATGTTCTTTTTCTTTCTTCCCCTCTCCCCCTCCCCCAAAATGATGAGTCCTACACGTTACCCAGCTCACTCAGACGCACCAATGTGCGGTTGCTGAGAAAACGTTTGATCACGTCTGATTTTGTTGTACCACACTCTTGTTTCTTTCAAGGACATTTTTGGACAGACCAAGAAGCTGACTTTGTCTTTTCAGGGGTCAATCTGCCGAGATGTGCGGAACATGGGCTCGGCTTTGATGAATGGGATGTAATAGGTAGCAGAATACAATAAAGATCTTTACTGAATTTTGTGCTGCTGTGCCTTGGTGATGTTGACTGGAGATGAGGTCGTGGAGACTTTCTGCGGAAGAGGCCTTGACTTGGGTTGACAAAAGGCTGGCTGACTCGCTCTAGAGATATCGTCTGGATGGCCGAAGGGTGGGCTTGGGACTTCTTCGGTCTTGATGTTGCTCTTTCCTCGAGAAGCATTCTGCCTTCAGGGGTGTTCAATATTCACGAAGGTCAAGTCATGGGGAGATGGGTCTTCGTCTTGGGATGCCTTGACCTTGGCCTAGGACTGACGGGGTAGATCCTAGGGGCGGCGTCTTGCCTACCATCCCAAATCGACCGAGAAAGGACATCTTTTGCCGTTTGACAGAGGATCGATATTCTGGTGCCATAGTTCCCAAGGGGCAAAGGATCAGTGGTTGGAGCGCGCTTCAGGTCGTCCATTGTTCGATATCTAGGGGAGAAGCCTGGAGAGAAGGGGTAGTTGGTGGTTTGGAATGTGGCTCAGTTGTGGATCAATATCCGAGGCTTTTGTCTGGGTTGGGATGCCGGCCAAGAACTCGAGATCGACAATGCTTGAACCCCCAACCCCCCCTTTTTTTCTTTTCTTTCTTTTATTCTTGCAACGCTGATGGTGTTTAGGAGGCTTTTGGGGAGTATCTCTTGCTGGCTATGGCATCACCTTTTGCTCAAACTGTCGTCTCTTATGTGGAAAAGACATTCCATCTCTTCCAGCAACGTACACGTCCTGCCGTGCCACACACAACCTACGACCGCCGCCGCTACCACGAGTCACACTCTTCCCGTCCTCGCCCTGGCCTTTCGCGCCCATCCATCCCAACGATCCTCACACAACCCGGTCAGCTTCTTCCCTCAAGGTATCCCATCCAGGTGGAAAGGTCCTTGGGCGAGAGGACCGTAACGCCTCCCAACCACAAGCTGACCGAGTCCACCCGATGGATCAATGGTAAAAGCGAACAGGCTTGCCGTAGTCGTAGGGTCACAAATACTACCACGATAACCCCACCGATCGGGGTTTCGAGTCCTGTGCTGCCTTGTGGTTGCGGCGGTAGAGCTCGGGTAGCGCCGGGTCTCGTACCTGAAAGGGGGTAGATTGGGCGTCGAACATATTTTTTTGTGATTTTGGGTATTGATTTGGTTGTGTAATGGTGGGTTAAAGATGGCGAAAGGGGGGCGATTGCGGGATTCGAACGCGGTGATGATGGTGATGGTGCGAATGGTGGTGAGGACCTTGGGGGGCTGGATGGATGGGATTGCCGATTGCCCCCTTTTCTACGCTCGGAGCGTCGGGCTAGGTATACGCAAACGATAGTCATGTTCAGGTCCAGCTTGAATGGCTAAAGAGCTTGTTCAAACTCGGTTTCTACTCCTGTAAACACCATCCTGCTGCATCCGCATTCCCCTCCCGAAATCGACCCAGACCGACCCGAAGCCTGCCACTGATCCTTTCTCCCTTGGAGTTCAAGCCATCAGACTGTCAGAATCTGCTTGAGAGCCGCACTTCCAAATCGGAGAGAGGAAGATATATGCCCCCCCTCAAAGTGCTCCGAGGCTCCAGCTACCTTTCACGATGAGACATCCGAGGCAATACCTAGCCACACTGCTAATATGGCCCAGACTTGGTGATTGATGGACGGCTCAGGGACCAGAGGATTCCCACGAGCCAACTAGCACGAATCTACCCCCCTTTGAATTTCCTTTCCGAGAGGAACTCGGCCCATCATGATGAGCAAGGCACGGCGTTCTACCTTGAGTATCATCCACGAATCTGGCATGATCACAAGCCCACATGTCACAGTGCAAAAGGTTACCATGGTGCGTAATCAACCTTTGAATGAATGTCCGGTATCTAGATCCAGAGAGTGTGTGATCTCTCTCCAGAGATGAGAATGCCTATTTGCCGCGACGAACCCCACTTCTCTTTCCCCGTCGGCTTGAAGAGAGCGTAGTACTCAGACCCTTCATGGGGTGCTGAATTATGAAATACCCTGTCCCGGTCATCGTTGACCCGCAACAAAGACGCAGAGGAAATATAACTAAAGAAAGAGGAGAGAATAGAGGCCCACCCAGACCCAACGGAACCCCAAAAGCACGAACAGAGGACACTACGCCCGTCTCCTCCCAGCAGCAGGCGGCGCAGCCGGAACCGGGACAGGAACAGGCAACGCGTCAACGGGAGCAGGCGCGGCGGGAATAGCAGAGGCACTGGCACTCGGCGCACCAGAAGCAGCGGGAGCACAGCCGAGGTTGCAGGGCGTCTCGCAGCGGCCGATAAAGTCGGGCTCGTCGTTCTTGCAGCGGCCCTGGCAGGGGCAGATGAGCTCGATGGCGGAGCCCGTCTTTTGCCCGGGCGGGCAGATGCAGACGAAGAGGGTGTTCTCGAGGGACTCGACGGCCGGGGCGGCGGCGGCGCAGTTTGTGCCTGGGGTTGCGCAGTAGCCTTGGCCTACTTGTTCGGTTGTGTAGCCTGCACGGGTGTTAGGATCTCGTGGGAGAAGGGGAGTTTCTTTTGTCTGGAGACGTGGAGGCAGAGATGTGAGGGGAGGGGAAGCTGCGGATAGTACCTTGGAAGCCGACGAGGACTTTGCCGCAGTAGGTTGCGCCGCAGACGCAGTGGGCGACGCCGGGAGCGGGTGCCGGCTGCGCTGGGCCTGAGGGAGCGGGCGCGGGGACGGGGTCCGGGCCGGGGTTGTTCGGGATGGGCTCGGTGGGCGCGGGCGGTTGGCCGTTGACGGTGATTGTCGTGATGGAGGTTGAGACTGGTGGCACTTGAGGGTCTTGTGGCGCGGCAGAGGCCCAGGCCAGGAGGGCGGCCAGTGATAGGATGTTCAACTTCATGTCTGCGTGGTGGGAGGACTGGGAGAGGTGATATTTTGGTTATGCGAAGAGATGATTGCCGCTACTCTGGCGTTTTTGGTGATGAGGAGGACGGGATTGCGTGATTGACTGCTCACTTTATACACATTGTCGACGTCCAACTTCTTCGTCATGATGCGATTTTTGGGCGAGAGAACTCGTAGGACGTTGAGCATTGTCTGACGTTTCTTCTCGTGGACTCGGCTGATGTAGTTTACACGTTGTCCGTTGCACCCGTGACGAAGGTGATACCGCAATGGGAATCGACGTAGAGTCAAGCAAGTCCATGTTGTGATCTGACCAATATTGAATTCGATCTGTTCGGTTGCTTCTAACCTCAGAGATTCAATCCGCGAAGATGTATTGTGCTGTGCTAGACACTAGTCAGATTCTACCACAACCGCAGACATCGTTGACTCCAAAGACGACAAGACGATGCTAGGCTCATGCCAATTTGACAGCTGCATCTGTTCCGCGTCATCGTACTTCATCACTTGCCGCAATCCGATCTCGCGAGGCACAAAAGTAACCCGTCCACACGGGTGCAACAGGACTCGACGAGGCAGAGCATGCCGACCACGTCAAGACCCAGAGCGACGGACTATCGCCACAAGTTGAGGTAGCCCAGGAGAAGAACACGAAGTCGGTGTTCCCCTGTGCCCCTCGATTCCCACCTCAGCTTGCATATGTCGGGCTCACCGAGGTTCTTCCCCTGACCGTGACGACCAGAGAACCACCTTACGTCGCAACGTGTTGTCTCAAGGAGATTAGGGAAATAGGAGCAATTCAAAAAACATCAATATCGTGGTCGTATCGTGTTCTGTGCCTCGACACGTCAGAGGTGTTTGCCCTGCACGATGGCGGATGTTCCCACGCACACCCAGAGCTCTGTGTGATTTCAGGTGTTGAGGAAACGGTCTGCAGAGATACGATAGAGCCGATACCGACCTCGAAGATGCCGAAGCCGAATTGGCCATGGGATCCCCATTTTGGTGGGGACCATGCTATGACGTCTGATTCGAGAAAGACAAAAGTTCGGCTTGAAGCTGACGGGATGCAGTCGGAGGCTCGGAGATGCGGCGGCGGAGGTGGGTCCCGGGGCCCTGCAGACACAGTGTCGGCTACAGTCCCGTCACAGTACCGAACTTGTGCTACCCCTCCATCCCCGCCATCGCTCCTACCTGCCTGCCGAGTACTCCAACCTGCCAAACTCCGAAGCCAAAATTCAATTCTCGAGTTCGACGACACACCCCACGCCAGCCCAACAACTCGCAATTGACTTTGCTGAAGCCGGGAAAGAACCGTAGATTGCACCGAAAGACGACACTCCCATCCAAACACCTCACACCACCGTCACAATGGCCGCCGCACCCGAGAACGGCACCCCCATCCACGTCGGCACGCGCAGGTCGGCGCTGGCGATGAAGCAGACGGAGATCGTCGTCGAGGGCCTCTCGAAAGCCCGCCCCGACGCCACGTTCGAGATCCACAGCATGCAGACCCTCGGCGACAAGGACCAGATCACGGCGCTCTACAACTTTGGCGGCAAGGGCCTGTGGACCAACGAGCTCGAGGCGAAGCTCGTCGCCAAGGAGCTCGACATCATTGTCCACTCCCTCAAGGACATGCCCACGACCCTGCCGGACGGCTGCACCCTCGGCTGCGTCACGAAGCGCGAGGATCCGCGCGACGTCGTCGTCTTCAAGGCCGGGCTCGCCGAGCGGCACGGCTGGAAGACGCTGGGCGACCTCCCCGCGGGCAGCGTCATCGGCACCAGCAGCATCCGCCGCATCGCGCAGCTGAAGCGCCGCTACCCGGGCCTGAAATTCGCCGACGTCCGCGGCAACATCGAGACGCGCCTGCGCAAGTGCGACGACCCCGAGGGCCCCTTCTCGGCCATCATCCTCGCCGCGGCGGGCCTGCTGCGCATGGACTACGGCGCGCGCATCTCGCAGTACCTCGACTCGGAGAACGGCGGCACGCTGCACGCCGTCGGACAGGGCGCGCTGGGGATCGAGGCGAGGGCCGGCGACGAGAGGGTGCTGAGCGTGCTGCGGGAGCTCGAGGACGGGCCGACGATGCTGGCGTGCGTGGCGGAGCGGAGCGTCATGCGCACGCTCGAGGGCGGGTGCAGCGTGCCGATCGGCGTCGAGACGAGCTGGGTCGAGGTCGAAGGGAGAAAGAAGCTGCGCCTCAAGGCGACGGTGGTGCACGTTGACGGCACGCAGGGCGTGGACGCGGAGAGGACCGAGGTGATTGCGACGCGGGAGGAGGCGGATGACTTTGGCAAGCTCGTGGCGCAGGACCTGGTGGACGGGGGCGCGCAGAAGATCCTGGATGATATCAACCAGGCGCGGCCGGGTGACCAGATTGCGACGGCGGAGACTGCGGCGGCGGCGAATGCTGCTGCGTAACGAACTTATGACACAATCGGACAAAAAGACACTATTCGGAAGAAAATAGACTGTTCCCAGAGGAACCATGTGATGACCATAATCTCTCATTTGCTCTATGTTGGTGGCTACCACGTTGTTGAACCGCAAACCCCGAAAGTGAATACCCGCTTGGCGTTGGCGTATAGTACAGACACACTCTGCCCGGTTGAACTGCCGGCTACCTATATCTCACCAAACCATTGCTCTCTCCCCCCTTCTCCCCATCCAATCTAGTGATCCTCAGAAGCGGTGAAGGCCTTGTACTCCTCCTCGCCCATGAGGGCCTCGAGCTCCTGGACGCCCGCCTCGTCGACCTCGACTTTAGCGATCCAGCCGCCGCCGTGGGAGTCGTCCTCGGGCACCTTGTTGATGGTGCCGGGCTTCTCCTCGAGGCCGAGGTTGACCTGGGTGACCTTGCAGCTGATGGGCGCGTTGATGTCGGCGGCGCTCTTGACGGACTCGACGGCGCCGATGGCGTCGCCCTGGGCGACCTCCGTGCCCTCCTCGGGGAGCTCGACGTAGACGACGTCGCCCAGGGCGTCGGCGGCGTACTGGGAGATGCCGACGACGCCCGTCTTCTTGTCGGCGTTGAGGTCGATCCACTCGTGGTCCTTTGTGTACTTGCGTATTAAGCCTGTTTGTCGAGGTTCGGAAGCAGGTCCGAGGGGTCAGTCTTTTTGGTGTTTGATACCTTCGGGTGGGGAGCCGAGGCGTGGGAAGGGGAGCTCACTGCTGGGGGTTGTAGAGAAGCTGCGCTGCGCGGGACGGGGGAAAAAGGCGCGGGGAGCGGCCTTGGTGAGCTGGGAGAGGGCGGAGGGGCGGACTGCCCTCATGCTGCGTGCAATTGAGGCCATTTTGAGGTTTTTGGCGAGAGAAGACGTTTGGTGGTGTCGAGGAGTGGTGGTAGGTTTTTGGAGTTTGAGAATGAGGTCAGAACGGCCGACTTTAGAGCTTCCGGGGGAATTTGGGGCCTGGGCGGCTGATAGGTTATCGAGAGGTACGTACCGGCCTACCGAGACCGGGAACTCTTCCATCAAACAGCAGCAGTTGAGCCAATCAGGGAACAGGTTTCTCGAGCCGCCGTCGCCTTAGTCATGGCTGTTTGGGCGGACTGCCATCGGCCCGGGGCCGCAGGAGCCAGCTTGGGGTCACTGGATGCAGGGCGATAAGAGACCGCGCTGGGTTGGAGGGAGAGCGATAGGAGGGGAAGCCGAGAGCGCCCTCTTTGGAAGTCCCCAGCCAGTCTCGGTCTGTCTGCTGCCAGTCTGCCAGTCTCTCTGCACACCTGAGGCAGTCACCAGTGAGGCAGTCACAGGGAAGCCCCGCGGGTGGGAATCAAGAGACGACGTAGCCGGGCATGAACCCAAGGTCCCAAGGGCTCGGACGGAGCGGGCCAGGAGTCCGTTGCGAGGCCACCCGGGAGTGTCCCGTCTCCTGGTCTGGGTATTTCGGGCGGGTGCCAGGTGGACTGGCGGACGTGGTCAACCATGGGCCGTGGTGGACTATAACAACGGCCTCATGCCGTTTGCATGAATTCCCCATTTCGAGCCTGCGAAATTGCATGGCAGAAACGTTCTAGTCTCGATCTCATCGGTTTTCTTTACACCTGGAGTCTTGTTCCCTCTCCTTTTTTCTTTTTCTTTTTCTTTTCTGCCGCCTGATTTTTGTTGGAATTTTCTTTGGGTCTGGTCTCTGCTTCGGAATGACGAAGCCTCTGCGCCCTGCAATTGAGGTCGGGGTCTGTTTCCAAGGCAGAGATAGAGTTGGCAATAGCCTCATTCCAGAATTGCGGTCAGAGGCCTGGCTTGTTTGCCGAGCGGGAGCCTGAGGTTCGAGCCCGGGCCCGGGACTCTGTGCATCGTCCCATGTCGCGTGCGCTTAAGTAATGGGAACCCGAGCGTGATGGGGGGGTTGTTGACTTTGGGGCAAGTTTTCTATTGACATTGGGCGCTGTGCTTTTTCCACTGCGCACCGGACAACGAGCTGCAGCTGCACGAATTAATCGGCCAATGTCACGTCGCAAACGACGGCGTTTCTCTAATTGTCAACATTGCAGACGCTGTCAACAACACAGTGATGTTGTTCATGTCTGCAGAGGAACTCGATTGCAAGCCAGGCAGATGTGATTCCTGACCAGTGACGACTGACGACTGACGACATGAGGCTCACCGCCCTCGAAAGTTGTGCCTTGTTTGGTGAGGCTCGGCTGGTCCGTCTGAACGTTTTTGTCTCAGTGCCTTGCCCGCGCTACGGATGCTCGTACGGTGCCGTGGGTGCGCCCACCGTTCGAATGTGTCCCTGTCGAGTCCCACTGACTTCAGGCGAAGCTGAAAGAAGCCCAAGAGCCCACCAGTCAGTGGGCCTGGAAGAAAAAACCAGGAAGAAAAGAATGGAAGAAAATTGGCAAGTATTAATAAACGAGGAGGGATCGTGTGTATGCGTCGATTCGATTCCATAAATGCCGCCGCCCGTGATGCATCATCATCCATAATCCTCGAAGCCAATAGCACCAAATCTCCCGCACAAGGTGCTAGATGTGTTAGTGCACGAAAGGGAGATGCGCCTGTGTCCTGTGGTGCGTGGGGCGGCTGAACAAACATTGCCTACCTGCCTTAAGGTACTGTGTAGTGTGTACGGAGTACTGGAGGATTGTGTGCATAAAACGCGTCCGTCTCGCGTCTTCTCCACACAACCGTGGCCTAGGTACTGCGTACTGCGTAGTGTACTTCGTACTTGCTCAACTTTGGCGTCATTGCCAGTGCACGAAATGTACCGAAGTATCCATCCCGGCCATCTGACTGGCTGCTTTCTTTCCCCTGGGCCCCTGTCGCACCTCCCTTCCTCGATCTGCCATAAGCGCCACGGCCTGGGGATGGCCCTGACTTGTCGTTTACCTGGGCTTTCCTGCGCTGGCGTGCCTCACCAAGGTACCTAATGCTCCGCTAAATCACCCAAGCCAAAGAGTCGCTTGCTTCCCTTTACTGGCCGTGTCCCTCCACTGGCTGTGTGTGCCTGTCCCTGGTGGGTACGTACTTCCGAATGTTATGTTGCACTGACATCCCATCTTCCCCCTCCCCCCTCTCTTGCACCAAAACACGACAACGGGGGGCAGCACAGCACAACAAAGTCGCACAAGCATCTCCTCAGCATCCCGTTTATCCATACTCCGTACACAATCCGCCATCTCAAAGTGCACCCCGACGCGCACAACTTCCCTGGCGCTTGACATTGACATCCACGGGTGCTTAGTGCTTGGTGCTTGGCCTTGCCTGGATCTCCGCTACTCCATCCCCACACCCTGACTCCCTCCCCTGGGCCCGTTTCGGTACATTCCATGACCGTCACCTCCAGCTCCTGCTGCCATCGAGTATCCGTACCGCACCGCCGCATCTCATCGCCATCCCGTCCCGTCGTCGATACCTGACCCTTTCTGTCTCTCGCTCGCCTTGTCTTGCCTCACCGTCTGCTGCAACCTGGCACCTTTCAACCTCGTCTCTTCGCCAAACCCACCCACCAAATCGAGGGCTTCCTGTTGTCGTCGTCAAGCCTCAGCCCGGCCCTTGCAACTCGGCCACGACGAAGTAGTCGCCTGTTGATACTACACACTGCCGGTACGTTCGTCTGGCCCATTCCCATTGCTCAGCTCGAGGTGGGCAACCCCTGCTTCAACTCGTCGTCCAATCCCCTCTCTTGTTCCCGCACCGCACCGTCTCAAGGTCCCGTACCGTCCACACCACGCTCCTGTCCCTCCTCTCTTCCTCTCGACTTGCGTGTGTGGAGAGGCTAGGTGAGACATCTTTGCCTGAACACTCATTCCCTCTCTTCCACCTCACCCGTCCACCTCCACGAGTTGCGTCGACGTCGCCAATCCTAATCAGTGACAGACATCATCTCGTATAGTCGCCGCCCTTTGCTACCCCATCGATCGCCGCGCCGCCGCCCTGGCAAGCGCTCCATGAAGCCATCATCGGGCTTGTACTGAAACCTGCCGCCCTCTCCTCGACCTTCTTTTGGGACTCGGCGCCGACTGTCACTTGTCCTCGCTCATCGGCAAGCCGGTAAACATCAGCATCGTCATCTTTCCCGCCCCTTGCTCGACACGGAGCCTCCCGTCCCGCACCCTCGAATCTCCACGCTGGATTCCTCAACACTGTCCGCGGGGTCACCGGCCCAGTTCCACGACGCAGTCGACACCATGGACCACGATCACTTGGCTGCCCAGCCTCACCCCGACGACACCATCGGTGCCTTCGATGTCTCTCCCCAGGTGGCCCAGAACAACGGCTACGACCACCCAGAGCCCCAGCGTCACCAGTCAAGTCAGTCCCTCGACCATGGCCTCCCACAATCCCCGCGACCCGAAGAGCAGCACTCGGATCGCTACAACACACCACCACTTCCCGTGAACGCCCCGTCCATCTCAAGGCCTGCGTCTGGACTCTCCGGCGCCGGCGCGCAACAAGGCTACGCCGACCATGCGTCGCGCAGCAGCGCCGGTGCGGAAGCCGCCGCCAGCAACGGTCGCAACCACGTCGTCATCAAGGTCGGCATGGTGGGCGATGCGCAAATCGGCAAGACCAGTCTCATGGTCAAGTACGTGGAAGGAAGCTGGGACGAGGACTACATCCAGACGCTAGGCGTCAACTTTATGGAGAAGACCATTTCCATCCGGAATACGGAAATCACCTTTTCCATTTGGGATTTGGGCGGCCAGCGCGAGTTTGTCAACATGCTGCCGCTGGTCTGCAACGACGCCGTCGCCATTCTCTTCATGTTCGATCTGACACGGAAGAGCACCCTCAACAGCATCAAGGAGTGGTACAGGCAAGGCAGGGGCTTCAACAAGACGGCCATCCCCATCTTGGTCGGCACCAAGTATGACCACTTTGTCAACTTTCCGCGAGAGGACCAAGAAGAGATCTCGAACCAGGTACGTCGTCAAAGAGTCTCTCTCGTGGCTCGGCGCTAACAGAACAGGCTCGCCGGTTCGCCAAGGCAATGCGCGCTGCGTTGATCTTCTCTAGCACGAGCCATAGTATCAACGTGCAAAAGGTGAGCCCCTCTTTCGCCGTGGTATCGCACTGGACTGACCATCTACAGATCTTCAAGATTGTGCTGTCCAAGGCCTTCGACCTCAAGTGCACCATTCCCGAAATCGAAAACGTCGGAGAGCCGCTACTCCTGTATCAGTCCTGCTGATCGCCGTCAGCGGTCTGATGTGGCCTCGCGCCAACTACAATCGTCTCGGCCGCCCATAACGAATGGATCATGACCCATTACGTCCTTACGACCTTCGATATCCAGGCTGGCATCCATCAGCCGAGCTACAAAAAGTCATCTCAGGCGACAACACTGCCAAATTCGAGTGACTATACAGAGCACCCCCCACGGCTCTCCCTGGCATAATCAGCCCCTTAAAACAAACCGACTCGCTTCTTTCTTTTGTTACCAACATGGCCTCCATGGCCCGATCACAGCGCTTTTCAGTGTCACCAGTCTGGTTAATCGCGCACACATCACACACAACCACATTCCTCACTCTCTGATTGCAATCGGCGTTGCATATCTCTTCAACCTTTACTTCTCAAGATTGGTAGGGACACGGCGGATTGGCTGGAGGGCGGGATGAGATGCATTTTAGGACTACGGTTTGGCGGTGGGCCTCGCTCGCTTGATCGATCCCTTCTCACCACGAAAAGGGGGATGGAGTGCTGAGACAGAGCAGTGCCCACCGTCTTGTTTCCAGGCGTAACGGCCGCTGCGAAACTGTTCCGGAGAGGAAATCTTGGGCAGCAAAACTTGCTTTTTTTCCATCACAGAATTTTTTTTTGTCGAATTCTTGACACTACTCAACCAAACACACCCACACAGTTGTTGTTTTCCCATCTGGGATGGTCTCTGGGGATGGACTGACCTGATACAAGAAAGAAAGAGACCACACCATGTAACAAGTAATTCCACCCACGCGTGCTTTTTACTTTAAGAGCCCCTTTTTTTCCTCTCTCTACCATACGGACTATTTCCTCTTGGGGGAGACTGGGGCAAAGCGGCATTCCAAATAGGTGAAGGAGATGGGGGAGAAGAAGGAGGGGGAGGAACCATGTAATGAATATTGTGAAAGGGTCCTTGGCCGTTTTAGGCGCGGGAGGCCCAATGGAACGAATTCCAGATGCCGTTTCCAGAGATTTCGACGTGTTGCGCTGTGATGTTAAGGTTTTTGACGTTCTGCTGCCGCTGCCATGCTCGCTGTCAGACCTGGGCTGCCTGTTTGGAGCTGCGAGATTGGGTGCTCGGCTTCTTGGAGAGTGTCTCTCGTCGAGATGTTACCTGGAGTGGGTTTTGCTGGGCTTCCGTTGGCGGGGACTTTTTGTCTGGAGGAGAGGGAAACAGCTGTGTTGGCCTTTTACCCTTGCCCGAATGTGTGTGTGTGTAAGGAGAGATGTCTGAAAGGTAGCGAGCAAGAGGTTAGGAAGACGTTGATCATGGTTTTGGTTTTTTTTTAGGATTCATGAGGAGTACCGAGCTTGGTATGGTGTTTTCTTTGGTTGGGGCCCATCGTGTTCTCTGTCTTGATCTGTCTATCTGTCTTTCGCACCCGATTTGAGGCCGGGGATTTGCATAAGAGAGGGGGGGGGGGGTTGTGGTGTGTGGTTTCGTTTCTTGTGAAGGGAGATTTCGTTGCTGCGGGTGGGTTGATGGTTTTCGGGATGAGATGTTATAGCCCCTTGGTTGCAAGTTGGAAAGTCGGAAAGTCAGGGGCAGAAGTCGGGGGCAGAAGCAGAGGCGGATTCTTGAGCCTCTGGTCATCGAGGACGTCTCAACGTCTTTCCCTTTGCTGTTTGGCATTTCCTTCCCCGCTCACGGTTTGATACCATCACAGCTCTCTCTCTCTCTCTCTCTCTCTCTCTCTCTCTCTCTTTCTCTTTCTCTCTTTCCTGAGTCTGTCACATGTCAAGTCACTTGAGCTCTTTGGCGCTTCTGCTCGATAGATCGTGTGTTGCGATTCATACTTTGACTAACAGAAACTACCGCTACGTCCTTGAATCACAGTATATACAAAGCGCGCTAAAACGGAAGAAGGAAAGAAGCAATATAGCTAAGAGATATGTTGTTCACGATGAAGAGCTCCCTTGTAGATGCAGCGCCTCTAGGGGGAAAGATCAGATGCTTCCTGAGTTCCCAAAAACATGGGTTGCCAGCCGGAGGTGTCTTATAGTTGTGCGAAACGGAGATCTCTCTAGAATCTATGTTGCTCGAGTCTCGACGGCTGCTTTGATTGCTGTGAAAGAGACATAGTCAGTTCTCTGTGTCTGATCAATCAATGAGGAAGAAAAGGGAGCACATACCGTCGCAAGTCACTTTGGCGTCTCCAAACAACATGCGTGTTCCGGGCATGTAGAACATGGGATTCGGTACGTCGGCTGTTCCACGGTTAGTCGATGCCTCTATGCAAATATCTCGATGCCTTCCAACTCACCATATCCACTGGCCATGCCCCTCTTCATCACAATGACCTGCTTGCTCTTCCACGCCTGAAGCACAGGCATACCCGCAATCGGGCTACCGGGCTCCAGAGCGATGGGGTTGACGGTATCGTTGGCGCCAATCACGAGCGTGACGTCCGTCTCGCCGAAATCGTCGTTAATCTCGTCCATCTCAAGCACGATGTCGTACGGCACGCTCGCCTCGGCCAGGAGCACGTTGCACTGGCCCGGCATGCGGCCGGCGACGGGGTGGATGGCGAAGCGGACGTTGATGCCCTTGGCGCGGAGCATGCCCGTGATCTCGCTGATGGCGTACTGCGCTTTCGCGACGGCCATGCCGTAGCCGACGACGATGATTACGTTTTCGGCGTTGACGAGCGCCTCGGCCGTGTCTTCCACGTTTGTCTGCGTCACGGCGCCTTCCATTTTGTAGTCTGTTTGTGCGGGTGTCGAGGCGATGCCGCCGAAGAGGACGTTTGTGAGGGAGCGGTTCATGGCGACGCACATTATGTACGAGAGGATGGAGCCGGATACGCCGATGAGGGCGCCGACGGTTGTGAGGAGGGGGTTGTCGAGCATGAAGCCTTCGGCGACGAGGGCGAAGCCCGAGTAGGCGTTGAGCACGGTGATGACGACGGGCATGTCTGCGCCGCCGATGGCGGCCGTGGTGGTGTACCCTTTTGCGAAGGAGAGGATCGTGTTGGCGGAGAGGGCCATGGCGGCGATCATGGGGGAGCCGGGGGCGAGGGTGACGAAGGCGCCCATGGTGCCGATGTTGGCGGCCAGCATGCCCGAGTTGAGGAGGTGTTTGCCGGGCAGGACGAGGGGTTTGGAGGACATCCTACCGGCGAGCTTGAGGAAGGCGACGATGGAGCCGGTGAAGGTGATGCCGCCGATGAGGACGCCGAGGTAGCCCGTGACGAGGTGCAGCGTGGAGATGTCGTCAATGTGCGCCATGACGCTGCCGATGGAGGTCAGCACGGCGGCGAGGCCGACGACGGAGTGCAGGGCCGCGACGGTCTGCGGGAGGTCGGTGGGCGTGATGCGCTTGCCGATGACGAGGCCCGCGACGCCGCCCAGGGCCGCGAGGCCGGCGAACTGCGTGAGCACCTCCGGGGAGAAGCCGACGGCCAGCAGGGAGGCCAGCACGCCGGAGCCGACGCCGAGCATGCCGAGCATGTTGCCCATGCGGGCGGTCGCCTGGGAGGCGAGGCTGGAGAGGGAGCTGATGCAGAGGACGGAGGAGACGGCGTAGCCTGCCTGCACGAGGCCCGCTGCGCCGGTGGCGGCGGCGGCGATGTAGCCGCCGCCGAAGAGGGCTGCCGGCACGGCGTAGAGCCAGGGGTACTCGGGCGGGTCGGTGGGGCGTTTGAACATGTCGAGCATGCGCTTTGTGAGGACGAAGCCGCCCGAGACGTTGACGAAGGCGAGGAGGACGGAGGCGGCGCCGAGGGCTTGGGGGATGGTTTGGGGGAGGTAACCTCCGCCTAGGATGAAGAGGCCGCCGATGCCGACCATGCCTATGGGATGTTAGCTACGATCTCGGCTGAACATGAGAACTGCTGACCTGAGATGGCGTTGGTGACGCTCATGAGGGGCGAGTGAAGCGCGGGCGTGACGCCCCAGACGACGCGGTATCCGATCAGCGAGGCCAGCGCGAACGTGAAGGCGTTGCCCATGAACAGCGGGCCCGTCATCTTGCCCAGGGCCAGCGCGGTGCCCATGCCGGCCGTGACGGTCGCGACCTCGCGGGAGGTCTTCTGGAAGGGGGTCAGGGCGACGGCCTCGGCTTCGGGGGCGACGGTGGGCGGTGGTGGCGGGGCCGGGGGCGGGGCTTTTCGGGGCGGCGGCGGCAGGACGTCGCCCTTGAGGGTGACGACGGCGCCGCGGACGACCTCGTCGGCGAGGTCGATGCCGAACTCCTTGTCCTTGGGCGCCATGGAGAGCAGGAACTTGGTCACGTTGTTGGAGTAGAGCGTCGAGGACTGCGTTGGCAGTCTGGAGGGGAGGTCGGTGTAGCCTGAGTATGTAAGTCAATGGGATTTCTTCAGGGGGGGGGGGGGGGTTCATTCAGCTCACCAATGATCTTGACGTCCTTGTACACGTACAGCTCGCCCGGCTTCGTCTTCTCGCAGTTCCCGCCGGCCTCGGCCGCCAAATCAACGACCACGGACCCGGGCTTCATGGCCTCGAGCATAGACTTGGTGATCAGCTTGGGCGCGGGCTTGCCCGGGATCAGGGCGGTGGTGACGATGATGTCGACCTCGCGCGCCTGCTCGTAAAAGAGCTTCATCTCGGCCTCGATGAACTCCTTGGACATCTCCTTGGCGTACCCTCCGGCGCCGGACCCGTCCTCCTTGATGTCCACCTCGATGAACTCGGCGCCGAGCGACTGCACCTGCTCCCTCGCGGCCGGACGCGTGTCGAAGCCGCGTACAATGGCACCTAACCGCCGCGCCGTCGCAATGGCGCTGAGACCGGCCACGCCGGCGCCGATGACGAGCACCTTGCAGGGCGGGATCTTGCCCGCGGCCGTCACCTGGCCCGTGAGGAAGCGGCCAAAGTTGTTGGAGGCCTCGAGGACGGCCTTGTAGCCGGCGATGTTGGCCATGGAGCTGAGGGCGTCAAAGACCTGCGCGCGGGAGATGCGCGGGATGAGGTCCATGGCGAAGGAGGTTGCTTTTTGCGCGGCGAGCTTGTCGACGAGCGGCTTGTTCTGCGCGGGCTGCAGGAACGAGATGACGGTCTGGTGCGCCTTCATGAGGTCGATCTCGGACGGGATGGGGCCGCGGACCTTGAGCACGACGTCGGCGCCGGACCAGACCTGTTGCGGGTGGTCGACGAGGGTCGCGCCGGCGCGGTCGTAGGCCTCGTCTGGGAAATCGGCGGAGGCGCCGGCGCCGCGCTCGACGAGGACCTTGCCGAAGCCCTTTTTGAGGAGGAGGGCCACGTTCTGCGGGGTCAGTGCTACGCGGCGCTCGTTGAGGTAGATTTCCTTTGGCACGCCGACGGTGAGCTGCGCGTAGGGGACGGACTGCGGTTCCGCGGCTGTTGAGTAGGTTGCCGCCGGTGTAGCCGTGGGGCCGGAGCTGGCACTGGAGCCCGCCGAGACGACCGACGCATGGCGGATGAGCTGGAGATGCCGCGGCGAGACGGCCGGGACGAGGGATTTCGTCTGGCGGCGGGCTCGCGCGTGGGTGGATTGCCATTTGCCGGCGACGACGACAGATGCCGGTGCTACGGCTGTATGCGGGAGAAACGAGTAGACTGCGTTAGCCGAAGCAATTGGGAGATTTCTTTCTCTGGCTGGTTCCAGGAACCCGTAGCTTACCTGCTGGACCATTCCGCCACGCGCGGGCGCCGACGAGCCGGCCGGACGGAGCGCGGGAGGAGCACACGTGGTAGGCCAGAGTCGGCCGCAGGACGGAGAGATTCGCCATTGCAGCGGCGAGGCTTCGAGCATCCAGGCTAACGAAGCCGGGGCGACGAGGATGTCGGGCAGGGCCTTTTCATCTGCTCGCGACCACTGCCTCAGGTCGACGAGGTTGTGGCAGGGAATGGGGAATGGGAGCAGCTCCAAGCGAACAGCTCCAAGCTACCGTGTCGATTTGTGACAAAAGGGAAGGCGACGGTACGCAATAGGGAGAGGTGAAGATGGGAGGAAGAAGAGAAGAGGAGGAGAAGTGGAAGATGTGAATTGGATAGAGTTGGGATTGACTTTTTGCGGCCAAAAGAGAACAACGAGACAACAGGCTTGTACTGTGTGTCACGTTTTGGACGGCCGTTGGACTTGTTCCATGCTCGTCCTCGTCTTCGTCACTACTCTGAGGTGATGGCTGCTGCCCTCCCCCTCATCCGTCCATCACCCGCGCATCCGGATCCTTGTTCTCTCCCCCCAGGTTCGTTGCATCCCAAGACGGGAAGTGCAGAATCGGTTCAGGCGTGTCGCAGATGTCGCAGCGCGAGCTCCAAGCTCCTCCAATCACTACCCGAGCAGGATGTTGTTTGGAGTAGTCTGCGTCGTCTGCCAAGTTGGCTTTTACCCCCCCTTCGCAGCTGTGTCCCAAGGTTCCCCTCATTGGCATGTGCGGTACGCAAGTGCGGTACTTTCTGGGAGGACAGCTGAGTGACATTTCAGGCAAGACAATGTCGCAGACGCTAAGTAGAGTACATCTCGTGTAGGAGTTCAAAGGCACTGGACAGGTACCTTTCGACGGATGTGGTCATTGGTGGTGTGAGGTGTTGGTGGAAGTGGTCTGGTGCATGCTTCCGTGCAGGGAAACGAGCTGCAGCTTGGCCCCATACCCCGTACTCCGTATGTACTCGCCCCCCTTTTTTCCCCTTCTTCTCCAGTCTTCCAGTGCGGGGTGTGGGGCCGCGGGCACTAAACACGGCGCTAAAACACGGGGGACAGTCTTATCCCCCGCCATTTCGAGCTCGCGATAAGTCGATAAGGCCCGATAAGCCTGCAATGATCCAGGCCTGCTCTCCCCAAGCTGGAGGTGCCTTTTGCCATTTTATCCACCGGAACCAATGTTTCTTTTCGTCCGATGGGAGATTGATAAAGCACTGATAAACTTCATGGAACGCTGATTAATGCTCTCCCAGACGGAGGCCGAGCACCCTTGGCCCATGTTCTGTCCCGTGTTTGTTTCCTGCGTCTCAGTGACCATGGAACATGCAGCTTCTGGTTTTGGGGAGTTTCCGCCTCTTCCGGCTCTGATGTAGACGACTTTTGGCCAGTATCTTTATTGTCTGGCAAATGCGATGCCCCAAATGAGGTTCTCGCATCGTGGCCACCCAAGGCTGGAGTATAGATCAATCTCCAAGTCTTGCTGTCATCACTTGCTCATAGCAAAGTGTACAAAAAGTCAAGACGAACGTGTCACATGCACGAAACACGAGAACGCTATCCGCAACTTTGCATTGCATGGCATGCATGTAGCGCACAGAAGGGAAGGCAGCGCAGACAGACGTGCATCGGCTGGTTCGGAGCCACGAAGCAGACAGAGCCAGGGCGGATTCGGCAGGCAGATGGAACATACAGACGACCAATGAGGCCCGACGTTCCGAAGGGGGTAGATGATGCTTTGAACCGGTTAGTCATTGGTCAGTTGAATGCTATGATGCTTGACACCATCTCTATCGGTTGGCATCGTCTAAAAAGAAACGATTGTTTGTCAACCTGAAATAGAAATCTGATCAAGTTCAACTGTGACTTCCGGTTGTCTTGACAACATCCCAATGCCATCTAATCCATACGGTTTGTAATTTCTCAATCGATAGAGTTGCTCTGGGGTCGAAACTCAACGTCTGGTAGATTTGATAGCCATAACCCAATGTCAGCTAAAGTCTTCTTCAAGCACTTTTTGAGCCTCTTTCCATCATCTGAAGGGCTCAAACCGACTAGTCGAGAACTACTCGACGGCGCCAAATGGTCAAGATTTCGTCGACAAGTAGGGAGTTCCAAGCTGACGATGGCACACAACCAGATCAACCAGCTGACAACTCAATTGCAATCAAAACACAACAGAAGAGACGCAAAAAGTGCAAAAAAGAGTGACCCGAAAGTGAAGTCGAACTCAAGGGGTCGAGGTCCATCTCCTAAGAGATATGTGGAAATCCCCCGTCCCCAGCTGAGTGTTCCACTGGGCCACAGCGCCCGAGGGAGTTGGACCCCCGTTTGCTTGTGGGATGAGGGGATGCGCTGGTCATGAAGGCTTTGCTTGCTGGCCGTCGTAGGCCGTCGAGGTTGTGGTTGAGCTGGCTATTGAGCAAGTTGAGGCTTGACCTGGATGGCGATGAGGCTTGGGAGGGGGGGTGACCGGGACGAGGTTGACGATGTATGTGTGTGGGCTGGGTCTACTCCCAGCCGCACTGTATGGTATTCTTCTAATTCGAGTCCGGATTTCCTTTTCCCACTGTAGCCTTTTGAATATGAACATTGCCGTCCGTCGGCCATGATGCCCCGTCGCAAACCCAGTGTCTATCGCCATGTCCAACCCCTTTCCATGGCCAAACAATGTCTACACCCAGAACCGCTCACTGCAAAAACGAGTCGTCGTCCTCGACAAGCCCCATCATCTGCTGGTTACTATAAAACCAATCCTCCAACTGCGCCGCGTTCCCCATCCACATCATCTGGTTCAGCGCGCCCGATCCCGCGACGCCCGCGCCGTTCATCCCGTCCTCTGCTTCTCCGCCCGTCATCCCCGACATCTGCTCCGACCCCACGTCCGACGATTGCTGCTGCTGCGCATGCTGCTGCTGAGGATGCCCAGACGCGGGAGGGAACCCGAGCGCCGTGAGGTACTTGTCCATCTCCTGGCCCTGCTCCTCCGACTGCTGCTGCTGCTGGGCGTTGCCACCGACGCCGTTGTTGTTCCCGCTGCCGATGCCGCCGTGACTCCGCATCTCGACGTACCGGAGAGCGACGTTGTAGAGCACCTGGAAGAGGCGGCACAGCCGCGCCGAGGCCTCGGTGAACTCCTTTGCGCCCTGGATCGAGGCGACGAAGCCCTGGAGCCGGGCGAGGTCCGAGGTGTCGCTCGTCTCGATTACCTGGCAGAAGATTACGATGAAGGGGACAAAGGGGGAGAAGAGGATGGTCCTGGTGTTGTTAGTGTGGCTGTACAATTTTGCGGAGGATGGAAACGTAAGAGAGAACGCACCAGTTCATGTACATGGGGAACAGGTAGTACGCATCCTTCGCCATGATGGCCATGCAATCCTCGTGTCGCTGCAGCGTCGCCCTCGCGGCGTTGATGCACTCCGTCCCAAACGTCGTCGCGGACCCCGGGGGCGAGGGGACGGCGCGGTAGATGATTGTCAGCAGCGATAGCCTCAGGACCTCATCCGACACGTTGAAGAAGTCCATCGTGTTCTCTCCCACGGCCTCGATGGCCGACTTCAAGTACTGCGACTGTCACGGCATGTCAGCATCCTCACAAAGCCATCTGTGCGGAACTTGGTAGGCATCACAGCAAAACTCACATGCGTCTCCTGCGTCCGGTCCGTGACCCTCCTCAGCTCCGCCGCCAGCCCCCTCGCCCTCGCCTCCCGCACGGCGCTCGGCTGCGCGATCGCCTCGGGGCTGTACAGCTGCTCGTACGTCTTGCCCTGGATGCGCGAGACAATGACCCACAGACGGAAGTAGCTCATGAGGGCGCCGTGCATCTTGCTGGCGCTCGAGGGGTAGGGGGCCGTGACGTCGTAGTCCTGGATCGTCGAGGGGCGGCCGAGGCGGAGGGAGAGGGACTTGTCGATGAAGTAGACGGACCAGAAGAGGAAGATTTTGTATTCCTCGTCGTCTGGGTTTGTGGCGGCTGGGCCTGTTTCTGTGCCTGTTGTGGCTGAAGAGGACGAGGATGATGATGAGGCTGCACGGTGGTAGCCTAGGGTTTGGCAGAGTTGGGCCGAGGCCACGTTCAGTGTCCAGGCGAGGCTTGGTTTTGCTACTTCCATTGCGTGGTAGGCCTGACGATGTTAGCTACGGACGTACGAAAAGGCTGACAGGAAAGCATACCCCGAACAGGAGGGCCACAATCATGTCCATCGTGGCCGGGAGGTGCAGGGGCAGGTTGGCGAGGGCGGTCTGGAGGTTCCCCCGGCAGAGGGTGCCCATCTTGGCGCACTCCTCCCTGAGCTGCGCGCTCGCCGTCTTGGACTGCGTCATGTCGGTGTACAGGCTCTCGAGGCCGGCGTTGACGATGATGAACTCGGCCTCGTTGAACTCTGTCGGCGCAAAGTAGACCTTGAGGACCAGGTCCGTGAAGTGGTCCGGGTGGAGGAACGTCGTCACCCACTCGAGGCCCAGCGTCTTTTGGGCTATTTAGACGTTAGTGAGGTTTCTCTCGTTGATAGGGGTCGGTTCAGGGGTAGTAGGTCCAATGACTACGCACCCTTTGCCTCGCGGATGATGTTGACGGCGGACTGCACGGGCGGCATCTCGCAGTCGCCAAACGCCGGCCGGGCCACGGGCTTCGCCTGCGGGTACGTCAGCTCGTGCGACGCGGGCTGGTGCCGGAGCGCCTCGACGAGCGAGTGCAGGGCGTCGAGGGTCTCGCGCATCTCGAGCACCGAGGACCCGTCGCCGACGGTCTTGCGGAGGAAGTCGTGGGCGAAGATGGACTGAGCCGTCATGGAGGACTCGCCCTCGACCAGGGGGTCCGTCGTGTGCTGCTGCTGCGTGGACGTGCTGGCTGGCGTTGTTGATAAGGATGATGAAGCCACGGTCTTGAGCTGGATGGGCGCCGGCGGGCCCCCTGATACTACCCCTCCTGCTCCCCCGCCGGGGGTGGCGGTTGATCCCGAGACTGACGGTGCTGTTGACGGTGCTGCTGATGGTGCTTGGAGGGGGAACTGGAGTTTTAGGTCTTCGAGGAGGCGGACTACGCCGTCGAGGCGGCGGTCTATTAAGTCTATCTTCTTCTCACTGGGATGTGTGAGTTGGGAACGGGGCAAGGGAGCAAAGACGACACTTACTATTGAGGAGTGATGAGAATGCGAGTTCTCTTCTCTTTGGGCTTGAGCCCCGACGTGTTCTTACACTCGATGCCGGCGTGCTGGCAGTGAGCACATGGTTCCTCTCTATCACAGCGAATCTACAAAGTACACAGTCAGCCCTACGTCCAATGGATGGTGTCGAGTAACATGATGACACGGGCCAATGAAGAGCGAGACAACGTACTTTACGGGCACGACAAGCATCGCACTAAACGTGTATGTTAGTTTCGGCGTGGTTTACAACGACTGGGTAGTACGAGGGTCTACTTACCGCTCGTTTGATGGGGAGATTGGCGCCGCCCACGCCGCCAGCAGCGGAGAGACCCGCACCAGCCCCGGCAGAAGATCCGGTGTCCATTGCGGCTCGGCGAAATATTTCCAAATGTGATCAGATGGCTTCACTTTAAGGGTAGGTCGTACCCGAGGAGCAAGGGTCCAAGGGTACAAGACTCTCGGAGGGGGATCCGGCGGGGCGGGATCGAAGAGATCCGAAGTCTAGAATTGTCGTTGTACAGAGATGCCAAGCGAGACGTTATGCCCGGGGCTGGGTGAATTCGGGGCCCGAACGAGGACGGGATCACGAGAAAGCAAGCGGGCGTAGATGGTTCGGAACCTCAACACGACTTTCGCGGCGGGATGAGGTCGCGGCCCGGGGGCAACTAAGAAGGACGGGAACGGCGCGCGCGGGTTCCGCTTCCGGCGGGTTTTATGGAGCAGGAGGGCGGCCCCTGTGGCTGTGACGCAGCCGCTAGTTGTCCGCAGTTGAGGCTGGAGGCTTGCCCGTCTTTGAATTGGTCACCTTACGGGTACGATGTGCATGCGCGGTTAGGATATATTTTGGAAAAGGGGAATAGAGAGAGAGAAAAGAAGGGATTCTGGCACCCATAAGAGGTGTGGGATCAGAGGCACTTGGTTGCAGAACGCATGCACGATTTTTAGTAATTCAGATCCCCGTGCTCACCCCCTGGCGAAGGATCCTTTCAGGGGTCCGGGTGACGGCACATCTCTGCGATTCAGGGCTCATCCAGGCGCAGACGCGGTGGTTCGCGCCGGATAGGCCGCTGTAGAGACGCATTTGAACTGGGGTCACTGGCTTTAGGTAGAAACTAGCTAAGGAATTGTAAAGCTATGATTCGCCAATAGAAAGTGTGTCGATCACGGAATCGCAGTGTTGTCACGTTCTAGCGCCGCCGTTGTAGTCTATTCAAACGTATCCCACCGGCAACGCCAGGGCCACATCGCCGGCATGGACGCATTTGGATTCGTGAATGCCCGCGATAGGTAGGGCGAGGCATGGACCAGCATCTCAGACGGGGGACGGAGTAAGGGCGGCGCAAGTACCGAGTCTTTCCATTCGGCGTCCGCTTGTCCTTCCGGCTTCCGGCCCCAAAGGTCAGAATGGCTCCGGGCAGGACTATATGGAGGGCATCTGCCGCTTGCTGTCTTGTTCGACTCGAGGATGCCATCTTCGGTATGGACCGAGACACATGGCACCAAACCACCCCGTCTGCTCAACCCAGGGCACTTCTGGCCACGGCGACATGCTGTCCATGGGTACGGTCTTTGTGGTAACTGTTTGGTGACTCGTGAGTAGCTCAACCCGGAGACAGCGCTCCCCACGTGTCGGCGCGGCGCCGTAGCGTCTCAGATATCCGCCGCGCCGTCCGGCGAAAGAGTCATCGGCATCATCGACGTCGGACTCGGTCAAACCAAAACATCCTGCTGACGTGGTGACACCTCATCACACATTGATCGAGGGGGAACTCCTTTAGCCTTTAATGGTTTGGGATGAAGGGAAATCTGGACATTGTCTAACGCCTCGCGCCCCGAGAGCACCGCGCCCCGAGCAAAGCACCGCAGTGGGCGCCCGGGCGCGATGAACCCGCGGCCCCCGCTGCGAGCCTGCCAAGCTGGAGTCGAACCAATCGCACTCGTTCCTGCACCGAAGCGGGGGGTCCACTATGCCGGAGAGTGGGGCGTCCTCGCTTCCATGACGGCGGTCCGCGGGAGAAGCCAAGGCCTCGAAGCAGCAGCTTCAATGACGGAGATTCTGCGACGCTGGCGATCAGTCATCTCGCGTTTGCTTGGTCCATTATCCGAGCTTCAAATGTCAATATGCGCGTCTGAAAAGAATTCTTCCCAGGTGCACAGCATCATATAACCTGCATCGTCTGGTTTCTCCATCTCATCTACAAGAGAAACCAACCCGCCGGCTCACATCTCTTGATCATACGAACACACCACGCGACACAGACGATCAGATCTTGGGGTGAACCACCCGTCAGCCACACAATATGGGGGCCGAAAAGAAGGAGCACACTCCGGCTGAGGATACCGTCGCCGCCATTGCTTCGCCAAACGAAGCTGTCAAGGCAGAGGGCGGCGCGTTCAAGGCCTACCTGGTATGATGGCCGCCAACCTCAATTTTTGCAAGCATGCTGATGTCTCCCAGAGAATATTTTCCTTTGGAGGACCCTTTGAGAAGCTCCTGCAAACCATCGCGATAGTATGCGCCCTGGGCGCCGGCGCCGGTGTGGCCCTGCAGAACTTGATCTTTGGCAGCTTCGTCACCACCATCCAGGACTTCACCACCGGCCAGTCCACGCCTCAACACTTTCGCAATGAAGTCTCAAAGCTGGCGTACGTCCTCGTCCATCCACATCATCACTGCAAGCTAACATTCCCAGGCTCTACTTTGTCTACCTCGGCATCGCGCGCTTCGTCCTCGCCTACGGCTACATCTCCCTGACAACCTTCTCCGCCTACCGCATCACGAGAAACATCCGCCACGCCTACCTCCACGCCGCCCTCCGCCAGGAAGTCGCCTTCTACGACATCGGCTCCGGCGGCTCCATCGCCACCCAGGCCATCTCCAACGGCCGCCTCATCCAGGTCGGCATCGCCGAGAAGCTCGCCCTGACCTTCCAGGGGCTCGCCGTCTTCGTCACCGCCTTCATCATCGCCTTCGTCACGCAGTGGAAGCTGACGCTCATCGTGTGCTGCATCGCACCCCTAATCTTGGTCGTCATGGGCGTCGTCTCCACCATCGAGGCCGGCCTCGAGACGAAGATCCTCGACATCTACGCCCAGGCGGGCTCCTTTTCCGAGGGCATCCTCTCGAGCGCGCGCACCGTCCACGCCTTTGAGATCCGCTCGCGCCTGGTGCAAAAGTTTGACAGGTTCCTTGAGGACGCCCACCGCATCGGCAACAAGAAGTCGGCCCTGTTTGGCGTGCTCTTTTCGTTTGAGTACTTTGTCATCTACGCCGGCTTCGCCCTGGCGTTCTGGCAGGGCATCCACATGCTGAACCGGGGCGAGATCACCGAGTCTGGAGACATTTTCACGTGAGTAGTCCGCAGCATCTAAGAAATCCTCAACTGACCGTGTTACAGAGTCCTCCTCTCCGTGGTCATTGGCGCAACGAGCTTGACCATGCTGGCGCCCTACATTATCGAATTCACCCGCGCCGCCTCCGCCGCCGCCCAGCTCTTTAAGCTCATCGACCGCGTCTCCGAGATTGACCCCTTTGACAAGTCGGGCCACCAGCCCACCGAGACCGTCGGCGTCGTCGACCTCGAGAACATCTCATTCGAGTACCCGACGCGCCCCGGCGTCACGGTCCTCGACAACTACTCGCTCCACGTGCCCGCGGGCAAGGTGACGGCGCTCGTGGGCTCCAGTGGCTCCGGTAAGAGCACAATCATCGGGCTGATTGAGCGGTGGTATAACCCAAAGTCGGGCACTATCAAGCTCGACGGCCAGCCGATCAACGAGCTGAACCTCAACTGGCTCAGGAAGAATGTCCGGCTCGTGCAGCAGGTGAGACGAGAAGCACCTACAATTTAAAGCATCGCTGACAACCGCAGGAACCCGTCCTCTTCCAGGGAACGGTCTTTGACAACATCGCCAACGGCCTCGTCGGAACGCCGTGGGAGTCCTCGCCCCGCGAGGAGCAGCTCCGCCGCGTCCAGGACGCCGCCAAGATCGCCTTTGCCCACGACTTCGTCTCCCAGCTGCCCGAGGGCTACGATACCATGATTGGCGAGCGCGGCGGCCTCTTGTCAGGCGGCCAGAAGCAGCGCGTCGCCATCGCGCGGAGTATCATCTCGGAACCAAAGGTGCTCCTCCTCGACGAAGCCACCAGCGCGCTGGACCCGCACGCTGAGGGCGTCGTGCAGCAGGCTCTCGACAAGGCCGCCGAGGGCCGCACGACCATCGTCATCGCCCACAAGCTCGCCACCATCCGCAAGGCCGACAACATCGTCGTCATGAACAAGGGCGCCATTGTCGAGCAGGGGACGCACGAGGGATTGTTGGCGCAGGGCGGCGCGTACACCCGTCTCGTGAGGGCGCAGAACCTGAACGTGGCCGAGGAAGGGTCCATCACCGAGACAGAGGAGGATGACGACGAAGCGGTGACGGCGGCGGCGGCGGCTTCCGGGAAGGAGGGTATTGAGCTTACGAAGACCATGAGCCGGTACCGGACGACGGACCAGACGCGGATGGAGGCGCAAAAGGAGCGCGATAACTTTGATCACTACAAGCCTATCGGCCTCATCAGCGTCGTCATCCGCATGGTGCGCGAGACTCCCGAGCTCAAGTGGGCGTACCTCGCGACGTTGCTGGCCGTGATAGTCGCCGCCGGCGCATTCCCCGGCCAATCGCTCGTCATCGCCAACCTCGTCGACGTCTTCACGATGACGGGCTCCGAGATGATCACAAAGGGCAACTTCTACTCCCTCATGTTCTTCGTCCTCGCCCTCGGCGTGCTCTGCTGCTACTTCGTCATGGGCTGGGCCACAAATGTCATCGCCCAGGGGCTCAACCACAAGCTGCGCCGGCAGTCCCTCAACGATTTCCTCCGCCAGGATCTGCAGTTCTTTGACCGCGTCGAGAACAACACGGGTGCGCTCGCCAGTCGTCTCGAGTCGAACCCGCAGGCCATCCTCGAGCTCATGGGCTTCAACATTGGCCTCATCCTCATCTCGTCGCTGAATGTCATCGCGTGCGGTATCCTGGCCATCGCCACGACCTGGAAGCTGGGTCTCGTCGTCGTGCTCGCGGGTATGCCGCCACTTGTCAGCTCGGGCTATATCAAGGTCAGACTCGACTCGCGCCTCGATACAAAGACGTCGAAGCGGTACTCTGCCAGCGCGGCGATCGCGTCCGAGTCCGTGACGGCCATAAGGACAGTTTCGTCTCTTGCGATCGAGGAGTCGGTGTTGAAGAGGTACACTGACGAGCTCGACAACGCCGTGAGGGCTTCGACTGGCCCCCTTTTCGTCATGACTGTTGCGTTTGGACTGACCCAAGCCATTGAGTACTTTTTCATGGCCCTCGGGTTTTGGTGAGTTTGGGTGCTGCGTCTTCCCGATCTAGTTGCTAACCTTCGAACAGGTACGGCTGCCGGCTGCTCTCGTTCAACGAGATCACAATGTACCAGTTCTTCGTCGCCTTCATGGGCACCTTCTTCTCAGGACAGGCCGCGTCGCAGCTGTTCCAGTACTCGAGCAGTAAGTCGAATCTTCTCCGCTAGTGATGTCGCACACTCTGACCCTCCCAGGCATGACCAAGGGCATCAACGCCGCAAACTACCTCTTCTGGCTGCACGACCTCCAGCCGTCCATCCAGGAGACGCCTCAAAACCGCGACGCCGCGCCAAAGGCCGGCGCCTCGGTCGACTTCCAGCAGCTCCGCTTCTCGTACCCCCTACGACCTGAAGCGCATGTCCTCCGCGCAGTCGATCTCGAGGTGAGTCCCCCTTTAGTACCTGACACAAATCATGCCTAACACACACCAGATCAAAAAGGGCCAGTTCGTCGCCCTGGTAGGCGCCTCAGGCTGCGGCAAGTCCACGATGATCGCCATGCTCGAACGCTTCTACGACCCGACAACGGGCAGCATCGTCATCGACGGCGACGCCGCTCTGTCGGACCTCAACCCCCGCCTCTACCGCCACATCGTCGCCCTTGTCCAGCAAGAGCCCACCCTCTTCCAGGGCTCCATCCGCGAGAACATTTCGTTAGGCATCGACGCAGAGTCCCTGGACGAAATCGTCCCGGACACCCAAATCGAAGCGGCCTGCCGCGCAGCCAACGCGTGGGACTTTGTCTCGTCGCTCCCTGAAGGCCTCGCGACCCCCTGCGGCAGCAGCGGATTGCAGTTGTCGGGAGGACAGAGGCAGCGCATCGCCATCGCGCGGGCGCTGATCCGCCAGCCCAAGATCCTGCTTCTCGACGAGGCGACGAGCGCGCTCGACACCGAGTCGGAGAAGATTGTGCAGCGCGCGCTGGAGGAGGCCGCGCGGGACGGGGAGAGGATTACGATTGCTGTTGCGCACCGGTTGTCAACGGTCAAGGATGCCGATGTGATTTGTGTGTTTTATGGTGGGAGGATCGTGGAGAGGGGCACGCATGCGCAGCTTGTTGCCAAGGGGGGCATGTACAAGCAGATGTGCGAGGCGCAGAACCTCGAGTGAGCAGGGGACGTTGAAGAGCTTCGTCTCGTTGAATTGTGGCATTTTCGGCCTGGGAGTTGAGCGCTTGACTCCTCTCATAGAGCACGGCGTTTGGGAAACGGGGTTTCTGTACGATTATCTGACTCGCAACTGCACAACTCAGTCGATCATGTTTGTCGTAGAGACACTTAGATTCGTAATGTTTAGACTCAAAGAGACCACTCTCATACTCTGTACTCAGTGTCCTGCAAAGTGCCCCTCTCCCTTGAGAGAAGTGATGATCATCGCAGACGGCGGAACCTGTCACACTCGTGCTGGATCCGATCCCGCGGATTTGGGTCCGTTCAATGTCACCATGTTCTCTTGACTTGCTACCACAATTCTAGAATAGAGGCTCGGTCAACCATGCTGTCGGCGCAACGATCGGGAAACGCAGCTTCGAGCGAACTCGCTTTCTATGCTACTAGCAGGAAACGTGCTCCCCAACGTGGCCGCCGGAACAAGAAACAACAAGAGGGTCCATTGAAAAGCCAAGGAAAGCTTCTTCACATCGTGGCGAAGTTTTGGGGGTCCTTCGGAGCTCGTGCCGTCGTCATTCTTGGCGTTTGCGCAGAACATCACCCACAACACGTTCCGTCAACACACGCCCTTCTTCAAGGATCATCTCGGGCTCTTGCAAGCAGTAGCGATTGACCCAAAGTCTGTAAAATGAGATGGTAAGCTTGTTCCCCCAAGGCACCAAAGACATCGACACCACCAAGACCAACACCCCCGGCCGTCAACCCTGGTTCCCCGACTTACACCGGCAGCGAGCAGCCAATCAGAAGCGCCAATTCACCCACGGGGTCGGACCCAACGGCCACGGTCAACTCTCGTCTCTTCCCGGCAACACAAACCTCTCGACCGACTACAACCCGGCCGGGATTGACGAATAGCAACGAGGTTCTCAATCAGGTTCGGGAAGCTGAGCAAGCTTAGAAAGCTCATGATCCCTTCTCGACCTGCAGCGCCAAGCCAACGCCACATGACGCCGTTCATCTCTTGTGTCTTCTGGCAACCCACCCCACGCAGCGTTCGCAGGCTTCATCCCCAATCCGCAGACCGAGCACGCCCAGCTTCCAGCTTCGGAGCTTCTTCCTTCTTTCTTGCTCCAGGGCCTAGCATGATTAGCATCATCTCCGCTTCGCCGTCAAATAACAAGTGTCTTGGCGTTGGGAAGCCCGAGATGGCCCCGACTCACCACCTCAAAGTTCGCGCAGAGACACGTGCCTCTGTCGCTCAAAACGAGCCGTGAAGTTACATTCAGCTTCCTCCATCCGACCCAGCACGCCGTCATGATCTCGGTCTAGCCGTCCTTCTGCCCCTGTGCTGTCCAATCGTACATCGATATCGATGCTCTCGGTGCAGACGGAATCCTGCCCATTACGTTGGACTAACGTTCTGCGCAGGCTGGGATGATGCGCCGCGCAACCTGCAGCTCTCTCGCCCGGAGCTGTCTTCAAAGTATGGGACCCGCGAACGCGAGGCTCCGCGAACCGACAGAGTGTTTTTGTCATTTTGTCATGCAGTAGACAGGGAACTTTTGGCGGGGGAATTAGCCTTCCCACCTCTCAGGAGACATGGGATGACTTTGGTCCCCTTGCTGAACTTATTGGTATATAAGCTCCCGAGCCGCAGGAAAGCTTCTGCTCCAACGTCCCGGTCAAGCTTGTTGTGCCCTTCTTCTCATCCCACGCTTCATTGTGCTCTTTTTGGCTTCACTCTGCAGCCAAATTCACCCTGAGGAAACCACAAAGATGGTCAAGCTCAACCCCCTCGCCGCCGTCCTGGCCGCGGCCTCGCTGTCGTCTCTCGCCTCGGCGCAGACCTACCAGCGCCTCGGGACGTGCCCGGACCTCGGCTGCGTCCTCCCGCCCGACCAGTCCGACTTCCTCCCCGGCCAGACCTTTGACCTCCGCGTCGAGATCCACGCGCCCGTCAACGGCTCCGAGGCCTTCAACAACGGCGTCCCCGACGAGGGCTTCAAGGCGACCATTGCCAAGGAGGGCGGCGCCGCAAAGAGCCTGACCGAGTTCTTTGGTCTCGAGGAGCCCAAGCTCGAGAAGTGGTCGTTTGGGTGGTACGAGGACCTCTTCGCCGAGGACGCCAAGCAGAAGAGCGTCGTCAACGTGGCGTCCAAGATTTGGCGCCGCCTCGCGCTGTACGAGCCCGGCAACTACGTCGTCACCCTCACGTACTACGACGGCAAGAAGACCACCGCCAACTGGGTCGTGCGACCCCTGGCGACGGAGAAGAAGGCCAAGAACGTCATCTTCTTCATTGGTATGTCTCTGTGGTTGTGGTGCTTGTGCTCGTGCTAACTTGGACCAGGCGACGGAATGACCACCAACATGGTATTGACCGCGAATTCGCATCTCTTGAGACCGTACTGACACCCACAGGTCACTGCCGCCCGTCTTCTCGGTCACAAGAGCATCAATGGAAAGTACCAGACCAGCCTGGCTCTCGACAAGTTCCCCGTCATTGGTCACCAGATGACCCATTCCATCGACAGCTACATCACCGACTCTGCCAACTCGGCGTCGGCGCTGTACTCTGGCCACAAGAGCACCGTGAACGCCATGGGGTAAGTGGAGATGATGGACCGTCAAAATGCTCGCTGACATGTGCCAGTGTCTACGTCGACTCTTCCCCCGACGCCTTTGACGACCCCAAGGTCGAGACCATTGTCGAGCTGATCCACCGTATCTGGGTATGTCAGAAGTCCCTGCCCCCTGAACCAGTCTAACAAACGCAGGGCTCCGCCTGGGGCGCCGTCTCCACGGCCTTCATCGCCGACGCGACCCCCATCGCCCTGACGGCGCACACCCGCGCCCGGTCCCTGTACGGGCCCCTGATCGACCAGGCCCTCAACGGCATCACAAACTACACCTGGACGAAGATGACCGGCCCGGACGTCTACCTCGGCGGCGGCGCCGAGCAGTTCTACCCGGGCAAGGGCTCCTACCAGGGCAAGGACTACTACGCCGCCTTCGCCGACAAGGGCTACAGCGTCGCCCTCAACAAGACGTCGCTCGAGGCCGCCGACCCCAACGAGCGCATCCTCGGCATCTTCACCCAGGGCAACCTCCCCGTCTGGCTCGATCGCAATGTCTTGACGGAGAACCTGGCCAAGCTGAGCAACGATCCCACGGGCAACAAGAGCGCCGCCGCCGACGTCCCCGGGCTCAAGGAGATGACGCTCAAGGCCGTCGAGACGCTGCACAACCGCGGCGGCGAGCGCGGCTTCTTCCTCATGTCCGAGGCCGCGTCCATCGACAAGCAGATGCACGCCCTCGACTACGACCGCGCGCTGGGCGACCTGCTCGAGCTCGACGACACCGTCAAGGCCACGCTGGAGAAGCTCGAGGAGCTCGGCATTCTCGACGAGACCCTCGTCGTCGTGTCGTCCGACCACGGCCACGGTTTTGAGTGAGTGCCCTCGTCAACATCAACTCACGTTTCCCTACTGACATGAGCAGCGTCTTTGGCAACGCCGACACAAAGTACCTCGCCGAGCAGAAAGACGACCGCACAAAGCGCAAGGCAGTCGGCGTCTACGCCAACTCGGGCCTGTCGCAGTACACCGTCGAGCAGCCCGGCGTCTCGTACAACACGGGGCCCAACTTCCCGCTCAACTGGTCCCCGCGCTACGCCATCGCCGCGGGCTTCGGCGCCAACCCGGACCGCCGCGAGGACTACAAGGTCCACGCCGACGGCGCGCGCACGCCCGCCGTTGCGGCGACCAACACGACGGACTACTACGCCAACCCCAAGGACGCCGTCGACGGCTTCGTGGTGAATGGCACGCTGCCCACGAACGAGGCGCAGGGCGTGCACTCGCTGACGGACGTTGCTGTCTGGGCGAGGGGACCTTGCCAGGAGACCTTTGGCGGGACGTACAGCAACATTGATGTTTTCTACAAGATGGCGAATTGTCTTGGTCTCGCGCAGCCGAGGAATGCGACGGCGCCCGGGGCTGGGTGTGCGAGGAAGGCTCGGGCTCTTCACGCTTGAAGTTGAAAAGGGGTTGAATGGGTTTTGAGACTTTGATATAGCATGGCGAGCGGGTGTTGGGGCGGTTGATGTTTGGGCGTGGGATGGCATATCTGGAGATGCTCTCCCGTAATGAACTCGGTGATGAAGTATAGAATTAATACTACGTTGGTCAAGAGCACTCTCCATACTTAACGCCAGGCCCAGGAGTCTGAACTGCTGGTTGCTGCTGTGGTGTTTGTAGACATGGACAGCCGGACGGACGCACGGAAACGCTCCCTCTCCGCTCGTCGCTGTGTAAGTCACCCATGAACTTGTTTGAAAGCCCGTCGCAAAGCCATTTTCATGTACGAAGTTTCGCACCGTTCTCTGACGTCAAAAGCACCGTAGAAGGCTCGTACTACGTCGAGAGTATAGTCTTGTGAAGTTGTTCATGCATCGCCGCCCCCAACATCAAGTCGACGAGATTGTGCACGTTACTTCCGGAGAAGCAGCACGAACATAAATCCCAAGATTCCTGATCTATGATTTCATTCAGCCTTCACGCAAGGAACTCTTGGACTTGCCCGAGTCAACATTGCGAGTCTAGGCCACAGTGCCACCCGGCGATGTTGCAACGGACCCCCGGGCCCCATTCGCTCGGGCCCATCATCGGCCGATGAACTGACCATGATCCACTTTCCGTCGTCCGTTTTGTCCCCCGCCGTCAGCCCACGATGGACGGGATCAATTTACCCTTTTTGGAGTATTGTCCACGGGCAGAGGATCTCTTCGCTTTTCCTCAGGGAACTAGATGGGCTAGGACGAGGGTACCGGGAAAAAGGAACAAACAGATGGCCTCTGCCTTTGCCCAACCTAGGTGAGCCGCAGGCATGGTTACATCCCGGAAGACAGGCAGGCAAGCGAGACAGAAAGATCAGACGCGCAGGTGTCAACTGATGTAGCTATGTCGTGCATTGTTCGTTTCTTGTTTAGATTGCTGCCTCCATTCGGATCTCTTGTCAGGGGAGTATGGTTCGTGTGCTAAGCAGGGTCGATCTCCCGCGCGGTCCGACTCTGTGGGGGTTGACTCGCAACCCGAGTGGATGCAGAACGCCAGGATTCACGAAGATGGCAGTCGGCCAAAACCCGTGAGAACTTCATTGCTCTTCGATTCAATGTTTGTAACCTGAAGTCAAGATCTGTTCGCGCTATCTGCACTGACTCCCACGACCATCTACCCAAAGTACCGAAAAGAAAGAATCAGATTCACCTCTCAGCAAGCCTCTCCAGAATCCCCATCGCCTCCTCATCATCAACCTCCCCCTCGGCACACTTGCCCGTGAAACAACTCGAGTGCGCCCAGACACGAGCCCCCTCGAACCCGTCAACCAGCCCCTCAACATTCTCCTTCCTCACCCCGCCGCCGATGATAACCTCCAGTCCCTTTCCCGTCCCCTTGCCGGCAGACGACGCCGCCTCCCGCACAACAACCTCCAGCGCCGCCCGGTTCTCCGCCGCATTCCCCGGCCCGCCGGACGTAAGCACCCCCTCAAACCCGCAACCCACCAAATCCCTCACCCCCCTCGCAATCGTCTCGGCCGCGCCATCGCGGATGACCTCGTCAAAAGCCCGGTGGAAAGAACACGCCAGCCCGCCAGCGGCCTCCACCAACCTCCGATTCCTCTCAACATCAACCACGACCCCACTATCGCCGCCACTCCTCCGCTCCAAAACCCCAAACACAAACCCATCCCCCCTCTCCCGCCTCAACACGCCCCGAAACCTCTCCACATCCCTCACCATCACCTCAAACTCGTCTTCGCTGTAGACAAAGTCCACTTCGTCTTCGGGACGCTTCCCCCGCGGCCGGATCATGATCCGCACGGGCACCATGAGCCAGTTGTTCACGCCCTCGAGGTCCGCGAGCGCGGGCGTCGTGCCCCCGACGGCGTAGCTCCCGCGCGCGTTGAGCTCGATGCGCTGCGCGCCGATGGCCTGGGCGTGCAGCGCCGAGGACGGGGAGAAGACTGGTATCTCGAGGTGGATCGGCATCGTGGGCGGCGTTTGCTTTGTGACTGTCATTTGGGTGGTTGTGTTGAACTACCTTAGGTAGAGTTGATAAGTGGTTGGGGGTTAGGATGGATTGGATAATCCGTTGATGTGATAGGTTCAATCGAATTAAGGTAGCGGGAAAAAGTAACGATAACCCTGCAAGTTTCGCTCAACGTTGGTTTGATTTCAAAGAATCGAGGATAAAAGACACAATCAAAGGATGAAAACCAAAAAGTCAATCGCAAGACGCCCACGTTTTAAAGACTCGAGAGTTCCTACGATGAGTCTTGTTTGTTCGCCTCTCGTCGCCCATTCTGTCCTTAACAGCCTTGCTTTTGCCCCTTCGCTCGGACGGCACTTTTAATATCAGATCATGCCACCCTTCCTTGCTTGCTGTTCGTGTCAGTTACCCCACCGGCGAACATGGAGTCTTGGAGACCTGGACTCTAGAAAAGTCGTTCGAGTTTCCCCCCTCGGTTGGCTTAGTCATTGTGCATATCTTATTTAACTTGAGACGTGGGACGGGGAAGCTATGAATGATTGATGCTCAATTCCTATGAAGGGGCTATGGGGAACTATCTCGTGGGGGCCTGGACGACTAGGGTCTATCCTTCTTCCACTGTCTGCACCCCAAAGCCATGATGGGTATCTCTCTGGCAACCGTGCCATTAACCTCATCCCAACGCCTAAACCAAGGCCCGAATCCAGCCAGAATGCTCAATGCCAATGTCGAAGCTCGATTGCTTCTCCCAGATGCCGCCAAAATGCCCATGCCAATGTGAAAGCCTCCAAACCCGTCATCACTGCGTCTGTGGTGGTCGCGGGCAAATCCAGCAACTGAATGCCAGTGCTGCCTTGATGAAAGTCGCAATGTCCTGATCTGGAGAGCACAATGTACAACGTAAGAAGCTCACTCCTTGCGCTGAGAGGAGGCAGCCTCAAAGGCCTGGAACATCTCTGGCTCGTACTGAGGCACACGGGCACTCTTCGGGCCGCCGCCCTGATCGTTGCTGTGCTCGGAGAGGTGCTGGCGAGGAGGGTAGGGAGAGACGTAGGGACGAGGGAATCGCTCGTCCTCGATCTGTCCACGGTCATGCATGTAGCCGCTCTGGGGCGCGTACTCGGCAGGATTCTGAGGGAGAGAGGCAGAAGAAGCAGAGGGACGCTGGATCTGCTCGTTCTGGGGCTCCTCGTGACGGTCCATGTAGGCTCCCTGGTGGCTGTAGTCCTCGGTGGCATGCTGACGAGTGGTCGAAGAGAAAGATGGAGCTTGAAACGTTTCCTTCTCCTGGTAGCCTCCCTGACTGTGGTGCTCGTTGGCAGGCTGACGAACAGGAGCAGAGGAAGAGCTTTGCTGCAACTGCTCATTCTGAGGCTCCTCGCGATTGTTGCTTTGAGCTCCTTGGCGATGATGATCCTCGCTGACCTGCTGATGAGCAGAAGGACGGCGAGAGAGCTGCTGGTGACCAGAGCTGGCAGTCGAGGGGCGCTGGATGTAGTCCGGAATGGTCGAGGGATAGCCAACGTAGCCGGAGACGGCGCGGCACTGTGCTGCGCGGGGCTGTTGTAGTTGGGCGTCATAGCAACCGAGCTGCGGCCAGAGGACATCGAGACCTGATGATCTGAGTAGCGAGGCATAACATGAGGCTCAACGCGCGCCGAGGTGGGTCGATTTCCAACAGGGTAGCCAGAGTAGCCCATGCTCGACTGCTGCGACTGGGGGTACTGAGGATCCTGGCCGTACTGGTGAGATCCCATGGCAGGCTGGTGGCCGTAGCTCGTAGAGGGAGCACTCTGGTGCTGACCAGCGTTGTACGCAGCGTTCGCGTGGTAAACCTGGTCACCGGGGGCCTGCTGGTTGCGGCTCTGATCGTAGCTCTGGTTGGCGTGGTTCTGATCGTAGCCACGGTACTGGTCGGAGCTTTGAACGCTACGGTTCTGGTTGTAGTAGCCCGGGGTGGAGTGGTTCTGCTCGTAGCCGCGGTTCTCGTGGTTGTGGAAGTTACGGTTCTGGTCGCGATAGCCCTGAGTGGCTTGGTTCTGGCCGTATCCACGGTTCTCATGGTTTTGGTAGACCTCGATGCTGCGGTTCTGGTCGTGGTAGCCCTGAGTGCCCTGGTTCTGGTCGTATCCACGGTTCTCGTGGTTCTGAGAAGGGCCCTCGACGCTGCGGCTCTGATCGTAACCACGGCTGCTAGAAGTCTGGCCCTGGTGGCCCTGGTTGTCGTCACTTCGACCATGACACTGGTTGATGTACTGCTGACTTTGGGCGGCGTACTCCCGCTCGTAGTAGTCACGGTTCCTGGCGCTCTGATCCCAGTAGGTCTCGGAGTTGGGGTCATTGTCGAATCCCTGGGGGTTGGTGGTCTGGCCGTAGTAGTCGCGCGCCTGGTTGTACTGGCCCTGGTTGCCAGAGTTCTGATCGTAAGCTTGAGCTCTGGGGCCCTGATCGTAGTAGCCGTGGCTACCAGACTCCTGTCCGTAGTGATCCTGCATTCTGGGACCCTGATCGTAGAAAGGCTGGCGGATGGGCTGCTCTCCGTAGTACGCCTGGGTTCTGGGGCCCTGGTCATAGTAGCCATGGGTCTCGAGAGAGGTCGCCATTCGAGCGCGTTCCTGGGGCGGCTGCCGGCCACGCTGAGAAAGTCTGGGACTGTCGTACGGGTGAGCACGGAAGTCGCGGTTCCGCGCGACAGTCTTGGGGGGGCGAGGGGGCAGCGTCGAGCGCTCCTTCGACATGTTGCGCTGGGGCACCAAGCCGGGGCTCATGTCAGTCGCGGGGGCCGAGAAAGTAGGTCGTCGACCCGCAGCACGCTTAACAGCGCGAGCGGCAGTCTCAATCTGCTGGTCCCGAGCAAAGGCGCGAAGATCGTTGTCAACATCGACAACATCATCATCGTCTCCCTCGCCGTCGTCGTCACATCCATCATCAACGTAGTCTCCGTCGTTGTGGTCGGTTCCCTCAGAGAAGCTGGTTTCGTTCTCTTCATCAGTGGTCTCGCCGGAATGCTTGTCGAAGCTGTCCTGAGCCTGGGCATCCTGAGAAGGAACAGACGCCTCACCCTGCAACTGACTTTTCTTCAGCGCGGCCATGGCAGCCTTCATCTCGCGTACGTACGGAGCCGCAAAGGGCGAGAAATGCTCCTTGTCGTGATTCTGGAAATAATGCTCCACTGTCTGGTTGTTAGCATGGCATGTCGAGGGAATGCGCTGAACGTACCAAGACTGAGGTGAGTGTATTGACGCTTGGCATTGGGGCCCATCTCCCGCTGCATGATGACGGCCAAATCTTCCCAAGATCTGGCCGAGCCACCGCCAATCCCTTTCGCCGAAATAGGGACGATGGAGCGCCAGAAGACGCGCTCTTCCTCTTTGCTCCACGCTTTGCCGGGCATGTTGGCGCGGTGCAGGACTGTCGCGGTAGGGGTGCCGTAGTTGCGGCAGAAAGCTCTCGGGGCAGTTTTTGTGAGGTTCAAGGCTTCTCTTCGTCTGGTGTGTGATGTTTGGGAAGGAACGGCCGCCAAGTCACAGATATTGGCGGTCGGGAAGAAGAATATTGCTGTGGGTTCAGGAATTCGAAATTTTTTTTCGGAAGAATTTTGTGCGGCAAGAAGTGAAAGCGAGTTGAGTACGCGCTCGCGTCGAAATAAATATGCCTTGAGGTAGAAGGAGTGGCCGGACTCCTGTAGGCGGGTGGTAGGTTGATATTTATATTGTTGGCAGTTGAGGCGGCCGTGATGGGCCGTGATGGGCCGAGTGACCCCATGGCGGTGAATAGGTGATGCGGTCGAAGGGTGACGAGACAGAAAGTTGATCGGACGGAGGGTGATGGGACGGAAGGGTGATGCGATGGAAGGCCACCTCTTCCGCCCAAAGCAAATCTTCTGGTCGTGATGCGATGGAATCCCAAGAGGTTGCGGTGAATTGGTGATGCGGTAGAAACATGATGTGGTGATTATGCGACGGAAGGGCGGTGCGATCAAAAGGTCATGTGGTGGAAGAATTTTGCGATGGGGGGTGATGCGGTCAAGAGTCGATGTGGTGAATAGGTTGTGCAATGGGTTGGTGATGCGACGAAAGGTGGATGCGATGAAAGATTGGACGAGTGATGGCCTGTTGGGAAGGAGCGACGGAGGCGAAGTCAGTATCATGGCCGTATTCGAGCAAGGTTACTCGGTCATGGATGACAGAGGGACGACGCAACCATGGACAGATCTTCAGGAGACGGCAGCAAGCATCCATGTGGCTGTCCGGGATCGATGCCTTGGGTGTGGATGGATGTTGACGAGGATCCATGTGGCCAAAGGCTGACCTTTGAAATGTGCAGCTGGAACAAGTGGGTGTGCTTCAAGTCACCCTGAGCAAGCAGAGGCCTGAGACTCAAACCATTTCTGGGTGATGCCAAAGACAGCCCAACAAACGACATTGCCCCTGAGTTAACCGAAACTCCATCTGCTGTTGAGCCATCTGCTGGATCGTCTTCGGCATGTCGATATTCGACCACCCTCAGCAGAGCGCAATGACAAGACTGCTCCGCTGCTCACAGGCCTTTTCGCACACCAACATCGTCTGCAAAGGGCTTGTGGAGAGTTGAGCTGAGTCTCTTTGACCTTGGAGAACTTCGACCGAGACGAGCAGCACAACGATGCACTGGGCCCTTCGAGACTAGGTCGAAAGCCCATCTGAAAGACAGCCTACTCAAAAGGACTCTGGGGGTCGGCTGCTTTGTACCCCCTGGCAGTCAACGCTGCTGCCAGCCGCCATTCAAGTCTCGAGAGCTGCCACCAAGTTAGAAACCTTTGCCTGACTAAAGGGGACGAATACTGACAATGCTCTTCTTCTCGGGGGCAACAACTCCTTCCCTAATCCAAAATCCCCAGCCGCCCATCATGTTGGCCAGCATCATGTCGGTGGTCAAGCGATCGCCGACGACGGCAACCTGGGACGGATGGGAGACGCCCGTTTCGGGGTGCTTGCGGAAGTACTCCATGATCTCGGAGCCACAGCCGGGCTTCTTGGTCTTGTGAGGTAAGACGGTGATGCCGGTGGCTTCTTCCAACTCCTTGGCCAGCTTGAGGGAGCTGTCATAGGACGTCGCTCCGGCCGTGTTGGAGACGATGACCAGCCGGCGGCCGGGATACGCGGCCTTGAGCTGCTCGAAACGCTCCTTAATGATGGTTCAGCGGGCTGTCTTGCGAAAAGAAGAGTGGCAGTGACATACCTTGTAGGGCTTGTGGACCTCATTCGTGTGGGGAACCGCGAAGCAGTCGTCCTTGTCGAGCACCACGGCCCTGATGTCGCATTTCCGATTCTGGCCCTCAAAGGCTTTTTCAAACGGGATGGGCAGGTCGTTGAACGTCGCGACCGTGTGCTGCGGCAGACACAGCGTGGGCTTGAACAAGAGCTTGAACACGTTCACCGTGCCGGAGAGGTTGAGGTTCATCTTGATGCTGGGCCCTTGGGGTGAGGATGGAAGGAGGTGAAGTTCTTGGTTGGACGGAGGAAGGGCTGGAGAGATTTGGACCATGCGAGGAGCTTGGGCCACCTGCAGAATGCGCAACAGCTACCCCTGTCCGTCTGATAAGATAAGCACCCGAGCCCCACCGCAGTGACACCGGACAACTCAATTAGACACGGGGGACCCACTCGGCCGCCTCCCTGTCCGACTGCACATTTTCGCGTCCCCAGCGCGTCGTCTCCGGTTGCCGTGCCGTCGAAAGCCGCAAAATATTGACCACCACCCACACCCACGCCCATCGAACTGAATGGTCAGCGAACATCGAGATACACCACAGACGCAACAAAATGTCCAGGAAGAGACCACAAGAGCCGGATGTGGGCGATTCCCCGAGCAGCAGATTGAGCCAGAAGCGCTCCCGCCAGCAGCTGCACGACGGAGCCGGCGACGAGCCCATCAACGGGACCCCCTCGAAGCGGAGGCGCCAGGCCGCGGACCCTTACGAAGTGCCCTCTGACAGCGATGCCGCCGATGGCGATGATGGAGAAGTTTCAGCAGCAGCAGCAGCAGATCCCGAATCCGAACCCGAAGAACACACTCCGAGAAAGAAACGAGGCCGCCCGCCGAAGCCAACAACGCCCCAAGCCAGCGGCGCCGTCACGCCCTCGAAGCTGCGCCAGGTGAACACGCTGGTGACGCCCGTCAAGGCCGCCATCACACCGCGTCGGCGCCAGGCCGCGGACCGTTCCGCGCGGAGGAAGAGCGCCAGGGCTCTGATCCAGAGCATCGTCGCCGACGAGGACAGCGACGAGGACGAGGGTCTCGCGCGCGAGATCTACGAGTCGAGCGAGGAGGAGGAAGACGAGGAAGAGACCGAGGAACAGAGGACGCCAAGGGCAAAGACGACGGCATCCGCGACGAAACCATCCACAGCATCAGCACCAGCATCAACAGCACAACCCCCCGAACCAGAAACACCATCAGCAGCGACCCCCCGCCGCCGCGGCCGCCCACGCAAACTCCCGCCGCCCAAATCGCCCACCCCGCCCCGCGACCTGCCCCCCCACGAAATCTACTTTGAGCAGAACAAGCCCGGCCGCGCAAAGACGTCCCACAACACCCTCGCCTCCCTCGACCTCCTCACGCACGAGGAGTACTTTGACCTCCGCCGCGAGGACGCCTCCCAAAACAAAGACCCCCACGAGGACGACCTCGCCTACCTCGAGTCCCTCCACGAATCCTCCTTCCCGCAGTGGCGCTTCGAGCTCGCGCAGGGCTTCAGCCTCTGCCTCTACGGCCAGGGCTCCAAGCGCAGCCTCGTCGCCAAACTCGCGGCGCACCTCTACGCCGCGGACCCCGATGCGCCCATCGTCGTGGTCAACGGCCACGTGCGCTCGTTGACAGCCCGGGAGGTCTTTTCCACCGTCGCCGCGGCGCTCGATCCGGCGCTGAAACTACCCGCCCAGACGACGGCCATGGTCCAGGCCCTCTCCGCCGCCCTCGCGTCTCGGTCCACATCACCACACAGCCGACCGATAACAATCCTCCTCCACTCCATAGACGCCCACCCCCTCCGCAAACAAACAACCCAACAACTCCTCTCCCAGCTCGCCTCCCTTGCCCAAATCCGCCTCGTCGCCACAGCAGACACGCCCTCCTTCCCCCTCCTCTGGGACGCCGCCCAGCGCACGTCCTTCAACTTTCTCTTCCACGACGCCACCACCCTCCAACCCCTCCAGGACGTCGAACTCGACCCCGTAGACGAGGTCCACGAGCTCCTCGGCCGCAAAGCCCGCCGCGTCAACGGCAAAGAGGGCGTCGTCTTCGTGCTGCGCTCGTTGCCCGAGAACGCGAAGAAGCTGTTCGAGCTGCTCGTCATCGAGGTCCTGTCCGCCATGGACGACGGCGGCGGACACCAGTACGGGGCGGAGAATCCGGGTGTCGAGTACCGGATGGTGTATAACAAGGCCGTGGAGGACTTCATTTGCAGTTCCGAGATGGCGTTCCGGACGCTGCTGAAGGAGTAGGTTCCCTTACCCACACTTCTTGCTGACTGTGCCCTTGAGCGAAGTGAAGCTGACGAGAACAGGTTCCACGACCATCAAATCATCGAGAGCAGGAAAGACGCCCTCGGGACGGAGCTCTTGAGTATCCCCTTTAGGCGGGAGGAGCTCGAGGCCATCCTTGAGGACTTGATGTCCTGAGTCACCCATAAATTATTGTACATTCAAAGCGTTCGGGAGGCGAAAGCATAGTGGCGTTATCTGGCATCTGTAGCTTCTCCGAAACGATTCACGCAAATCGCATAGCACATAGACAGGCGAACCGAGGCATTGCATTCATAATCATGATCCCCATGGTCTAGGAGTATTTTGTAAAAGAAAACCATCTTGTGAAACCCTGACCCCCTAAAAACGCCAGTCCCATGTCACACCCCTACACCCCGATACTTTTAACACACGTCCAGAGGACCACCGGCACAATAACGTTATCGTTTCCGCCGGTCAAGACCGCCTCCGTCAAGCTCGCCATGCTGGCGCAGAAGCCGGCGTTCCGCGCCGACGTAGGCCACGCCACATGCTGCTCCGCCGCGACGGGCCACCCGCCAACCCGGAGCCAGGTCGTTGCCGCCATCAGCCCGAGGAACACGGCCACCGCGAACGCGACGCTGCCCTCGAGACTCTTGCCGCCGCCCCAGACCCATTTCCTGTGCCCGTACCGCCTGCCGATAAGAGATGCGGCAGCATCGCCGAGGCCGACGCAAATGACGCCCGCCACCATGCTGACTTCGCGCGTCGGCACCTCCCACCCGGTCAGGTAGCCGCTGCCAGAGCGCGGAAGGGTGGCGAGGGACAGCCAGAGAGGGATGGCGCAACCGATGAGCAGGAACAGGTGCGAAATAACGACAGGCCCCTTGTGGTCTCTGCCATCGACGTACGGCGTGAGGAACGAGGCGATGGGCCGGGACAGCGGCGGAGCTGACTCGCCCGGAGGAGGGTCAGGTAGCCGCTGCCAGAGCGCGGAAGGGTGGCGAGGACAGCCAGAGAGGATGGCGCAACCGATGAGCAGGAACAGGTGCGAAATAACGACAGGCCCCTTGTGGTCTCTGCCATCGACGTACGGCGTGAGGAACGAGGCGATGGGCCGGGACAGCGGCGGGAGCTGACTCGCCCGGAGGAGATCGAGGATAAGGAAGATGGCGAGGACAAGCGACAGTGCCAAAGCCGCAAAGACGGGGTCGATAAAGGTCGCAGGGAGGAACATGCCGACCATCATAAAGTGGAACACCTTTCGCCTCGTGTCCACCTCGTACTTGGGGTCCAGGCGGATGACCACGGTCAAGCCGATAATGACAATGGCAAGCCAGTACGCTGCCATCAGGAGCCGGGTGTTGGCTTCGCCAAAGTCGGCGAGGCGGATGTGCTGCACCCAGCCCTGGTGGCAGGACGCCTTTGCAACGTCCTCGCTCAGGCGTGCAGGTAAACAGATCCATCTCTCGAGGTTCGCTTCGACCACCTTGAACCGGAACCACGGCAGCTCGCCAAAGAGATATCCCAGTGCCCAGCCGACGGGCTCGTTACCCAGCAGCGCATGGCGGTCAATGTACTCTCGCACAGGCACCAAGATGATAAGCACAATGCAAGTGTAGACGTACGCCGCGTACGACCACTTCCTCATGGTGGCTTGTGCCTCCGTCAGCTTGAAGAAGGAGCGGACGGTGGTCGACGCGGTGCGTTTCCTTCGGCCTGCTGATGTGTGTGTCAGGGACCGCCGCGGCCGTTGCAAAGCATACGGAAACGTGTTGCGTCGCTCGGCGGCGAACCCGTTTGGTGACGCTGGGGCTTTGCCATCGGGAGAGGCGCTCATCTTGCGCTCTCCTCGGGAGGGCATATCGGCCATGCCAAACGTCCGGACTCTCATGGGTTTCGCAAAGGGTCCGTTGATGATTTCCTCTTCGGAATCGCCCAGTTCGGATGCCGACTCCTCCAGTGATGAGCCCAGCAGCTCGTGCTTGAAGCGCCGCATCGAGAGTCCCTCGGAGAGAAACCCAAAGACGGATGACTTCTTTGACGGGGTCCCAACGCGCCTGAAGCGCAGCCTTGGAACCCTAGCCAAGGCGATGCCCCATCGAATCACCGGTCCGCAGACGACGAGCACGCCCACACCGCCTCCCCAGAGCAGCGCTTGGAGAATGGTGGCCTGCGGCGAGTGGGCGAGGAGGAGCACATTGATCAAGGCGATGGAGAGCAGCTGCAGCTCAGCCGTGAGCAGGCTCGTCGTAGTAAGGTAGTGCAGCACTTCGAGCAGCGTCTGGTGCAGCGGGTACAGGAGAACAGCCGTCTCTGGGCTGATGCTCGGTCTAGATAGTGTCGCTTCCGGGTGTTGCTGCGAAAGCCACATGGGAATGCAGGATAGAACCCATTGAAGGGGGTTAATGGCTTCGTGAGCGCGAGCCGTCGGGATTAAGTATTTGGGTATCGAAGAAATGCTCAGAATAATGTTTGCAAGGATGACCGGCTGGTTGTCGGGGGATATTAGTAACGCCACGAGGAGCGTCACAGACGGCGGATACAGAATGGGCGCAGGATCAAAGACGGTGGGCACGGCAATGGCTGGCTTTTTGGAGGAAGGCCTATGGCGTGTTAACCATGCGAAGAGTCGGATCGGGTAGAGGACCATGAGAGAGGTGATGAGCGTGGCTGGGAAGCGCAGTTCTGTACATGTGAGCTGCAGTTCCAAAGTCAGAGTGGACGTGACATACCTCTGCTCCACGCGGTGAATAGTGGCTTCACCAACGGATTTGAGCGAACCACTGCGAAGAGCGAGCCAACAATGATAAACTCTGACACGCGCCGGATGAGCTCCTTTGTGCGGCGGTAGTTGCGCTCGTTGAGGAACCTGCGGGCCTCTTTCCGATCCTCCTTTTCCTTCTGCTTGCGCAAAGCATCTTCTTCCAGGTCTGGAGAGAAGAGGGGCGTCGACGAGCCCGAGAGCACCTCGTTCCGCCCCCTTAGTCCCTTGTGCAGGCGGACCTTGGGCGCCGGCAGCCCCTTGAGAAAGTGCTCATCGTCGGCTTCGGTGCCGCTGTCGCTACCCTGCGAAGAGTCCTTGGCGAAGGATGGAAAGGGAGACGGGGTTCGGCTAGAGTCTGTTGATGATGTCCTCGGCGGCGTCGGTGCGGCATTGGGCGGCTTATAGACTAGGCGGTGGGCGGGATGAGGGAGCTCGGTATTGAGGTGATGATAGGGATGCGGGGAGCGGCTGAGAGATCGGATTTCATCGTTTGCTTCTGTATCGTGGCCGAAGAGAGCGTTCGGTTCGAGATGCGCGGGCATGGCGGAGCTATCGCATTGGTGACGAGTGCCAGCATTCGTTTACTGGGGATCGGAAATCACTGTGTTGGCGATGCTGGGTACCATGGAATTGGGCGAGACGGGTGCCGTGGGCTGTCGCAGGGTGATTGGGGCGTCGCTACGATGATGGTGTTTCTTTCACGTCAGGCCACGGGTGTCAGAGGCTGGGGAAGAAGTTGACGGCGAGGCGGCGGTTGTGGGGAGCTCCATCACATGAAAGATGCGAATTGGCAGCTGTGTTGTCATCTGGGGGTTAGTGGGCTGTCTGCTAGCAGTCTCTGTTGGGAAAGCGGTCCATCAGCCGCGCGGCGCCAGGGAGGAATGCGCCAACGCGAGTGGACAGCGGGCAGCGACAGTTAGCACGCAGTGGATGGCAGTGACAGACAGAAGACAGATCCCACCAGATTTCACAAGGCGCACGAGCCACAGGGCCAAACAACACAGCCTGTCACCTCCTGTGGCTGAGCCTGGTGCCGCAGAGGTTCTCTTGCGATTGCTTCTCTTGGCGGGGCACTCGGGCGTGTCTTCCGGGTACCGAACGCCAGCTTACCTAAGGTACTTGCAGCCATGTACTGCCGTACCTACCTGAGAATGTCTCCCGTTCGGGACCGAAGTCAAGAATCAGAAGCCGTCGACCATCTCTCTTCTACAAGTGAGAGGCTGACGAGAGACATCGCGATCAAGCTCGCCATCATCAAACGCGCCCACCTCGGGGACGTTCCAGACGTGATCCCAGACGCCGGTGACCTCATTTCCCGACACTCAACCATGGTAGCCTCCATTCGAGAGCCTCTATGCGGCGGACATTGCCAGATTCCTGCAGGCATGGCCTGGCCTGACCTCGAGAAAAGAGCAATGTGGACGTCGCAGTGTCATTCTTAAGTAATCTCAACCACAAACAAGACACACGCGCGACGCGGCACAGGCCAAGCCAGAGCGGAATCAACCTTCAGCCCTTCACGAGATGAAAAAGTCAATTGGACCCGTCAGGCCTGCCCGTCGTCTCTTGGCGGGATCTGCCACTTGTTGTTGCGGTGACGCCAGGCTTTATCAATCTGCTGCTCGCGACCTCACGATGATGCACATGTAGTCCACCTGCGAGAGGAAGCCAGGTTGCGACGTCGCGATATGGTGGGCTTCTGACATAATCGGGTTTCCAGTCTCCAGTTTTGCTCGGGAGCATCCCAAGTGCTGTTCGCAGCTCAACGTCGGTCTGCGGCATCGCCAGATCGTCGACATTGCATCTGATGCTCACACTTGTTGGGCGTCGCAAGGCTAGTGTACTGCTGCAGCACTGCCGTCTGCTGCTAAAAACTGCCAAAAATAACAATCAATCGGAGAATCAACAGGCAAGCCACAAACCACCAGATCGTGGGGCACCGCTGACCGTTTCCCAATCCGGACGCCACCATCTTTATTTTGTCCCGTCAGTGCCGGTCAAACGTACGAATAGCGAGTTGGCACATCTGCCTCAGCCTCCTCGCCTCCCGCTAGCATCCGGATGCTCTAGCGGGCCACGAAGCCTGCATCGGCATCGACGAGTGCGAACAAAGGGTCGAGGCCCCGGCACTCGGCTGCCCGACCGCCCCAGCACCCGTCATTCGAGAGTCTCGAGGATGAGGGCCGCATCTCGTATCACCTGGTCCCTGCAGCGGGTCGAGGATTGGCTGGCAGGGACTGGGGACATGCTGGAGAGACAGCTGCACTGGGCCGCTGCCCCAAACCGGACGCTGGGCAGAAAAAAAGTCAAAATACGAGTCGCAGGTGTTTTGTCCAGTCACTCGATTGTGGACACTGGACAGTGACTATTCACCGCGAGCAGGGACGAGACCCATCTGTCGGTCTGGTCAGTGATAGGTGACGGCTCGTTTCAAACGCACGCAAACAGAACGTCAAACGGGTCAGACGGGCTAGGAAACCATACGGGCGGCTTCAGGTGCGCAACGCTCCAAACGGCGACCATCACAGCCACCTCCCGTACCAGCTAAGGACAAAAGACCACCAAATCAGACGGATGCGTGAGCCCACACGTTGTACAGTTGCACCTCGCCGTTTGACGTGTTCCACACCAGATTCAGGTGCGACGAAGCTCAGGGGAGATGGCTCTCTTATGCAAAGAGGTTCTATCGACAGATGGACGACAAACGGACCACAGACAGACGCAGAGGGAGTGATATTGAGGCTCTATTGACGGGAGAGGCAAGCCAAAAGCAAAAATGGTCTTATCAGCTCCCTTGGGACACCATGCCTGCAAAGCTGACCGGACCGGCAGTGGGTTCGTAATCGACCTGCATGCAGTGCCAGCGCGGCGGATGTCGCAAAGATGCTGCAGCACACCGCACCGAGTTTCCAAGTCCCCCCCGGGCACTCGCTAGGGCGGCTGGGTGCAGGCCCCGACAGTCAGCTCCCCCCTCCCCTCTCAGGAGCCAACGATGCGAGGATGGAGGCAATTGGACGAGAAACCCCCATGGTCTGACTGATCACCAAGAGTCTTGCATGTGTGGATGGCGCGAAAGTCACCGAGTGCGGCACCATCGCGGGGCATCTGAAGTTGGCAAACACCAGACGACTCGTATCGCGGCGTAGCGTAGCCCACGTACATCTCTCTGCACTTCTGTACACGGCATGTGCAAAGTGTGGGACAATGAATCAGACTGACGATGGGCTCGGAGACGATACGAGACACCGCTGGTCTCCTGCTATTGGTGATGTCACAATCCACTCGACGGCAGCACCGGGCTGACTCCTGAGGAAAAAAAAAACATGAGCCAAGTGGCTTTTGGGCCAGTAGGTATCAGGGAACGGAAAGACATTGCCTAGCGCAGAGGCCACGCCCGGAGGAATTAATGGGCTTTTGACATTCCCGGCCAAAATTGGGGACAAAATCAGCAAAATATTATTCAATATCGACTGGAGCCGAGGATGGAGCCTGCGCCTGACGATCCCTGTGCGAGCTGCTGCAGACTCCAGTCTCCAGAGGCTGTCCCGGCACGCCGCAGACGCGATGGACACCAGTGACGAGCGATAGCGATGCAAGATGGGGATGGACTGATGAAATGGGAAGCTCGGTTTGGTTCACGGCGGAGAGGGTTACACCGAGCCTGTCGACCGGGGCTCGGTTCGTCAGTCTATCCATACTGACAGAGAGCTACGCAGCTAGAACGGATCCATGGAAGCAATGGGACGGATAGCTCGAGTTGGGCCGACAGGACAGGGGTACGTCGTCGGGGCGGCGAAACAGGGAATCTTTATATGCACAAAGATGTGTTGCCCCCAGCCGACTGGGCGACGCCAATGTGCATTCTGCCTGGGACGATCTTCAACAGGTTTAAACGCCAATCCCCTTTGCTCGCTCGCTCTGCCAGTTCTCGTCTGATCATCCTTCGCTGTTCTGCTACGACGCTCGCTCGCCTTTGCTGTTGTCCATCGCCACCTACAACACGGTAGACTCTCGTCACCCCGACTGTCCAGAGTTGTTCACATTCCAAGCCAAGTCTCAGGCTCGTGAAATTGGCGGGACTGCAACAATCTACACACATACCTGGCAGCTTCCACCCATTGGACGGATACACAGTATGCCTCTGCGTTCGTCCATTCTCAAACGATAAACATTCAGCAGCAAGGTTTTTTCTTTGCTTTTGATACCGAACCCCGGGGACCGCAAAAGAAGCGCGCGGCGTGCCTCAAGCCGACCCTCACATCCCAAAAGCTGTTAGCTCGACGGGTCTCACTACGCAGAAAACTCCATCCTTGGCCTCACCCCCAACCACCCACCACACAAGAGGGTTTCGGCCGGCCAGGTACCACCGCTCATCCAACCTTTTAGATCGCCTCTCGCCCCTCTTCCTCACATCAGAAACGGAGGCCGCTTGCGACCTATACAATACCTGCAAGCCTTCTCTTTGAACTTGTTGGGCCATTGGATCCTTTTCCCCCCTCTCTTACATCTTTCGCCGCCTTTTGCTGCAGCCGGGACGCTAGACAGACCCTCACTCGCTGTGTGTAACTTCACACTTGGTCCCCTGCACACCTACTTCCGCGTCCATCCAACTGTCGTTTCCGTCCTGCCGTCTTGGGTGTTTGTAACCTTCCTGGCCTCTTGGTCCTGTCTATAAACAACCCGGGAGCACCTCACACATCTCGCCACCATGACTTTCGACACAAAGTACGACCACCACCTAGAAGAGGGATTGCTGCCTGTTGTCAACGAGAAGGGGACCACGACGACGACATCATCATCATCCAGGACGCCAAACAAAATGACTGCTGCTCGCCGTCTTCTGCTCACCGTCTTGGTGTGCGGCTTGATGACCCTCAGTCTCGCCTCGGCCATTGGTCACCGGGCACGACCTTGCACGAGAGATCATCAGGAACAGGTCCTGGTGGCAGAGGGCGAGGTCAAGGACGCCGCCAAAGTGGATCTCATTCACAGGCTCCTCCACGCCTACTTCCCCGACCGCTACCAGGATGGCGTCTATGCCTCGGACAAGGAAGCCATTGCTGCCTTCCAGGTGGACGATGCCGAGCTGGCTTCTGCTCTCGGTCAGCTAGAGAAGCGTCAGGACAATGGCACCTCGAGCGCTGCTCCCGCTGCCACTCCTACGCCCTCCGCCTCCGAAGCTTCCACGCCGTCTGCCTCGTCCGCGCCGCCGGCCAGTAACACCCCGACCCCGACTCCGACCCCGACGCCGTCTACTCCGGCCACCACCTCCGCTGCTCCCCCGGCGTCCTCCTCCGCAGAGGTCCAGCAGTCCTCCAGCACGCCGCAACAGACTTCGGCAGCGCAGACCACGCCCCAGCAGTCATCGCAGCAACCCGCCGCCTCGAGCACCCCCACGACGCAGCAGACCTCAGCAGCAGCCCCTTCTTCTGGTACGTCTCAATCGGAGTCGCAGCAAGCATCTCCCTCTTCTACTCCTGTTGGGCCGTCCACCGCCTCTACTGGGTCTCCTCCGACGACCAGTGGGTCTCCTTCCTCTTCTTCTCCCCCTCCCCCTTCTTCTGCCCCCTCGTCCGCTCCCACCACGGCCTCCCCGGGGTCTTCGAGTGCGTCCGCGCCGGGTACGTCTGCTTCCCCTTCTTCCGAGACTACTACGGTCGTGACCTCGTCCCCCACGGTGTCCTCCGCTTCGTCGACTGTGTCTGTATCTGGTATGTTGGTTTTGTAGCGCTCGATTCATGTTAGCCTGGAGTTGAGGGTTTGGTAGATGATCTTTTGGCCTCGTGACTCGTCATGTCATACATCTTGTCGTATCTTAATACTAACAAAACACCAGGCACCACCCGCCAAGGCACCACCACCACGCGCAGCACGCCCCGGACCACCTCGTACAGCGAGGTCAAGTCTACCTTTACGTCGACCGCCTCCAACGGCGATGTTGTCCTCGTGACCGCCACGTCCTTTGTCGCCGTCGATCCCGAACCCGCCGCCACCTCGGCCGGTTCCAGCGGCAGCAGTGGCAGCGGCGGTCTGCAAAACGTCGCCGTCCCCATCGGCAGCGTCTCCGTCCTGCCCATTGGTCTCGCCGCGTTTGTAGCCGGCGCCATGCTGTTGCTGTAGACACAGCACTGGGACAGCACCAGCACCACTCGAACGTGTACAGCGTTCATCGTCCACGTTGACGAAATTTCTGTTTAAATATTTAATCCATTCCTTTTTTGGGCAGCGGGTTTTGGTTGGTCGGGCGGCACACACATACACATCAGCATCACAACTTACTTACGACATCTAACGGTCTATTCACTCCTTGCATACAAAACTGGTGGGCACAGCACAACAATCGACACAACGATACATAGACTACGCGCGGCCCATGGCGCCGACATTTGATTTTTGGACAGGAGGGGTTAATAGAATGGGAGGCACACTCAGAAACATCGTGGCCTCGGTGTGACAGAGGAGGAGCTAGGGGGAAGAAAGCGGAAGCGGAAGAAAACAGGCCATCATCACGATGGGGTAAACCTGAAATGTTAGTACAGTTCCTCGGCGGACCCAAAGGGACTCGAGAAACAAACAAGCAGAATTTTGTGCAAAAAAGAATGAAAACAAATCATTTGACACACATTTGGGTTGAGACATGGTCCCCGCATTCCTTGACACGTTCGAGAGTTGTTTTCGCTACCTTGTTTGATTGCGGGACTGCCCGCATTCCAACGTAGTCTTGGCGGGGTGTGTTTGATCATTTGATCCAAGATGCCAGATGTCAGATGGTTCATTTGCGTTTCGCTGGTGTCTTGCTTGTTTCCGCAGTGTCATCTCTCTGCGTCAAGGGAGAGAAGCTCCGTGGCAGCATGACAGTATGACAGTATGACAGCTAGGTAGCATGGCAGCACCGGCACCAGCACCAGCAACGCTAAATGATGAATATGTTTTCGATTGCCCAGACTTTGGAAAGGGTATACAATAACGCCGAAATCCAAACTCCATTTCCCCTGCCCGTCCAATCCATCCAAGAAGCAAAAGACCCAACCGACAAAACCTTCCTCGCCTTGCTCCAGAGCATCCTCGACTAGACCTCTACACGGAGCAGGTCTTAACCGGGTCCAATCTTGGGCATGTCGTGGTGCTCGCTCAGCTTGGACAAGTACGTATTTAGCTCCTCGACGCGTTCCTTGTGCGTCTTGAGGAGCTCGGGGCGGGAGCTTGACGATTCTGCGAGTTCGAGGAGCTGCACAAGATGTCAGAAGAGTGATCGAAAGATGGCAACGGAGCAGCCTGCCCCGGGGGAGTAAACAGGAGAACATACCCTCTTGCGCTTCCTCTCCTCGTACCGCCTCTCCGCCTCCGTCTTTTGCACGACCCGGCCGCTGCCCTCGTCGTCATCGTCGTCGTTCCGGTCCTCCTCGGGGTCCTCGCTCTTCTTTTTTGACTTTGATTTCGAGTCGCCGGCAGATTCTTCCCGGTGCTTCACCAGCGCAGTGCTGCTGCCTTCGTCGCCCGTCTCGAGGTTCTTTTCGAGGTCGGTCTTGTCGCGTCTCTTCTTCTTTTTCGGTTTGGTCACTTTGGCGCCCTTGAGCTTGAGGCCGCCGCCTACTGCGGAGGCGTAGTCGTCGAGCGGCATCGTGGATGTTGCCGTCGGATATGGTGATGTTGGAATCCCGCGTATTGCAGGTGGGACGGCGACGCGGATCCGAGCTTCCCTTTTCCTTGTGGCCTGTCGGTTGGTTGGAGGCTTTCAGCTCTTCAAGGCCTCTTTGCCCCACTATCCCTTAAGTTTCCTTCCCCCTGGCACTGCGGTCAGTGGCTTCGGTGGCTTTTTGTTCGTCCTGGAGCGGCTCAAAGGATTTCGGCTGCTTGCTAAGGGGGGCCCTGTCCCAAAGTCTTTGCGCCCCACACTCTTAAACCGGTCGCAGGCGCCAAGATGTGATTCGCTCTGCCCGTGCCGCGGATCTCGATGGGGGGCCAATCAAGGGTTGATCCGCGTACTTTTTGCTCGTGGGCCCGTGCGGGTGCGAAACAACTGCTGTAGTGCTGTGGTGCTGCGCTGCTGGCTGTGGAAGTCAACAATCTGGAAGCCCAGCCAAATTGCAGCAAAACTGCCCCCTTTGAATCAAAAGATACTTCCCAGTCTGTAAGGTAAGGTAGATAGTAGAGTGGGAAAGTGACTTGGCTGATGCTTGACTTGACTCGATGGTTCGTCACTGGAACCCTTGATTCTGCCGTCCACAACCCAGACACCCAGGGGCTATTGTTGCATCGGGATGCCACCTTGTTCTCGGCGCAACTCAATCTTTCTTTCTTCCCTCCTTTGTTCATCCGCCTCAACCTTAATCCGCACAACTCCCGCCGCCAGTGACCACACTTTCCACCGATACATACGACCCCGGGCACCATATCTCCTCAACCTAAGCCCCCATTTGTTCCGTTTGCCAATCTTATTCGGACATCAACCACAGTCAAGCATAGGGATACCAGCTGCATGTTTACTTTCCTCTCCGCTTCTTCCCCTGGATCATTAGTCTGTTTCGGTTTCCGCGTGTAGGGAAGTGGGTATAGAGCGCCCTGGAGAGAGACCGCAAGAGACGGGCCCGGCGCAACTTTGTCACGACTCCCTAAACGAAACGTATATGCCAACGACGTCACGAAATTCGAAAAAGACACCGCTACTCTAATACCCACAATCGAGGGCGCCCGATCGCATACACTCCATTGGCACTTCTAACGGCCGCTGCAACATGCGATAGCCCCAGTGCCAAACCTCCGAACGCACACCCAGGTTGAGAGTGCTCTTTCGACACCCGATTCAAACATCACCATGCCACCCTACGCTAATGTCCAATCCCATCGCGACTCCCTCGAGCTCGCCTCCCTCGCCTCCTCCTCCCGCGCCGACTCTGTCGTCTCAGACCTCCCCTCGTCACGGCCCTCCATATCGTCCTCCCGCAAGCTCTCCTTTGACGCCGAAGACCCCCTAGACGCCGCGAACCCGGCCGCCGCCGCCTCCTCAGGGAGACCGAACCGCCATGACCGCTCCTACTCCGTCTCCTCGGGCTTCGACTTCGCCGCGAACCTCTTCCCCCTGAGCTCCACAGCCGGCGCCGGTGGCGCAGGCGGCTACGCACCCATCGGCGCGCCCACCTCGACCGCGATACAAAACGGCGGACTCGGCGGCGGCAGCTTGGAGAAGCACAAGACGCTCACGTACCTCAACGGCCTGAGTCTGATTGTGGGCCTCATCATAGGGAGCGGCATCTTTTCGAGCCCGAGCCAGGTGAGCTCAAAAGTCGGCTCGCCCGGCGCCGCGCTCGTCGTCTGGGTCATTGCCGGCGTGCTGGCCTGGACGGGCGCGGCGAGCTACGCGGAGCTCGGCGGCGCGATACCCTTGAATGGCGGCGCGCAGGTCTACCTCGCCAAGATCATGGGCGAGATGGCCGGCTTCCTCTTCACCTGGGTGGCCGTGCTGGTGCTGAAGCCGGGCAGCGCCGCCATCATCGCCATCATCATGGGCGAGTACCTCGTGCGCGCCGCCATTGGCGCCGAGGCCGAGAGCCTCAGCCCCTGGGTCAACAAGGCCGTCGCCATGGTCGCCCTCGTCTCCGTCACGCTCCTCAACTGCGTCTCCACCAAGCTCGGCACAAAGGTCAACGATTGGCTCATGTTTCTCAAGTTTATTGCGTTGCTGGGCGTTACCGTGACTGGCATCGTCGTCGCCATCACCGGCAAGACCGTCACGGGCAAGGCCAACATGGAGTGGAAGTCACACGAGTGGTTCGAGGGCACCTCCACCGACCTCTCCGCCTGGGCCGTCGCTCTGTACGCGGGACTCTGGGCCTACGACGGCTGGGACAATGTAAGTTTTTCCGTCTCGAGATTCTGAACGTCGCTGACCATCTAGACAAACTACGTCGTCGGCGAGTTCCGCAATCCGAGCCGCGACCTCCCCCGCGTCATCCATACCGCCATGCCCCTCGTCATCCTCTCCTACGTCCTCGCCAACATTGCCTACTTTCTCGTCCTCCCCCTCGCGGCCGTTAACGCCTCCAACACGATCGCCGTCCAGTTCGGCGCAAAAGTCTTTGGCCCCGTCGGCTCCCTCGTTCTCGCCCTCGTCGTCTCGGCATCCTGTTTCGGCGCCCTCAACTCGTCGACCTTTACCTCGTCGCGGCTGGTGTACGTCGCCGGCAAAGAGGGCTACATCCCCTCCGTCTTTGGCAGCATTGGCCTCTCTCGCAACGGCAACAGCAGCGGCGGCCACTCCGTCACCACCTCCCGCACCTCCCGCGGCCGCCTCGCAAACCTCCTGATTAGTGCCCTCGGCGACGACGACATGGGCCTCTTCTACACCCCCGTCTGGGCCCTCGTGCTCAACGGCCTGCTGACGGCGGCGTACATCATCGTGGGCGAATTCGGCACCCTGCTGACGTTTTACGGCGTCGCGGGGTACACTTTCTACTTTATCACGGTGCTGGGCCTCATTATTCTGCGCGTGCGCGAGCCGCAGCTAGACAGGCCGTACCGGACGTGGATCACGACGCCCATTATCTTCTGCTGCGTCTCGCTGTTTTTGCTGAGCCGCGCCGTGTTCGCGCAACCGCTGCAGACGGTGACGGTGGTGCTGTTTGTGGTGGCGGGCGTGCCGGTGTACTTTTGGCGGATCCGCGGGCGGGATCAGCAGGTTGTTAAGCGGGAGGCGAGGCATCGTGGGTATGAAGAGGGGGAGGAGAGGGCGTGGTGGCAGTTTTGGAAGAGGTCATGATGCGCCCGAACCCGGAGGGTGGAGGGTTTGCGAGGTAGAGAAGAAGAGAAAAAGAGAGAGAGGAGTCGTGGCTTGGGAGTTTGCACCCCTGCTTCTGGATACCTGTCTGAGAGGTCATGTTTATCGATTTTTGCATATCGCCGCCGTACGGTGAGTGGCGGCGCGCTGGGAATGGTCAGGATTCCCATTCCGAGGAGTTTTTTGGATTCTGAAAAACAAAGAGACGTTTTGGCGTCGGATTGCGCTGCTAGAGTCACGGCGGCCAAGGCTTCTGGCCAGGCATCGAAAAAGAAGGAGTATTTCTAGAGCGTGGAGGATTGGTTAGCGTTACAATCGAGCAGACATGCAGCGCGGAGGAGCAAATCATGCTTCGCGCCCTTCTGAATAGAAACAAACTGTACAAGCACCCCGACGAGAATCAAGTTTGCGAGTGACTACGACGGCTTATGATCGTGACGAGGTGGCAGAGTGCGTCTTGAGCAACACGCCTGCGCCAGAGTCACGTCGTTAGGAAAGATGGGCTGCCTAGCTGGCGCATCATTGAGGTGAAGATCAATCTTGCCCTGTGTAAAAGCATGGCAGCAAAAAAAACGGGAAAAGGTAAAGGCGGGATTGGTGCCGTACACCTTTTTTGGCAGAGTCAACATGCTTTCTGGACGGGTGGCTACGAACCACTCCGCGTATGCCGACCGATCAAGTGTTTTTCCCATTTCCCGACTGATGATGATCGACTCGAACGAATTCTGTGTTGCAATCCAAGGGACAAAGGTTGGATCTGGATCCCATCAATGGCCAGGTGGGCCGAAAGGTCTCTCGCACAAACAGCCGAGAGCATCCAAAGCAGGCAGATCAATCGAAGTCGAATCACTCAACCCAGACTTAGGGAGACAGAATTGCATCGCATCAGGTTATATTCCTATGTACGGTAACCTAGACTTCATCGGAAGTCAAATGCTCATGCTAATGCTCAAAAACTACTAAAAACAAACGCTAGATTTCCCTCACACACAACCTTTCATTGGGGTATGATTTCCACTCCAATCGACATATCCAGAGAAACTCGCTCACTTCTTCTCGCGCTGGCCGTACGCCTTGGTGGCGTAGTCGCCCTTGTGCACGATGAGGTCCTCGGGCTTGTAGTCCTCGCGACCGCTCAGGTAGCTGTCGATGATGGCCTTTGTGCCGTCGGCGTAGCGCTTCTGGGCGTCGAGCGAGGTGCCGGACATGTGGGGCACCATGGCGTTGCCGCCGCCAAAGGGGTTCTTGGCGGTGCGCAGCGGGTGGTCGCCGGGCGCGGGCTGGGGGAACCAGACGTCGCCGCCGTAGCCGGCGAGGTGGCCGGACTTGAGGGCGTCGGCGACGTCCTCCTTGACGACGATGGCGCCGCGGGCGGTGTTGATGAGGTAGGAGCCCTTCTTCATCTTGGAGATGAGATCCTTGTTGAAGAGGCCGCGGGTCTTCTCGTGCAGGGGCGCGTTGATGGTGACGACGTCGCACTGAGCGAGCATCTCCTCGAGGTTCTCGACGCGGCGGCAGCCGATCTCGGCCTCCTTCTCGGCCGACAGGGGCTGGTAGTCGTAGTAGAGGAGCTCCTTGCAGTCGAAGGCCTTGAGGCGGCGGAGGACGCGCTCGCCGATGCGGCCGATGGCGACGGTGCCGACGGTCTTGCCCTCGAGGTCGTACTCCTGCTTGGCGACGGCGGCGACGTCCCAGTCGCCGCGCTCGATCTGCTCGTGGGCGGGGACGAAGTTGCGGATGAGGACGAGGATGGTCATGACGACGTGCTCGGCGACGGAGACGACGTTGGAGCCGGTGACCTCGGCGACGGTGACGCCGCCGTTGGTCTTGTTGGCGGCGTTGAGGTCGACGTGGTCGGAGCCGATGCCGGCGGTGACGGCGAGCTTGAGGTTCTTGGCCTTTGCCAGGCGTTCGGCGGTGAGGTAGCCAGGGTGGAAGCTGCCGTTGTTAGTGCTTCGTCCGTGACGCGTAGGTCAAGGGACTTACGGGGTGGTGATGATGATCTCGGCGTCGACGAGCTCCTGGTCAAACTTTGAGTTCTCGCCCTCCTTGTCCGAGGTGGTGACCAAAGTGTGGCCCTGATCCTCGAGCCATTTGCGGATGCCGAGCTCGTTCTCGGTGGTTCCCAAAAGGCCGGGGACCTGTGTAGGAAGTCAGCGATCGTTGTCTTGCAGACATGTCTTCAGGGATTGATGCCATGCACCCCGCATTAGGAGTTTCGGAGCTGCACATCGCCAAGAAGTTGGGGGAGGGGTGAGGATGGAGGGTGGATGACGGGGAGGGGTCGAGAGGATGCCGATGTATCTGCGATCGACCTCCGAGCCCCGCACCTTCCCGTCATCCCCGCACTAAGCTCAGCCAAACGGCGGGGCAAAGCTCCGCCGCGAAGCTATCATGGTGACGTTCCTGGCGGGTGGGTGCCCGGAGGAGGCGGCATTGAAGAGACAGAAGGCAGTAGACAGTAGAAAGAAAGAACTCACGTCTTTGGCGTGCTGACCGCCGTCGTAGAGGACTGCAAGGACCTTGACCTGATTTTGGCGAGTAGTTGTTAGTGTGCGGATCGAATTGAGTTGGCCAGGCAATTTGCGAGGGAGAGTCGAGGATGCTGGGGAGGCCCGGCTGAATGCGGGTCGAGCAGCGAGGAAAGATGCCTTTGAGGACGTGGAAAGTCCCCGAGAGGCCAGAGGGGCAACGGAGCGGATGTGACGAGAGAGCAATACCATTGTGATTGATTGAAGGGTTTGAGTTGTTGTTGATGATCGAGAGACTGAAGCTCGGAGGGAGGGAGGTTGTTATATAGGAATAAATCGAGATGGGAAATCCGGAAGTTCGGAGATCTGTAGAAGAGGTAGATGAAGATGTTTGTTGTGTGTGATGGAGTGGAAAGGCAGGTCGACGGAAAACACGGCCAGGGGAGGTTGTATTTATGTCTTGTAAGAGCGTCGATGCATCGATACGATACATGTATACATCGCCGGCTGACCGGGACTTCCAGACTCGCAGCTAGGGTCAGGGCGGGGAACTAAAACCACAGCGAATGGAGTCCATGGACGTCAGAAAGAGGCAAGAGAATCCGGCTGCCGCGAGTCTGCCGTTGTCTGGCTGTGCTGGGTCTGGGCTGGTTCGATGGGATCGATACATCGAACGTGATGGCTGCCTCCATCTCCTCTTTTCGTGCCTCTTTCCCGCGGGCCATTTGCCTCACGCTCTCCCACTTCCTCCACCTCTCCGAGATACCATGCCCCTCCTTTCCAGAGTATCTCCTTGGGGCCAGTCAGATATCGGACAGGTATCGGCAAGGTTCGAGACGGCAGCGAGGCTGGGCGACAAAGGTGCGCAGAGGTAGACTCGGGGAAGCTCTGAAAGCTACCTCTGGCTCGGCATCTCCAAAGTAGTCTCAATGTCAATGTCAGGAAATGCATCCGTAGTACTGTACTCTACAGCGAATGGGGAAAGCTCCAGACGTCCCATCATTGGCCGCGTGGTTCGTCTGCCCTCCACCCGAACGAGAGCTTCCCTCGCCCGCTTCAGTTGGCAGCACCGCCCATGGCACGATGAAACGCCGCGTCCAACCCGACCCCGGCAAATCTTCAACCCCAAGGCCGCAGACAGCATTCTTACTGTGCAGCTACTGCACAGTAGACCAGGAGCTACCATCCATCTCGTCGTTGGCGACCAGCCAATTCCCGTTACTCAAGAACCCATGCAATGCACAGCGTGCAGTCGCGACAATCAGCAACAGCGCGCATCCTATCAAGCATCACGGTCCTGGGTGAGGGGTAATAAACCACCTTCCAAGACCGCCATCATACGCGCGCCGTTCCATCATTCGAAGCGAAAGCGGCTTGGGTTGTGTGTACTATTGTGTTCTCATCACCTAATCACTTCTACGACGCTCTCCAATCGTTATCCGCGCTGGACAGGCGATCGTCTGTCTCGGTTACACACGACCGGGCCTGGTATCAGACGGACCGTAGCAGATCCATGGACTCGAGGTCTTTGAAGCTGCGGAGAAACAATGGCATGGGCGCTTCTAGCTAACCGTCTACAGCAATGCACGAACCAATCCCTCATGCGCCGTTGGGTTGGAACGCGGAGATTTGTCGTCAAGCTTTCGAGAGAACCCCTCCGGAGGTGGTTCGGCGTTCTGTCGGGGTTTTTCCTTGCGTTGCGCAACTGCGTGAGGGGGGTGGTTGAACTTCGGCGTCAAGAAAACCATCGCACGACATTCCCGTCTGCTTGCTTTGCTTGGTTCCGCAACCTTGAGGGGCCTGACTGACTGACCCAGCAACGTAAGCAGTGCAAGCGCATCGGCATCCGTCCCGGCGCCTAGCTGATTGTCGCCCATTGATGAGTGCACCTCTCGGGATCGATTGCGGCATTGGGAGGCGGAAACGGTACACTACCTATGGCGAGCCGCTCGTCTTTGAGCTTACCTCCGAGCTGGCCTTGCCCAGGCTGGCCACCATTTCTCGGCGGTTCGCTGTGCAGACAAAGGAAACATCGTGAGCCCCGTCGTGGAGTCTTCTATCGTCAGCTGTGGGAATCCGAGAATCGTCCACAGAGACGACGGGACACGTTGACAAGTTGGACACAATCGTGACGGAATACCGGATCGCAGCGTGCCGCGGTTTCCGGCCAGGGATTCCGTCATCGATGCCGCATCGTGGCCCCGCGCGATCCTCTTCTTTCCTTGCCTTGTTGTCCGGCCCCGTCAAGGAGCTCACTCCGGTCCACAATCGGGGAGCAGCTGGTTGGCGCAGGCGGGCGGGGGCCGGAGAAGCCCTGATCAGCCCGCTTTCGGGGAGCCTCTTTCATCAACGGGCGCTTGGTCTAGGGGTATGATTTTCGCTTCGCACTTCCGTCAGGAACGCGCCTTTGTGAAAGGTCGTGGGTTCAATTCCCACAGTGTCCATTTTTGCGTCTTGAAGATTCCAAGAATTGTATATTGATGTTTTGCATCGTTAGTCGCTATTTTGCTGTAAAAAGAGATCAGAAGGAGAGTTTTGGATTGAGGATGCCAGCCAGGGTGTTGCAAAGTTGGGCCATCTGAAGTTCGGCGCAACCAACTTTATGCCAACGGATCTGCCTACCCCCCCATTCCCAAGTACGCTTTCTCTCGCAACTGCACTTAAAGCCAAACTCAATTGAATCAGACTTTGAAACCGCCTTGGAAATCCCCCCATCATGTCCGGGTCCAAAGCCGATCCTTACCTGTCGCCGCTCGTGCACTGAAAGCCTAACTCTACTGACCTTGACCTCTGGTGACGCTGTGTGCCGCCATTTCTGCGCTCTCAGCGGTTTGCGCCTCTGTTCTTAACACTGGCGTAGTTTGTATAGTCTTGCTCTGCGAGGCATCAACTTAACAGGTGCAGGGAGTCTAGAATCCAGAGGTCGCGGGTTGGACTGGCCCCAGCAGGCGTTGCGAGAGTCGACGATGTCCTCCCAGATCAGTAACGATTTCTGGCGTCTCCGGGCCGAAAATGAACGCTCACCTATTTTGTCTTTGGGGTTCGCAGGCCCGAAATGACATCTCTCTGCCCTCTGTCCTGTGGAGAGGCGTGTGGACGCGCTGGTTCACGGTGAGTATCTTAATCCGGTCCAGTCTATGTGGGGAGGTCGTGGTACCGCACCAACTGAGCCCGTTATGCAAGAGGGTAGCCAGCAGGCTGGTCATTGGCAAGGCGGTGGACATTTCTCGAAGGTCGATGGATAGCTTCGTGTTCTCTCGGGCTGATTCTGGGGGTTGGACGGAGCGTGGCTTGGTATCTGTCTAGCTGAACTCGGAGACTTGACGAAGAGTCTACCTGAATCAGCACTCGGTCCTTCGTAAACATGGCTAGGTTTTGGATCGACGAGTCGTGGCGTTTAATCCGGTGGAAGGTCTTCCATGGCGAGCTGCGGAGGCTTCAGTCCGTATCTCGGCCGACTTGATGTCGGAAGATGGTGATGCCCCGAGGTCTTTCTCGTCTGACTGTTAGAACCCCCTGCCGTACCAATGCAAGTCCGTTCCCACTGTCTGTTTCTATGGATGCTGCTTCCCACCCGGGGCTTCCTGGCGGCATTAAATCTTGCGTCAAAGCGAGGCGTGGCGTGATTCTGTAGCGCGAAATCACGTCTTCCCATATCAGTTGTTGAATGGGGCCATGCTGTTGGAATCGATGGTCTCGTGGTGCTTTCGTGTCTGCAAGCTATCTACCTTGTTGAGATACTTTGACTCGTCTTAGATGTGTCTCGTTTGTCTTTCCAAAGGTCGTTCTCCGCTTTGAAGTTGTGGCAGATAGGGGTAGCTAGCCTACAATCATTTTGGGGGACGAGAGGATATATAAGCCGCGAAGTTCTCCTTAGTCAATAGATTCACGGTTGATCGTGCATGACGAGGAACCTCGCGAGCGCCAGATACATTCAGATGGTACTCCCGTCGTCTCTGCCACAATGACAAGACGACCTCGGTAGATGGTCCCAAAACGTGACCGACAACTAATAGGAGGACTTCAGAATCCCACCGACGTACGGCTACCGCAACGACAGCAAAGGCGCCAGTTCAGCCTTAGGAATTCCTCATTCATCACACGTGACCAAAAACAAAAGAGTTCATCCCCCCGGTAGCGAATGGGGGCTACATCTCTGGTGCTCAAGCTGGGATTCGAACCTCGACCCTAGTGTAGGCTAAGCCAGTTGAACAAGCTCGCCCGTAACCATCCCGCCAAATGGCAGTTTGACCTGACCTCACAGGCCTGTAAGGCGCCTTCTGCCGTTGGTGACGGAATTGGACTTGAGGGGGGGTATATAGGCTTCTGTCGTGTGTACCGGGTGAATACACACATGGTGATTCACTGACAACAAAAGCTGGGATGGGCCCTCTTCCTGGTTCGGATGAAGTGGCAGTGGTACGGATATCGCCATTGATATTTCCGTTGCTTAGAGCAGCTCAAGACGTGATGCTCAAGTTCATCACGATCATCTCTAGTCCTTGTATGTCCTGCTTATTAGCTGCAGGGAGGTCTGCCTCCGACTTCCAGAACCAGCTTCTTTGCATGAGTTCAGGATGCGGTGCCAGCTGAGCCAGAGGAGTGGACGGCTTCATGATGCTTTCCAGACCCGTATGCCGTCACCTCCTGCACGAAGACGCATCTGAAAGCAGAGCCATCGCTCCATCAGGGTCCTGTCTCGAGGTACCGGAACCCAATCTGCGCCACCCGAGACGCCCACTCGTGCATTCGGCAGTTCTGGTGAAATTTAGGATCCTAACATGATGACTGATGCCTTGCATTCTACGACTTCTACACCAAAAGCCAGATGACGGAGGCACGATCGATGTGCTCGATGAGCTGCAGACGGCTTCCTCCGCCAGTCGTGGCGTCTTGATGCTGTCATGCACTCTCCAGCCGGCATCAGGGTATCCTTCACAGGCCCCGCCAAGTCGACGACATCTATAAGTGCATCATTCTCGCAAGATGACTAGACGAAGAAGCAAACAACATCCATCACCCGCTCGCTCCATCAACACTCACACTCACACTAATCCCACCATGGTGTCCAGCAAGGCCCCCTTCGCCGCAGCCGTAGCTCTGCTGGCACAGATCTGCCAGGCCAGGGACCACCTAGTCTTCCGCAATGTCTCGGACAGCCCGCCACGGACGGTCACCGGCGAGCAGGGGTGCTACACGGACTTTGGCCGGGACTTCCGCGGCAGTGTCCCGACTTTCTCCCGGCTGTACTCGTACACGTTCCCCGTTACTGCGTACAGCTACTTTATCCCGTCCACCAGCACCATCACCGTGACGCCTACCGTCTCTGGAGGAGGGGGAGGAGGCGGCGGCGGCGGCGGAGGAGGGTCAGTAACGGGTCCCATCACTTCAACATCGACCGTCACCACAACCACGCGCGTCACCTCCTTCGGCACCGCGACAACCATCACAGCCGGGCCTCGCTTCACGCCTCTCGCATCTGCTCTCAACCACCGGCGACCACAGGGCGGCAGACCCCAGGTCCAAGACTCGGGCTACAGATCAAACGACGACAGCCTCGTCCTCGGCGTCGACAAGGCCGGCCTCGCCAAAGCCGACCCGCCCCTTTTCCCACAAGCCGTCGTCTGCGAGATGGTCATCCGCGTCTTCACGACCAGCACGTCAACCATCACAGCATCCTACGCAGCGACCACAACAATCACCCTCCCGACGCCCAACGCCACCACCACAACAGCACCAGTACAAAACGCAACGACGGCAACGACAACGACGACCGTCACGTCCACCATCACCGACGAGGTGGCCAACCCGACGCAGACCGTCTACCAGGCCTGCCAGGCCAACAACCTGGTCTCGGGCCACGGCGCGCCGCAGACGTACTTTGTCGAGGCGATCCACA